TTCATGAATGCCTTACTAATTTGTAAGCACCCAATGACCAGTTCATGATATTTATAATGTAATTATCATGCAGTATACTAGTCCTAGAGTGAATTTGTTTCCCCCTTTCTCCCTCATGGTTGTGACGACTAGCTACTTCTAGTTTAGAGAACCTTGATATTCCATTTTTTCTCCTTGAACATCACTGTCTAAGACTTTCTGGCAGCAATCAATTTGGAGAAAAAGAAAGGAATCTACTCCAAACAAAACTTTAAAGAGAAAACTTCTAACAAAGAAATTAAAAGGACGCCTATTTGACTAGGGAGACTCTTCAAGTGAATCTAGAGAATCCGGCCCTTCTATGTTAAATTGTTCTGTTTGTCCTTGGCAATTAAATCCAAAGGCATGGAAATCCTTGGGCCAATAGAAAAATTGGGAGAAAAACCATAACACTCAAACCCATCGGCCATGATACACAAAAGAAAAGCAAAGGAAAGAGATCTAAATTATTAAGAGAAAAGCAAAAGAAAGAGATTGTTAGTTTAGAACTTTAGAGAGAGCAAGAAGGTTAGAGAAGAGAGAGAATTTCAGAGAAAGAGAAGGGGAGGAGGAAGAGAGAAATAGAGTCACGAAAATAAACCGAAAACTCAAGCCACATGCACTTGATGATTTTCAACAGAAATATTGACAGACATTGACGGTAGCAGGGGGCATTAATACTTTTTGAAACTTTGGGGGATCTGAAAAACCACATTAATAATCAAGGAGCAAAAATGAAATACGACCTATAATCCAAGAGGCATAGCTAAATTTTGGAGAAATTTAAAATTTTAAGAAAAGGTAACAGTCACTCTGCATAATTTTTGGACAAATGTAAGGGCGTCAACTATATCTTGAAAGAAATATGCTGTCAGCCCATAAACTTATGCATACAAATCACTCGATGGAACTAATCCGAAATAAAATGTTTTCAAACTTAATTTAACAAATCATATAGGTCTTACCTGAATCTAAGCATCCAATAGAATAATACGCCATTAATCCTCGCACAATTTTATATACTTTTAAGTTCAATAATACATAGGAGCAACCCCTCAAAGGAAATATATTGACTAAACTGGAAAAGGTCATAATTATATAAATGTGAAAAATAATGTCCACTATATAAGAGACATCTATGATGGATCATAAACCAGGAGTTGCTATCTTCGATTTTTTGTCCAATCCCATTGCATTTCGTATCCTTGTTGATATAGGAATGCGCAGGAACTAAGGATCTAATAAAATAGAGAAAACACACATATGTTCCACTTTGGAAGGAAATGGCCACTGCCCTCTATTTATGATTATTTTTCACTTCATCTATCTCCATATTTTTATGGAAAAATTTCCATTGTAATCAGTGAATTTGGATTTGGATTACCAGACAGTATGGCGCCTTACATAAAATATTTGTTCTTTTACAACATCCTATTCCCCTGCACATTCCTATCATCAACAAGGATACAAAGTGTTCGGGGTTGGACAAAAACCTGAAGATAGCAGCTCTTGTTTTGCGATCAGTCACAGATCTCTCCTACATAGTGCACATTGTTTTTCAAAATTATAGAACTAAGACTTGTTCAAGCTTAATCAATACATAATGTTCGATTGATTAACTCCTGGGTATTATAACACTTAAGTATACTCTTCCAGCAATAGCTAAGATGGTTGGACGGTCATGCATCTCAGCAAACCAAAAGGAAGGGAAATATGCATCTGCACAGGGAGAGAGAGGATATTGAAAACTGAACTGAAAAGTTTTTGAAGACATGGTGGAGGGAGTACTGGAAAAATAAAGATATGGCATTTGACCACAAAATATTCTAAATGCAGGTAATGCTAGCAGCTATGATATTAGTAAGGCAAAAAACATGAAGCAATTGACTGTTTTGCAATACAAAGATTATAAGGTCTCAAAAAACAATGAAATTTCTCAGGAAACAACACAAGTCAGTGAATCAAAAGGTATAACATATATGAATCAAACACCACAGATCCAAGCATCAAATTCACATAAAATACCAGTCAAATAGCAATTTTAATCTGATCTGATACATCTGTATCTCTGTTATCAGCTAATTTTGTGGTTTAATTCAGAACCCAGTTACAAATATTGAATAAACCTCCGATGAGATTTTTTTAAAAAAAAAACCCCAAACAAATGAAATTGAAAAGAAAAAAAATGCCCAAGAACTAGAAGCTGTGACCAAAAACCATAAAGCACGCACCTTTGTTTGAAGCCTCTGCCCACCTTGCTTCCAGTTAAATTATGGGTTTAGCCAGCACATGTAAGCAATTTGAAGCTGGATCTAGGGTTGCTTGAAAACCCAGAAAAATCCAGTTCGAAATTGCAGATTGATTTCAAAAGACTGACCCAATGGAAAATCAAAACGATCAGCTAACACAGAAACAGGAAGCATTGGTAAGTGAAAGTGAGATGAGAGCTCCAAACAAAGGTGAGGGTGAGGGTGAGGGTGAGGGTGAGACTGAGATGAGATTATCAAGTAGCTGAGATCGCAGACTGAATTGGCACTTTTGTCCCTCCATTTGTCATTTTTGTCATTTGTACTTCAAGTAGGTCCCTTCATTTCATTCCCACTGTGGTTCACATTGTAAATTTCATCAATACGAGGGGGAGGGGTGTTTCCTTCCTAAAACTTCCAAGTTGTAGAAAATTTTAGAAGACATTTTAAATCATGTAAGAACACTTTCACCCATTTATAAGGTAAGGGTCGTTACTATTCAGGTGAATAGCGGCAGCCCTTACAAAAGGCTTGTTGTGTTTTCATTCATTGTCAAGGCAAAGAGCAAATGCTATTCACTTTTTTTTTTTTAAATTCACAGAAAAAATTTAAGTTTTAAAATTTTGGTAGGTATTTATAAAATAAAAAAAATCATAATTTTTTTTTTACAAATTGTTTCGTTTTTTTTTTTTTTTTTTTTTTTTTTTTTTTTTTTTTTCAAGCCAAAATTGGCAGTCGTTGGATTGGAGCACAAACCCTGGATCGGACCCTCTAGGAGTCGCCATGTGGCTTAGAGCTGTTGGGTAAAGCTGCGTTGACACCACACTAGCCACTTTCAAATTTAAATTAATTTTTTAGTTTCAAATTAATAATTTTTTTATTAATTCAGATTAGTTTAATTAACTGTTTTTAAATAGTTGTGACTCTTCTAATAAGGTTTTAGAGGTTTATTAATTTAAACAAAGCCTTATTCGGCAGACATAGAAAAAGCATTCTACAAGCACAGTTCATCTTGTCTGAGAGGAAAACAAATAAAGTTCGCCAGATTTTAAGTTCTAGTGCTAAGGCTTAGACTACGGATAGTTGAATCCTGAAAGGCAGTCACCTGTAGAACTTCAAGCACCGAGAATTGGTGAAATTACTGCCTTTAGTACATTGCGTCAAATCTGCAAGACTCTATCTCGAATCCAAGTCAGTTTCATTTGTTATTTGTTTATTGTATTCTGAATTACAGTTTGTTATAAATACAATTTCATTGATTTATATATATATATATTGTTAATATATAATTATTTTAAATAGTCTCTTATTGTTGTTTTTATTAAACAAAAAATACATACAAATATTTTATAAATTCAAATCATAATTATTTAAAAGGTCAAATAAATAATTGTTGGCCTAAATTATCTTACCCGTTTATGAATTGCATTTAGAGTCAATAACTGCATTAGTTAGCTAATTATTAGGATAATTACATTTTTTTGTCATTGGGGCAAGGCCCGAATTTAAATTTGGTCGCTGAAATTTCAATTTTCCGAAACTCATCACTCTACTTGCAATGGTTAACAAATCAAGTCAAATCCATTAGTTCTGTCAATTAAGTCCAAAAAATAAACAAAAATGAGAAAAGGATGACAAGGAAAAAAAAACCTAGCATTCGTCCAAAAAAAATCTAAGAGAGAATCATCTAGCTAGTGTTGAGATTGGTGGTTGCATGTGGCAAAAGATAGATCTGAGAGGAACCTCAGTTTTGCATTCAATTTGAAAATCAAGTTGATTTGGTGTAGAAATAATTCACTTAAATTTGCGGATTTTAAACTCATCAAGAAAGATTAGTTTGCGGAATGAATTTCACCCCCTCTCTTTCTCTCCAAAAATCCCTTGCAGAGAAACTTTGACATTTACCCGACAATGTATCAACAAAACTACTCATTCCACAGAATTCGCCCTTTGAAAATCCACACTAAGCGAATAAAGCTTTAAATCTCAACCCATGACAGTAAAGCAACTTCCTCAATATCAATCTTGAACATCACACAAACACAATGAAATTACCGAGTGACCAAATTTAAATTTGGACCTAATCCCGGTGACCAAAAATATAATTACTCCTAATTATTATGATAGAAATAACTCTTATTGTGATTCAAATCATAAGGAATTAAAATTGGAAAAAAAAATTTGAAAAAGAAAAAAATATCATTACATAAAAAAATTTAAGAAAAGAATGTAATCTTATGTGGCATAATGTAACATCCCACATCGACCAATGGAGAGAGGGTGATGTGCCTTATATGTACATGTCAGCCTCCATTTTGCACGAGGCCTTTTGGGAGCTTACTGGTTCGGAGTCATGGGAACTCCGAAGTTAAGCGAGTTGGGGCTAGAGCAATCCCAGGATGGGTGACTCACTAGGAAGTTGCTCGTGAGTTCTTAGAAACAAAATCGTGAAGGCAGAGAGGAGGGCTCAAAGTGAACAATATCATGCTACTACGGAGCCAATCCCTGGATGTGACACATAAAGGTCACACGACTTAGATCAAGAACACAAAATTCGAGAATTAAACCCAACTCGTAAATGGAAATTTGGATATATATCAAATTGAACCTTTTTCATTGCCAGAGTAGAATGAAACAACAAGATAGCCTGCTTATATTTTATGTGTTGATTAATATTTCTCAAATCAGTGAAAGCATTTATTCTCCACAAAGCTCCTTCGAAAAATTTTCATTCTACTAGTGAGCTTTAGCTTCGATCTCAGGACCAGGGGGAGCAACAGGACCACCTCGACGACATCTTTTGATCGGTAGGCAGCCACGACTATAAGGGCTACTAGGAGGAGGAAGAACACCTTGGTCATTGGAATGAAAACCCAAGAGCTGCCCACTTGGTATCTTTGATATGTCAGGAATCCTAGCCGCTACCTCATGGTTCAACACCGTCATGCTAATGAAAAGCAAACACAGGAACCACGACCTCATGTTGGAAAGCCAAAAAGAATTTTTCTTTCTTATGTAAGCAAGTTTTTTTTTTCTCCTCTGATTGTATTGTATTTACTATTGGCATGAGAGCCAATTTATATAATAAACTTTGCCTGTCCATGTTCTACCTACCACAATGGCTTTTTAGAGAAAACTATTCTGTACAGAAAAAATGCATACATGGTATTGTCATTCATGATAATTTTTTTTTCGTTCAGCGCATGAGTTGATTTCTCTTCCTATTTTCCTTTTTTATATTTTCAAAAAGAATTATTTTGCGTTGAGGAATTTATGTCAATTTATTATTAATCACATTAAGAAATTTAATTAATAATGTCTACCTTATGGGTACTTTTTTTCCTCTTTTTGTAAGAAATATACATGAGTACATATGGTTACTTGATAAGAACATTTTGGTTATACTCAATAAAATGTAAGATATTAAGGATTTAGTGAATGAACTACTTGTGTTTTGGGCTTAGTAAGATGTTTTTAAATTTTTGTTAGGTCAAGGCCTCCCATATGCTTTAGGGCCTGTTTAATATGTATTGGAAATGACGTTTTTACCTTTTGTATTTCATAGGGGGGTCAGCTTTGGATTCAATCCCAAACGGAGACCACGAGGCTGCAACCACCACCAACGATTTTAATGCCCATACTCATACCCACCACAACCACCATAGGTAAAAAGGTCACTGCAAAGCGGGACCTCCCAAGCAAATTCATCCCTAGTGACACGATCGCTGGTGGAGAAGGCGTTTTCCGATACCTGGAGAAGCAATTAGAGGATCGACGTCGGCGAATCCTCTAAGCTCGTAAGGCCGGTTTCGTCTCCAGTAAGATCGAACAGTATGTGGTTAGCCTTCTATATTTAGGAAGGTTTTAGATTTTTATAAAAAAAATTTCAAGCCAATGTTTAGGAATTTTTGGACCAAAAAAAAAATTGCTAGCTGACTTGAGCAGGCCCGAAAAAGCTGTTGCACCCATGAATCATGCCAAGTTTTGCCCATCTCTTGGCCTCTTTGGCTTGCTAACTAGGTTTGGCCTAGTGACATGACAGGTTTAGCCTACTTGCTGGATATGGCTTTTGGGTGTGAAATGGCTAAATTTGTGGGTTTAGCCCACAGTTGGAGATTGCCTTATACAGAAATAGTAGCACACCAAATCAACTAAATACGACAAACGATTTTGCCAATACACTGCCCTTGCATATATAATATATCATTGTTTTTTTGGGGCCCTCACAAATCTGAGGCCATGTGTTGTGGCACAAGAAATTTTTGTATGTTCCGGATACACCAGTTAGTTTATGTACCATCTAATACACATGAGACATGTGGAAATATTTTATTTTTATGTCCTATATGTATTGGATGGTACACCAACCAATTGGTGTATCCGGAACATACAAAATTACTTTGGTTGCGCCACTTGCACCACACCAGGGCCGGCTACATACAAATTACAATGCATGATACAAGGCCATCGTAGGTGGTTGACTTTGCCTCTATTTGTATTGTCATCAATGACCGACCCTCTTTTCCACCTCTCTTTTTAAAAAAATTGGAAGAAATAAAATTATACCTAGTGTAGGGGGGTGTTTGAGGATATGCCAGAATGTGTTGAGTAAGAATCTTATGTCCAAAAAAATACCACTTCATTTTCCTTTGAGGTGTCACAAAAGTTAGCCTATAATTTTTTATGTTTAAGGTCCTTCATGCCCTATGATTGAGAAGCTATATTTTGATGTTGTAAACCTTGGATGGCGTTGAAGGGTGCATCTAATGAGAAAAAAGAATATATAGAAAATGTTGATTGCCTCAATTAGCTTCTAAGTCTAGAATTTGTTGATAGAAGAAGTATATATAACAAGAGATTTCACATATCGTTCAAACGGAAGAGCATATGGCTAGTACTCGCAAATATTCTGTTTACATCTTCCTTATCCTAGTGATCTTTATGATTCATACAAAGATGGGTAAGTAATTTACAAGTTTTAATGTTTCAACAACAATGCTACTCTTATTACAATTTTGTACCACCTTATGTGGCAGTTGATATCGGACATGCCACATCAATTAAGTATTTAATAAGTAGTCATGTTTATATTTAAATTCTTTTAATTATGAATTTAACCCATTAAATTTCTAGGGTTTTTCACCTCCATCCCTTTTCTCAATCACCGGTGGAAACAATTTATCTAAAAAATGATTTTAAAAAAAATATGAAAATTTTGTGCTATGAGTTTTGACCCATGTATCTAGAATTTTATGTTTAAGGTTTTTCATATTTTGATGCCACTTAAGATAGTATAGAATTGTGGTTAAAAAAAATTGTGATAAGAGTGTTCTTGATGTTTTAAACATGCATATATAGCTGTATTTTAAAAAAAAAAAATGCATATATATGGCTAATGTATTTTCATTCCTTATAAATTTATTAGAAAAATTGATATAGATCCAAATTTTCATTAAGAAGTTAGTTTTAATCTTCGGAATTGGTGACTTTGATACAAGTCCTTTGACTTTTGTGTCATCACAATACTTTTTTAATATTTTCTGATGTAATATTTTTATTTTTATCTTAAATTATTTTTCATTCCAATGTTGCCCCTTATCCCTTCAATCAGGTAATTGTAATTTATGTAATAATTACGGGAATGAATTGTTTATGACCATAATTAATTAACAAATTAAGTAGTTATGACCATAATGATTTTGGTATATTAATTGTGTTGCCTTTTTTGTCTTCTTTTAATTGCATCCATGAATTCTATTAATTGCATCCATGATTTTGTATATTAACGTTGTCTTTTTTTTGTTCTTCTTCTAACCCAAAAAAATTGTTGGCCTTCTTTCTTATTGTTTACGACCTCTTTATTAGGTAAATTAAATAAACTGAAAAAAAAGGTATATTGAAAATAACAAAATACCTATATGTGAGGTAGATTATACATTATCTCATACTTCCCAAAATAAACAGGTACAATCCTAGTAAGTTATGTAAATATTCTCACATTGACCTAGTAATTAGGTACATAATCTTATATTTACTTAGTAATCAGGTACATTAGAAAATTCTACCTCTATATATACATATATTAATATAAAGCACATTAGCTCATAGTACCTATATATTAACGTCATCAATAGTTCTCTTGTTTATCTTGTTTTTCTCAAATTTTTTATTTGTTGCTATGCTTAAACACCACGAATCAACTTGATAAGTATTAAGCATATTGTGTTTTCAATATTTGGATGTTTACCTGATGCATAGGTACATAATTTCATGTGGGTGCTTGTTTCATTGATTAGTATAATATGTGGGTCTTTACTTTTATTGATTAAATTGCATTTTATCCATATATTAGGTATTCACAAGGAAAGAATTCAAATTTTAAATTATGAAATTCAATTATAATGAAATAATGCATTAAATTTGGATTTTCAATGTGTTTCCTTATTTATCTCAAATGGTAAAATCGATACAACAAAAAAAGTAATAAAAGTCAAAGGACCTGTGTCTAAAATCAAAACGGCGAGTACTTAGCCTAATGACAACTAATCCCTTTGGACCTAGATCTAAGAAGCCCTTCTTTTTTTCCTATAAAAATTGTACCTATTATGAAATAATAGGATAATGTACCTAATACAAATTTTTAAATTCTTCGAATTGTCTATCTAATAGGATAACGTAATAATGTACTTAATTTTTCTTAAGAATAATGTACCTTTTTTTATTTTTTATTTTTTATTTTTTTATTTATTTTTTATTTTTATTATTTTTATTATTTTTATTATTTTTATTTTTTAACATAAGTATGTATCTATCTATTTATCTATATTAGATATGGGGAGGTAAATTATTTTTTTTTATTTTTTTTTTTTTTTTTTTTTATGTTTTTTTTTTTTTTTTTTTTTTTTTTTTTTTTTTTTTTTTTTTTTTTTTTTTACAATATACCTTAATCAATATTCTTTTAGACAAAAAATAATAATTTGTTTTAGGTATATATTAGAATTTGTTTAATATTGTTATATTTAGGTACTATATTAGTGTACGGTTTGTATTACATTATTATTTATGTATTCATTGATTTATTTTTATCAAAACGTTTCAATATTAAATAGGTGCGAAATGAAAAAGAACTAAATATAAATGCTAAACACAAGGGATTTGACAAGTACGATAAATGGCATAGTGTGTAAATATTTTGTAATAAGAATCTACAATATACAATTAATCTCTAATGCCGACGTCCGTATTTATATTAATGTTCAGATTTTGTGATTTGCTTACATTCTTGTGCTAATAAATCAATTCAAATAACTTCCTCACTTTACATAGCATTGTATATAAAGTATAATACGTATGTTCCATTGTGTTTACAATTTTGCTCAACCAATCTTTTTTTTTTTGGCGAAACAGTAGAAATTCATTTGAAGAACAGGGCACAAATCCAGGATATAACAGTAAGAACACAGCCCCATAAGGAGGTTCTTGCAATACAAAGACTGTAACAACAACACCGACTAAGCACAAGTATTACAAGATAGTTAAAAAAACAAATATACAACTTGAAACCCAACTAACAAGGAGTTATAGATGAGGAGGATCCTAATTCTGCAGCGACCAGTGCTTAAATAAGATCAAGACAGAGAACAATCTCTCAAACTTCAGAGTTTTTATTAAAAATACCCAAAATTTACCCCCTATTTTCATAAATGTCAATTTTGTTAAAAACTTTTAAAAATAGCCAAAAATCCCCTTAAATGGACTCAAATGCCCTCAAAACTAAAACCACATAAATCTAAAATGCAAAACTCTACTAGATAAAAATTCAGAATTCAGTAGGAACATTTATAGCACTAGTCGAACTCCCATTATTTTTATTTATTTATTTATTTTGTTTCCCTTGCTTCTTTGTTCGTTCTACCATTTTTTTAAATAAACATATGCAAGCCCAAGCATGGTCGTGCTCATGGGATCTTAACAGTCCACAACATATATATATATATATATATATATAGGTTTTGATCCTTAACTATCTCGTTATATGCTTATAATCATTTGGACCTGTTTATGAAGTGAGTCATATATACATGATATGATACTGCATAGTGTCATCTCAAATATTGTAGTATCGGATCCGTATATGTTCATCCCTTTAATGGACAACATGGTTCCTTTTCTTGTTTTTACTGGAATCCATCATGCTTCTTTAATGATGGAATTTTATTTTAAAAAAAAAAAAAAAAAAAAAAAAAAAAAAAAAATATATAGTATTCTCTCATAAACTTTGCACAACCAAGAAAAGCCACAAGTGCGATTTCCTTTGCCTAATGTTTCCTGAATTTGTCCAAAATATATATATATATATATATATAATCAAATAGTTGTAGTTTTAACTTTTATGTGAGTTTTAGTTTTGCGTGCATTTGAGTTTATTTAAGTGGGTTTTTGGCTATTTTGAAACGTTTTTAACAAAATTGACATTTATGAAAGTATAGGATAAATTTTGACTATTTTTGATAAAAACTCCAAACTTCATGGGACAAAAAACACATAAAGAGTGGAGAGCATAACCGCTCAACCAATCAATTAGCAGCTGCTTTGTTTGGTATTACGTTGACAGCTATCTAAAATTCTGTATCTGTCAACACCCAACAACTTTTTAATGTTTAACTCGTCAAAACACTAAAACAAAACCAAAAAAAAAGAGAGGTCCATTTGGGTGCAACACGCTCTCAACCCTAAATTAAGAACTTGTTCTTCTTCCTCCTATCGCTCACGGCCATAGGACCTCCAGCTCCGGCCACAGCACCCATCCACCTGCTTTTGATTTTCTCCATGAATAAATCACTTTTTTTGTTACCCTCCCGTCGTTGTTGCTATTTTGTGTTAGCCGAGTGGGTGTAGGGTTAACAATAGTATTAGAAAACAAAACAGTGCCATACTCTTCTACTTGCCTTGTTATTTCTCAACACAATGGAAAACCACCCAGTGGGACTGTTGTAATGAATATGCAATTCAATTTTTTATGTAGGTGATATATAAGATGTTTTGGTCTGCATTGTGAGTTCAAATTTTTTATTATTTATATTTTATGAGAAGCCTCCTCACATATGAAATCCTAACTCCGCCACTGTTAATGAGACGCGTCTACTTAGGTTCGATCCAAACTTGTTTATTATTTGCACATTGTATATCATTTGTAATATGTTCTTTTTTTCTTTTGAAATAAGCGATATTGGAGAGGGAGTTTTTGCACACACGCATTGCTAAGGTGTCATGAGAATTCGAACTTGAGACCACTGGTTTGTAAATGGCCACTTTCCATTGAGTTAGACCCCGTTGGTCATTTGTAATATGTTAATATTTCATCTACCCTTCATGCCATTAAAATGCTCCAACAGCTCATTGTTTCTTGGATAAATTGTTTAATAAAATGCCTCCAAGAAGCTTTAGGTAGAAGCAAACAAAATATCCTTGGGAGCTTCTTTATCTTGACCCTACAAAAGAAATAAATTAACAATAGCAATACTAAAGAAATAAATTACGAAATCAAATGCTTGTTAGTGATGGATTTTATAATGAACTTTCACATCTTATATAATGATTTGGCACTAAACGTGCTTTAAGTTCATTATATAATATAATCATGTTGAAAGAAAGGAAAGTTGTTAAAGATTGAGTTTCCTCACCAGCAGACATGTCAAGACTCAAGAGGCCATCGTCTTTTGAGTTCTGCCCAAGAAAAAACAATGTATATACAAAAGAAAAACGCACCATATAGTTAGTGGAATCTAAAGTCGATATATAGCATTCGAATCCAACGTGTTTGCCTAAACAATAATTGATGGCAAATGAAATACTCAATCAAGTAATTTTTAAATTTAAAAAAAAAAAAAAAAAAAAAAAAAAAAAAGAATCGTCACCGTATCAAGTTATTGTCGTTTATCAAATATATGGTGTTCAATAATTTGATAGTCTAACAATATAACATATCAAATAGATTGATAAAAAAAACATCACTTCTTAGATAATTTAAGTGAATCAGTTCAGCTTCAAGCAATCGAATCTCAACCGATCGAATCTTAACCAATCAAGGCGATAAAGTAACATGTAAAAACTTAACAATCTTAAAAGAAGAATTTGGGTGTTACATCAACTAACAAAGGGGCTCAGTTTTTGAAGAATGATTAGTTAAATTGGGCAGCTTTGATCTTTTTTGCAACCTTATCTCTTCTTCAATGAAAACCCATACAGGCAAGGAAAAAGTGGCATAACAGCAAAAGCTTCTACTTGAATCAGCAAACTGATTCGAAAATTATTGTGGTATATATGGTTGGATAGAAGGACCAATTTCCTACGGGACTTGGCATTATTTTTAATATTCGAAAGGCATCCATGTCTCTCTCTTCACACACACACACACACAATTGGATAATATAAACCTAAAGGGAAAATGGAGCCCAGAGATCTAGCCCGTTTGAAGTTAAAACCGCAATCATTAATAAAATTTGTCTGCCAAGTGGTCACCCAATATTTTGATAGACAATACAAAAGTAATAATTCAAATAATTTTTTTCTTTTGTATTGATATGGTGTATGATTGATTTAAGTAATGGAAATGTTAGGCACCGAAGACCAAAGGGGAAAGGAAAGAGAGAAACTAAGATAAGTGTTAGAATTTTTAATTTCTCTGAGAGAAAAATACTAGTTTTTTTATATAATTAATTTGAAGTTTTTAAATTTTTAATTGTTTTTTTTTTTTTTTTTTTTTTTTTTTTTTTTTTTTTTTTTTTAAAGAAAGTTTAGGGGGAGATTAGCTACTCTAGTTGAAATGACTTACGTGTGGCACTCAACTGCCAACAGTCATCGATATGGATTTATGTAGAAAATTATAGATCATGCGACCAACGAGAATTGCTGACAGCGGGACTCGAATACTGGTGGGGCTACACACAGTGTAGGGACCTTATCAACTGAACCAACTCTCGTTGACTTTTTTTGAAACATTGATTTTTAGAAGAAAAAATATATTTTTTAATTTAAAATAAAAAAATTGCAAAGATTAATTAACTCACAAAAACAAAGTGTTTGCTTAATCTATAACCAATTCGTGATTATTGTTATCATTAAGTAATGCGAGTTCTCTTTTGGTAAAGCCTGAAAGTCACTTGCACTACTCGTGCGGGGTCTGGTCTGGTCGTTGTCCACCATAATCTCTTCTAACATTTAAATATATGCTCACAGTATTTCCAATAAATATTATATACAAATATATTATTTTATACGTAGAAACCACAATTTGTGATCCTACTTTCTTTAAACGAAAACCTTTTTTATGAGAGAAAGACTCTCTGTTTGAATTGTTAAACCTACTCAGCCAGTCCTTCAGATTTTCTTTGTGTATGAATTTACTTTGTTATACCTCAACAAAGTTATTAGGAATGTAATTAGCCAAATTATTAATTTTGTTCCCATATTCAACAAATATCCACATAATCGATGCATTAAATGGACAGTCCGACAACATAATATATTGAACAACTTAAATATACATTTTTTTATCATGCATTGTGCATTGATTATCAATGCTAATGTTCTTTATTAGTCGGGAGAAGGAATTCAAACTTCGGACTTCTTCTAACATCTAGAAAAAATATACCACTAATATCATCATCCTAATGTTTAATTAATCGATTGTATTATGAAAAATTAATTGTTATGACCCTAATTCAATTGTTCGCCTAAATGAGATAAATTCCTAATTCCGTCACTGATTATAGTTCTTTTCTTACTCTACGTATGGCTTATGTAGAACTTTGACTTGTGTATCAAGAGATATACTTTGCATCAAACTACCCCTCCCTTGGGTTTTCATTAGTAATTTTCTTTTACTTAATCATTTGAGCTAAGATTAACGTTTTTCAGGTCCATTCCAGGATTGATGGGGAAGGTGTGAAACCAACATCAAAACGTGCCACGTAGCCCCCTGGTCCACAAGTAAAAGAGAGGGCAGTGTACAATTATTGGTGGGTCACTTAAGGAACGGAAGTAACTGAAAGCCACTAAAGAAGAAAGGTGATTGCAAATTAAAAAAAGTTATTTCGAAAGAAAAAATATATTTTTTAAATAATTTAAATATAAAAAAGCTAAAAAAGCAAGAGAAAGTAGGTCTTACTTGGCACATTCTTAGTGAGTAAGAAATTGGAGCCTGGGAATCTAGATGACAATGATGTATTTGTATTCCATATGTTTGCCACCTGGAGTGGAGGGCTCCATCTTGTTCCACTGTGGATGTCTAGAACTCTTCAAAAGCTTTTCTTTACTTTTCTTTTAATTTTTTTTTCAATTCAACACAAAAACAAATTTTATATCAACAACAAAAACAAAAAAAAAAAAAAAAAAAAAAAAAAATCAAGATTAAATTATACTTATTTCTTTTTGCTTATGGGCTTATAATGATACTTAGTCTCTGCAAATTCTACCTTCTTTTTTATACAATCGATATTGGAGAGGGAGAATCGAACCTAGTACCTTGGATACAATCATAAATACTCTAAATTACTTGAGCTAATTTTATCCACACAAAAAAATTAGTTATGTTTATTCACCATGAATAATCCATTAATCAAACAACTATTAGTTACGTGAAGAGTAATGTTACACAGATCACATTTATGTACCATCTCTCTAATTGAGATGTAACCCACTCACACGATGAGTCCCATTTCTATTAAAAACATGATACATAAATGTGGCGTCCGTATTTTCCTTAACTGAAATCATATATCACTGTAGAATCTTGATCCATATCATAGATCTCTAAACAAATGGGAAAAAAAAACAGAAGGAAAAGTTTCTTACATATATGTTTATGTATTTATCTTTTTATTCCCCATATTTTTGTCCCTGCTCTTTTATATGGTAATCCTAGTATACCATATTCCACAAACTCATGTAGGCAGGATAGCCTTAGTATTATGATGGAGCCTTGGATAAACCCTCAACTTGCAAATTTGAAATAAAGTAAAATGAAAGGAATATAAGCTAAAGAAAAAGGAATTGTCCTATTTGTCCGAAAAAAGAAGAATTGTCCTGAAAAAAAACATTTCAAAAGAAAAAGGAAAAAAGTTATATATTCCATGGCCTATATATAGAAAGGCTGCACCATGTAAAGGGTTCAACAGCAAACAAAATCTATTTCCTCTGTCTAAAACAGAGCTCTCATATAGTCATTTGACTCTGTTTCCTCTGTTTTCATGCTTCCAATCATCAAACCCCTCACAAAATCTACTACTCTGATAGTAGTGCTACCAATATTGGCTCTGATCAGAGACATGGTAGGTTACCAACCCTTTCGAAAAATCAGTTTCGTTTTCGAGTGAGAACCACACAAAATCCTCACAACCTTTTTCAGGATTTTCATTGATTTCTTCTCTCAGAACCCCATTTTTTTTAAAAAAAAGAGAGCGATGGATTCGATCAATTTTTATGACATCAAAGCTGAAAAGGCAAACGCCACATTGAGGTACCGCCAGCGTCGAAAGATTGCAAATCTGTTTCGTTTGATAGAGGGGATTGTTGTTCTGCTCCTGCTTTCCAGGTTTTCTCTTCAGCTCCCTCATGCTGTCAAGAACTCTGGCTTCTATTTCCGGGACATATCAGGCTTCGTGGTCAGCCCTCGCTTCGTGTTCGTCGTTGGAAATGTAATAGTCATCATTCTCTTTGTCAAGTCCGGCGGGTTTTCAGGTAAAGACTCCAGCGCAGGAGCTGATCTTTACGATGAGTTTGTTCACAACAGCGAAAAGAACCAGAAGATTCGGAGCGATGCGATCGAATACCATGCCATACAGAGCAGAGCTGAGGACAGCACAGCTTCTGAGAAGGCTCATACTATTTCTGGCAAAATCAAGAACTTTACAAGGAGCCAATCAGAGAACTTGGAGCGCGAGGCTTGCAAGAATTCACGGCGTTTACTGAGGCGGTCTGAGACAGAAAAATTCAAGAAAAGGGTTGAATCTGGTGAGAGATTGGCAGAGAGCGCGTACCCTGAAGACTCCATGAGTAATGAGGAGTTTCGCTCCAAGGTCGAGGCTTTCATTGCCAGGCAGCAGAAGTTTCGACTTCAAGAAGAGTTCTCTGTAAACTAGTGTGAGTTATGGGATGGGAAAATCTATAGTTTCTGTTTTCTTTTTTCTTTCCCTTTCTTTTCTTTTGGGGTGGGGGGTGTTTCTGTAAGTATTTGTACATTGCTATATCAGAAGTGCAATGTAAATTTCTTATAGCTCTGTTCATATTTCCCTCAAACTGATAAATCTATAGTTCTAGTAGCACAAGCAATTAAGCTACCTGTTTAGCAATTTTTTCTTTCTTTCAAGAATTACTTCTTAAACCTTATTTTTCTCTTAGACAAGGTAACAACGTAAGGCCACTCATAGCTTTAGTGGTAGAGCGTTTATTCTCACACTCACGACAAGAGTTCGAGCGAGTTCCGCTCTACTTCGATAAGAAAACAAGGGTTGACCATATGGCATGACCCACGTCACTAAATCATCACCTAACCAATTCCAACTTCCAAGCATATGCCAATAGGCCAATTGAAAATGGGTACTTCCAATTTTCAAGAGAATAGATTTGCAGATAAGAGAATTTTCCTGAGCTGTTTCCATTTTCTGTATGGCTCAAACAAGGGGCATACTGGCAAGAATGTATTCCAAATTCTGTTCCACACATTATTATGCATCAATCCAGACTCTCTTTCTTTCTTTTTCTGAATTGAAAGGATAATTTGGTGGCATAAAGTCTGAAGAAACTATAAAATTGAAGCAGTTTTGACAAATCAGTTTTCAGCCATTCCATAATCCAGAGACTGGATTGGACTGGACAGGACAACTCCATATAGAGATGAGCATCTTTACCCTCTACCTCAATAACACAAACCAGAATAAGAGGGGCACAGCGTGGGACATAGAATACAAGCACTAAATGTTGGTACACTGAGCTTTTCTAGTCACTCAATAAAAATCTGTCTTTTCACCAGCACTAACTCTATAATAACTTTTGGTAATGTCACTAAACTACAACCCTATTGGATTGTCTGTATCTTAAGATTCAATTGTATTTGATTCTTAACTAAAAATAACAATAGTAAAAACTTTTAAGTCTATAAAAGCCCTCGAAGAATCGAGAAACACTCAGATAGATTATGAGTGGTAGAACAATTTAATTAATTAATATGGCATGTGTTTAAGATACACTAACAAAATGCCACCCATCAAAATGTCATAGCAACTCATTATTCTTTGATATTTTCTTTAAAGGTGTTTAGCAAACTGCTTGATCAAATCCCTCAAAGTTCCTTTGAGCTCTTCTTCACCTTGCCCCCAAGAGAAGCACAACTGAGAAAAAAAACTGTTCATTGAATTTGAACACATGTTACCTTTTAACTCGACTATTTTATCACTTATCACTCCTACGTGATAGGAACAAACCCACGTAAGTTTTTCCACATCTGATCAAATGGATCAACAAAACTTCTTGTGGCGTACAAGTTTCCTGAGCTGTTTCCTTTGAAAAATGTTTGGATGGCATGTCTTTGTTGTCTACATCTGATCAAATGGATCAACAAAACTTGTCTCCATCATGCCTTACAAAACTGGAAATTCATTGATCTCTTAAACAACCAACATATTCTCCAAAGAAGATGGAGGAAAATTTACGGCATATGTTACAGAACCTTAAAGCAAGACTTGGGAAGGGCAACCAAATACCAAAACAGCATAAAAGTATATGGACAGCCAATCAGAAGGCGCAGGAATTGTAAAACTTGCTCACATCATTTTTTTTTCTTCTAATTCGAAGCAGAAGATCGTCAACAGTTTCTCCTTCTCAGTCTATGGATGTTGTGGTGTATCAAGACAAGAGTATCGCGGCTTGAGTTGAACGATGGAAGCGATCCTCTGCACCATTTGTCCTTAACTCTTCTCTACGAAGACCTCCCTTGCATCATCAGCTGAATCAGCAGCTTCCGGAGCCTAATGGGTGGCCATCAGAGTAATTCACCTTTATGATTCCTCCGGCCACTTCAATGATAATTGAACCATTCACCACAAGCAAGTCATTGAAGTATTTAATAGCTCCAGATTATAGCAACATGTAAAAGCTAACAATAGAATTGTTCAGGCATGCATAGATTGGGGGCATGACTAATATGAACCTTGAAGATTCCTTCCAGTAATTTTGGGAAAAGCAAAAGGAGCACATCTAGGACATTGCTTTCCAATTACCCAAATTAAGTAAAAGAAGTTGACACGCCACTCTCATCCTCCATTGTAGTGGCCATACTGGAGAAAAAAGAGCTTCTAATTAATCCTACTGGCCACTTACTCTCTAAAGAAAAGAAAAAAACACCAACATTATAAGTTGGAAACATACCGATGCAACATTCATAATATACAACTCCACAATCTGCCCTCGTCATGGATTCCCATAGATGGACAACGCATTCTTTATCTTTGTCAAGCCAATGCCATCATCCCATGCTTTGTATACCCTACTCTTCTTTCCAGAGATGCATGACATTTATTTAAAATCCTTTGGTATTCCAAACCACAAATGACCCCTTGTTTGCAAACTCACATGGATGGAAACCACTCATGGCCTTTCCCATGAGTGCCATAGCAGCAATGCTTGGAAACTGCTTCTTTTGTAATTCATCTACTGTTGCTTTCAAACGTTGCGATTTAAAAACAACCACTGCTTCAGACTTCTTTTGGGATGCTATTTTATTAGACCACCGCCGAATCCAAGGATGTGAGAGTGTTATATTTTGAATTTTCGCCCCCGAGTCAATGGAAGACGACTCACCATTTCTTAATAAAGTTGCAGTTTGATCCGATGCCATCTGTTCTTTACCAAGAAATCTGCCCATAGCAGGTTGTGAACTAGTTATACCGCATTTCATAATCCTGTTAGAAAATTTGTTTACTTTTTCATGTGAAGAGGCTTCTCCCATTTTTGAGCTTTTTGTACCATGAGCAGACTGAGAAGCACTCAACTTGAGACGTTTAACCCACCTGCTGCCTGGCTCTGGTCCCTGAGGTCCTTCTGGACTTGCACTGGATTTTGAATTTGTGGGCTGCTCAGCATGGGAAAGGAGATGTTCCACATCCAAACTCAGGGTTTTTGAAGTGCTTGTCTCCCTTTCTTCTGCTGAACTTGCAAAAGGTGCAACCTGATTTATGTCAAATAATTTTGTGTAAGTAAGTCTAGCTCCAATCTCTTCTCTGCCTGAAGTGAAGGCTGATTGAGATGTAGGTGACTTCTCGCCCCTCTCAACATGCTGCAAAATTCAAAAATCGAAACTGGTTCCCATTTAGTGTTATGCTAAATATGTTATCAGATTCGATCCAACATAGTTGATCCTTAAAAGGCCAATTTACTAGGAAGGCAACGTTTAAGGTGTTTTGGGTGAACAAATACTGATTCAACAAATTATTCACAAAAACAAAATTAGTAAGAGTTACCTTATCTGATGGAGATGACGCCACCACACCTGATACAACAAGCAGAATCATTAGCCAAAAGACATAATAAAGCGGAACACAGAAAACTTTTTATATGTTGCTACTCTATGAACTTTAGTGATAATTACTTTCTGAAACATATATTAATTTTAAGCACGATGCTGTAAAACCTAAATAGCCTATATATATAAAAAGGTGTAAATGATGTTCAACTAAGTTGTGAGTCCTGAAATATATGAGATAGAGTGTGTCAATACCAGGAAGAAGGTTATCCTGGAAAGCATCCATGCCCATAATATCTGTTTCAGAAGATGATTCGACCGCAGGCTCCTTGACATCTCGTACATCTTCCTCTCCTTCACCGTCTGTAGAGCTCCTGTAAGGTAGCAGCTTCAATCCAGGCTGAACAGGGAGAACATACTCTGGAGAAAAACCACGGAGCTCACTGGAAGCTTTTCCTTTCAATTTTTTTGATACAGTTGACTGTCCAAACACTTGAGCTCCTTCAGACAAGTTAACAACGGTGTTTTTTGAGAACAGAAAATGGTGAATTGCGTTTGAAAACTTGGGAGGACCTCCAGATAATTCTTCCTCAGCGTTGACAGTAGCACATATTCTCATAGTATCCATGTTATGCACAGAACGCTGAAGGCTTGGCCGAGAACAGTATCCTTGATATACATTTTCCAATTTGGTCACCTCTGGGGGACTGCTGCTGCTTGGAAGCAAACCAATACCAGACTGATTTTGCATTTCCCAGAAATTCTTACCAACAAAATCTGGTTTCTGTTCACCGCTTCTGGAGGGGTCATGTTGTAACAAAACCGCATCATTCTGCCTCGACAATGAACCTTCTGATCTTCTAGAGATGGAATTGCCATTGATATTCCTCTCATGAGCCAACAATGAGGAACTCGAGTGATTAATAGTATTTCTGACATTTTGTCGAGGTGCTAGAAGAGAGTTCGAATGATTACTTTCCTCCTCTCTACACATGAAAGAAGGCAAAGAAGTGCTCCCGCCCTTAAATTGATGTGGCACAATTTCAGAATCTGATCTCATTAATTCATCTGGAAATGACTCAGAAACAGCTGGGCTATTATTCTCAAGAAAATTATGATATTTCACCTGCCCGCTGGGAAGCGGTGGGGTGGCTTGCAGAGCCCTGGCAGGCATTGCAGGTGAGTTACTCTCACTAAGTACACCAGCATGGACAGTAGAACCTTGCTGGTTCTGTTTAGCCAAACTAATCTTTGGAGGAAGACTGAACATTGGAAAGGACTGGCCTTCCCATCTCTCTTTCCTTGTTTCCTTTGAACTCTCTGTCAGACTACAATCCTCATTGATTTTTCTTACTCTTTTGGGTTCAGTTACTTCTCCAAACCCTCTAAACAAGGCATGCTTCTTACAATCATGAATATTTTGTTGGGCATCCTCATAATGAATTGATACATGACCACATGCCTTGGTTTCTGACTTACAAGTTGTGCACATCCAATGACCCATCCAAACAGATTCATAAGGATATGAAGCTCGCTCACTTGTTCCTTCACCAGCATGATATGATCGTGCAACCCGATCAGACATGACAAATACACTTTTACACTCTGTCCAGTTTGGTTTAAACAACTTTATTTCAATGGCTCACCTGAAAAATCATACCACCATATGTATATCAACCATGAAAAGTTCAAGCCTTGTAAATCCACATCCCCATCCTCATGGATATAAAGATTTCAAATTTATAGTACAAAATTCACATTCTTTTTTCCAGATAGTAATTGAGGAGAAAGAAAACTCTTTTGGGTTACTAAAGATATACCTCCTTTTTCTCGACCCAAAAAAAAAGATATACCTCATTTTTCATTTTTGCTAACGCAGGCACACAAAATTCCAACGTTTATTATTTAATGAAATAAACAAAAGAGAGAATTTAAGCCTAAATTACCTCTAAAGGTGAAGATGGTAAGACTTAGACACAGCAAGCGTTTGACGGCAGAGATCCAGAGGGCGAGATGGATGCCAAAGCTGCAAGATACGAGGGAGAGAGGGAAACAGAGAGAGGTGTGAGGTTGAGGAGAGTGAATGTGAGAGATGAAGCAATAAAACCCAAAAATGAGAAAAACTTTTAAAATGAGATGGGAAGCAGAGCAAAGAGCATCTGAAAGCCGAGGCTTAGCACTCTGCTCAGCCAAGACAGCCACAGCCACAATCCGTGAGCCAAATAAGGGAGGGACCCATTAACCTGCACTTTTCCATTTGGTCCTCCTCTTTTTATACTTTTCTTTTATTCTCTTTTTCTTTGTTTATTCATTTTGAAGATTTTATATGTTTCTTCTTGTCAAAATCGAAAGGTTGCATTCATATTTCAGACATAAACACCGTTAGCCACAAAAGTTAATATAAATATAATAGTACCAATATGAAGGAGTTCAACGACAGCATCAAACTCATACGATAACACCAAAATTTTATATAATTCACTGTATGTTTTTTTTTAATGTAAACATATTCATTGTATGTTTAGAAACAGCAGATGTTTGTTTGTATTTTTATATAAGGTAAGATGTATTAAATGGAGTTATAACGCACCATATGTATGGTTAATTATGATGCAATAAGTGCATAACAGTTACATTGTAAGGACATTGTACTTGACAATTATTTCTTTTATTGCAATTCTTATTCAACACCATTGGACTTAAAGTTATTACAATCACCTTGTATATTATGACTTGTATATAAAAAAAATAAAAAAGAATTTCAAGGTCAATGAAATCTAATCTAGTGAAAAAGGGTATTGACTTGCAAATAAGATATCTCATATTCGAATTCCCATGACATCTTAGTTGTGTGAGTGTAAGAAACTCCCTCTCCTCTAATTTAAATAGTAGCTCGTACTAAAAAAAAAATATTTAAAAAAATTGGGGATTATGAAATTCAAAAACTAAATAGAGGGACCAACGAAAGTGAGAAGATTCTAGAACTATATAGTTACTCATAGTTGTAATGTTAGTGTGTCATATTCTTCATTCTACTTTCCTTTTCCAACATACTAGGGGGTGGATATTTATGAAGGAAAATATGTCATAAAACAAAAAGTATATAGAAAAGTAATGTGCTGGTCAGACATATATATATATATAAATAATCCATGATAAAAGACATTCTATATTATATTATTATTTTTCTTTCTAGGATCTGGGCCTGCCACATAAAGGTTGACTCTGAACGTGGCATGATACTCAAGCCAAGATTTGTTGAGAGACATGGGTACTTTTCCATTTAAAAAAAACTGCTGAAATATCTTTTCCCCATTGCAAATATCTTGGCCAACCGACCGAGCTTGCAAGTTGAAGTAATGGGCAAGCGCAGATCCTCATCATGGACAAATATCTAAGGAAGCATGCTCTCCAGATATATATATATATATATATAGATGATATTTATTTTGCATACAATGCATGTTTACATATATATGTTTTATTGCAATAAAAAACTTACTTTGATAGCTTTAATTTGCACTATATGATTCTCCAAGAAAAGAAAAGAAACATCATGTGACATATCAACGTCCTGTTTTGAATTGACGTAAATTAGCATTTGTGTTGGATTTTTTACAAAATGAATTTATAAAACCACGTCAACATGTCACATGATAATGGAGCGGAAGCGAATCTAGGCCAGAAGTGGCTTTGGACCCATGTTTATTTATAGGGTGTGGAGGGAAATACAAAGAAAAATTTATATAATTTCAGTTTATGGCCCTCCACCACTATGAAATACCACATTAATATGAAGGTAATGGCAAATGAATAGGCTCAGCTGATTGATTAGCCACTTCTTTCAGCTGTAGTCTTCCTATTGGTTGCAATTTATTTTCCTTCTCTTGGAGAAAAAGAAAATAAATATTTATAAATATATATATATAAAAAAAGCAAAAGACCAAAGAAGAAAAAGTCAGAGTCGGATAAGCATGAAGACGCGTACAACAAAACACTGAAAATGAAAAGCAAAATTTTTGTGGCAGGCTCGGCTGGTTTAGAGTGTGGAGCCAGCCGAGCAGCGATCCAGAAAACCAATTTTACCCTTTTTAAAAATAATTTATAGTTTTTATTTTATGTACATGGATGACTTGTTGGACGGTTACATCGCCACTCGTCTCGTTCACCCACCGAACATCACGAGTTTGGCCATATTTTGTCCACGTCATTTCCTGGAGAGGGGACACTTGTACTACGTTGTCTATTGGTCGTGCGTTCGACATTATAAGGCCATCTCCAGTTATGTCCATAGATTAAATATAACCTTTTTTTTTAAAAAAAAATTTCATCTCCAATTATGGGATTTAAAAAAAACAAAGCCTATATTTGGCCCTTTAGCCCTCCAACTAGACTATTTGTAGCCCAGCTTTGGATTAAGCCCAATGCATGTGCTTTCCAAGAAGAGAAAGTATCATGCATAGGTAAGAGCACGAAACATCTCATGCAACTACATATTTAATAGCCAACATTAAAAGTGCACTGACGTCAGCTAGCCGTTAAGTGTTTTTTTAAATAACATTTTTAAATGTTTTCAAGTTCGTTTTATTTTTAATATATATTTATTTAAAACCATTGATTGAAAAGTTACTTTTTTATTATATATATTTAAAACCTTTTTAAATGTTTTAAATTCATTTTGTTTAAAAATAAAAAATAAAACGTACACGTGTCATATATGGAATATTGTTTCTAAAGAGTAGTTTAATTAAATTAAACAATACATAGTTATAGAATGTATAAGTGTTATGCTATAGTTTTTCTCAAAATAATAAAATATGAAGGGCCATAAAATATAGCCCTGCATGATTGGAGATGGAAAAATTTAACCCTACACTATTCTTTAAAAAATTAATACTTTACAGGGCTAAATTTATAGTTCCGGACTACATTTAATCCTATAACTAGAGATGAACACTATCCATCTAATCTTCCTCTATGTAGAAAAACTTGTATGAAACGAGAATAGTACTGTTTCTTTATTTTTGGTCAATTACAGACTATCACGTGAAAAAATTATCATATATGGCATATCATGATGGATCGAGGATTACAAAATAGTGATATCCCCATTTTCATGTAAGTGTTTCTCCCATTCATGTAAAAACAAATGAGAATTGTTTAAAAGTATTTTCTCTCTTTTTTCTTTTTTAAAATTTTATTTTCTATTGCCCATGTCTTAGGTAATTGGAACTACCAACACAACATCTGTTTATCAATATTTTTCAATTGATCAAATTTCATCCTATCTTGTTAAACATTTTTTTTTAGTAATTTAATTTTTAGAATCACAATATCGTGATTTTTTTATAAACAAAAGTATAACTAAACAGAAGATCCACAAAGAAAATCCTAAATTCCGAACATCATACAATATTGTGATATTTTTTTGTGTTATTTCGTTTTCTTATCGAGTATTGGTTATTCAAACCTTTCTTTTTATCTCCACTTACTTTTTCTTCAAGAAGAAACGAAAGAAGACAAGTCATGTCTAACTAGATGTGCTCATCATGTAAGAAATAAATATAAAATAAATATAAAAAGCTGCCCGTCTTAATCAAAATTCTCTCTCACGACGTAAACCATAAATCGCATTCTGTACGTTGAATTCTAACATGATAATGAAAGAAAAACCAAGCATCTAATAGCACGAGTGCTGCTATTTTCAACCCTAGTCTTTTTTTCCCAGCATTCAACATTATTTGCAGCTAGTGCACAATCTCCATGTTTTTTGCTTGTTTTGGAGAAAGAGATACCAACAAGTGAAGCGGCAATAAACCACCATATGAGGCAGGACCTACAGGCTCACACGCCCTCCACGTCCACTCACACTGGATAGACGAGTTGCACCCTTATGAGGCGGGACCTACCCTTTGTCTTGAACAATAATATGATGTTTGGAGTGTTTTGAGCTCCAAAAGATACCTGAATTTTTTCCCTCTAGGCCCCACATTAAGAAATGACGTGGCAAGGGCCCATTGAGTCAAGGTCTTGGGTCTAGAAGCTAAAGTATCCAAGTCCGAAGCAAAAAACAAAGGGATGAGACCCAAAGGCCCACGGCCTTGACACCACAGACTCGACCCAAGAAACAACGCTTGGCCCAACCCAAACCATTATGCGGGCGGAAAAGTTTGACCAAGAGCAAGCTCGGCGACTGTTCCTCGGCCTATATTCATGTTTTGTCGTTAATGTAACACATTTATTATTCTGAAAAAAAATGTCACACATTTATTATAGTTTGAAGACTAAATTCATATTTTGATCATTAGAAATTACAGGTTTTTCTTAAAATATGAAAATTACAGGTTACAAGGGTCGATTAGACGAGAAATTCTTAAGTACACTTAGTTTTATATAATTTTGTCTCTTATTTACTAGATCTCTCCCACGAATAAAAGTGATAGACATAAAATTATATGGAAAAAGCATTTTGGTTTTTAAAAAATAATAACAAAATATTCAAGGTTAGTTGAAAATAGCTAGTGATGATGAAGTAAAATTTCAAAACTGGCTAGCCAAACGCTTTTAAAGTCATCTTCATGCTAAAATAACTAAAATTTGACTAGTGTTGTCGCAGATACTCTTATTACTTAATCTTTCTCATGCCGCATGATGCAAGTGATAGAAAAATACTTTTTTTTTCTTCATATAAATAAATTTGTATACAACCAATGTTAAGAAAAAAAAAATGGTTTTTACAATGTAAGATTAAAATATACTTTAAGGAAATAAGAATGAAAAAAGATGGCCGAAAAAGCCAATTTTGCATTTGGCATCATCTTTTTTTATTTGGCAAAAAAATTTGGTCATTTGTGCAAAATTACCAAATTGTCTGACAGCATAAGGCATCATCCCATCACCCGTTATTCAGATTCTACCCCGTTGCCTTTGGTGACTTCTATTCAACAACGATTCATGCGCGTCACTGTCCGTTAAATATAAAAAGAGAAAAGAGAAGAGAAACAATAAAAATAGTTCAAAACCCATACAGATCTGCACGCTTTTTTTCTTCTCCAACAATTCTCGCCAATCAATTCTCGCCGCTCTCCAAGCTTGGCAGTCATCGAAGGTCAGCTTCCCTATCACTTTCCTTACATGTTTCCCATTGTTCATTGTTGTTTTGGATCTGGATTTGCCTTTGATTGTGCTAAGTGTTCATTTGTATTGTCTCTCATTTTGCATTCAATCACTCGTTTTTTGGGAAATCCCAGAAACTTTTGTTCCATCTTGTGTGTTTTGAATTTGGGGATGTTGGTATTTGGGAGCTGGTGATGCTGGATCTGTATTTTGAAGCTTCTTTGTTTGTTTGAGGACATTGTCTGTTTGTGCCAAACCCTAGCTTTTAGCTTGATTGCTGAGAAAAAAAGTAAGCATGGGAAGAGAAATGAACAAGTTGAGGTTTCGGTAGTAATTTTTGTTGGTTTTGTTTACATGTAATGAAATGAAATATTTAGTAGTTTTCTTAGTTAACTGGTTTTCCAACTTTTCTTGGGCCCCAAAATTAGTGAAAGCCTTCTAAGATTTCTCATTCTACATTCTCTTAGCATTCGGAAATCCACATTAGGATTTTTTTCTCTTCTACATATCCTGGACTGGGATTGTTTTTTGCATAAGGTGTCTGGTGTGTTTATTTGAGTTTGCTGCTAGCCTATCATACACGATGCATACATAGAGACATGCACATCAACATACGTATATCAGCATATAAACTCATTCATACACATATGTATATGTTTGGTGCTTCTTGTGATTGTGACTACTTAGTTTGATAAGACCGTACCATTGTATTAACAGATTGTGAAGTTTGGAAATTGAATTGAATGGAGGGAGTTGGGGATGAGAGTGCCTCGGCGGCATCACCTGTCAACAAATGGATATTTGACATGTCGAGGCTCTATCAGTATTATCTGGATAAGACTACTCCTCTTTCAGTCCCAAGATGGGTCGGAACTCTTGCTTTGGTCATTGTTTATGCGCTGCGGGTTTATTATATTCAAGGGTTTTACATCATTTCATATGGTCTTGGGATCTATATACTAAATCTTTTGATTGGATTTTTATCACCATTGACTGACCCTGAGATGGAGGCTTCAAGTGGGGCTTTACTGCCGACAAAGGGTTCAGATGAATTCAAGCCTTTCATTCGCAGACTTCCTGAGTTTAAGTTCTGGTAACTTAATGTTCCCATTTTTATCGTATTTTACATTGTTTGCATTCTATAGGTTATTGGTTATCTTCATAGCACTCCTATATGGTAATGCTTAATGTTTATGGGGTTGTGAAACATTTACTGGTTGCCCCTTTGTGTCTTATACTTTTCTTGTTTCATGGAGATTGTGTGGTAATCGGGTTACTTGGAGAAAAATGGTTTTCAAGGCGTTGCATTTGATGAAATCCTCTCTCTTTTATTATTATTATTATTTTCTTAAAGTTTTCTTTTAATTTCCCATAACTGTTTAAATGGTTTTTACTTTTAGCAGGAGTCTTGTTTTCATTGCTGTGTGAAAGGCTCAAGAAATTTTAGTGAGCTGGTTCTTCTGCTTCATTAAAGTTTGAACCATGATGTTTGATTTTTCCATTTCTAGCTCAGTTATATTATCTTTATCTTACTTATTGGAAATGTTTCTCATCTTCCCACTTGCCATATCTCTCTCTCTTCCCTCCCTCCCTCTTCATTGATGTATATGCCCAAAGATGTGTGTTGTTTAAGTTTCCAGAGTCAGTCTCTAGATTCCGAGAGAAATTTCAGTCAGGGATGGTGAAGACTTTAAATTCCATATTGCGGAGTTCAGGACAATTTTCCTGCCTAAAGATATTGGTGGTCCTTGGATTAAGCTGTTAGTCTTGGCAAATGAAGCTTTTGTTGGAAGAATGGTTATAGGAGTTCATGGTAGAGAAAGAGAGTCCGTGGAGGGTGATGGTGCAATGAAAGTTTGGCCGTATAGAAGGTGGGTGGAAAGGCATGTAGGCTAGAGGGTTGGCTGATGACTTTGGAAGGCTATAATGAATGGCTGGATTCTTTTTGGAAATGAGCGAGGTTCAAGTAGGCTCAAGTTTGGGCTAGGAACTGGGGTGAATTTTTGTGCTGTGGCGAGGATGCTTCAAATGATTTGTTCCCTTCTCTCTTTCCCTTGGCAAAGAACAAGAATCCATGGGTAAGTGTGACTATTGGTCACTGCATGCAAGTGGAGGTGTTTTATCACGCATTAAACTCTATAGAGGCAGACGTATAGTTGCACTTTTCAGTACAAATTAAAGTTGGGCATCCGAAGAATTATGCACTTACTTTTCTGTTTCGGTGGTGAGGTGCTCGGTGCTTATGTAGTGAACGTAACTTCAAAGAGTTCATAGGTTGCTATTCTTGTAAGCGTTTGCCATGTTTGCACCAGGGTTTTATTTGCCCCTTTTGATTAATATATTTGATTTGATAAATAAAAAAAGATGTGGAAAGTTTCACGTGACTGCTGCAGCCATAGAATTGTGTTAGGGAGCCAAGCCTATTTGTAGCTGGCACAATATAAATTATTGTCTTGCCAAAGAATAACAATATTTAAAGGTATCAAAACTATTTTGTTGATTGAGCTTGTCTTATGTAGTTGCTGCCCCCTTGGAGAATCTTCTTGCCATTTGCAATAATCTTTTGTGCTTCTGTCACAGGAAACATGTGAACATGCCCATATATATAAGTTAAATGAAAATTTTTTTTTCAATTAACTTGGCTTTACAAGGTTAAAGGAAAAATCTTGTTATTTTCTTTATTCATTGATGCAAGTAATTCATGGTTCCAGGTATTCTTTCACAAAGGCTTTCTGCATAGCATTTGTCATGACCTTCTTCTCTGCATTTGATGTCCCTGTCTTTTGGCCCATACTACTTTGTTATTGGATTGTTCTGTTCGTCCTAACAATGAGGCGTCAAATTGCGCACATGATCAAATACAAATATGTTCCATTCAACATTGGGAAGCAGGTGAGTCTTAATTACTTTTCGTTATTTTTACGTATATCACCACTATCTCTTCTAGAAGCACTATCTGTTCATTCTATGGATTACAATTGCACTGGCATCAGCATCTGACTTGTCATGTAATGAGATTTCCGGTGTTTGAAAAATAACAATCTGGTTCCCTTGTTATTCGCAGAGGTATGGCGGCAAGAAACCTTCTGCAAGCAGCAGTGGCCGGAAAGACTGAAGCCCTCACCTGTCACATAATTAGAACAAATAGAAAAGTGACTGATGGGGAGTAGTAGGAAAGATTTAGGCATTGTGAAAATTCATGAAACTGATAGTACAATTTTTCTTGGAAGGATATGCAAGTATGGATTTCATTATGCCTTCACAAAACATAAAATTGGGTTATGTGTGGTCTTTAATTGTTATACACATTACTATCCAGTTAAATTTTTGATATTACTCCCAATGTTATGCATGATGCAGAGACATCCCCAATTCTGTTACATCTTACTCATGGAAATTTTTGCTGCAGTTATTCTGATGCTTGCCATGATTTCATGTCCCAAATGTCCCAAATGTCGGTGAATGTGGCATATACTTATAGCTTGTGTTCTATGTAATTCCATACTTGAATAATCAGAAATTAGATTGATTAGTTGATCTCATACTCATACTCGTTTGTTCTCTCTCCCTTATTCATGACTTTCTTGATCCATGACCTTCCTTGTTCGAACTCTGAAAAGTCTTTAGGGACGAGATTGACCAATAAATTATTTTCGGTCAATTTAGCACTCATACTATATTAAAATGGTCGATGCTACTGTTTTTTTAAAATTCCATCCAAATATTCGTCCAAAATCTCATCGTGAGTTACTGTTTAAGCTCTTCTTTTTATCTTGTTTTAGAGGAACCTCAAATATTCGAGGAAAACATTATTAAACTGGAAAAAACCACTTAACAATTAATTCATGGACCTTTACTATATAAGAACAAATAGGAGGGCACACGAAGACAAAATGGTCTAGTGTCATAACTCTTATGTCACTCACTGGGAGTGACATGAATAATTTTTGTTAGTGGACTGGAAGAAGTAATTTAAAACGTCTTGAACTTATTTAACATTGCAAATTGTGTAAAGGACTTTTTAATAATTATGTCTTAATTCATTAAAAACAAAAAAAAATTGGAAAAAGAAAAAAGAAAAATCACAACCTAGCCCAATATCGTGCTACTCTTCCCGGGACACTTATTTGGATTATATTATTGGAAAACACAAAAATTATCAATCTGACGTCTTAATAAGACATTTGTATTTATCAATGGATTGGTTCAGGCCTTTAGTGTGCTGTCAAGGGAATCAGGGATCATGAGTTCAAGTCCTCATGGTATCCGCATGTGTGAATTTCCCCCTCCCTTCTCTCACCTTGGCAAAAAAGACATTTGTATATTTTTTATGCCAAGATTTTCATTTTCATTTTCAGAAATTCAGAATTCATTCTTCAAAAATATACTATCAATTTACCAAACGCATTTTACACTCGTTTATCTGAAAAACGAAATCACTATTTTCGAAAATTGACCAAACGGCCCTAAGAAACTATTATTAGTACCGCTTTGTCTCGTTTCTTAAACTTGAGACAAAAACGCTGCGTTTTGGTTCTGCAGTGAAAATCTATAAAACCTTAGCAAAACCCTAATAAGCAAGCAAATACATTTTTCAACACTCTGCGTGTTGAGGGAGAGAGAGAGAGCCATGGGCAAGGTGAAGGGCAAGCATCGTTTGGACAAATACTACCGCCTAGCCAAAGAGCATGGCTATCGCTCTAGAGCCTCATGGAAGCTCGCTCAGCTCGACACCAAGCACCAGTTCCTCCAATCCTCTCACGCCGTCCTCGACCTCTGCGCCGCCCCCGGCGGTTGGATGCAAGTCGCCGTGCAGCGCGTGCCCGTCGGCAGCCTTGTCGTCGGCGTCGACTTGGTCCCCATCGCCCCGGTCCGCGGCGCCTTCTCGATCCAGCAGGACATCACCAAGCCCGAGTGCACGGCCAGGCTCCGGAAGCTGATGAAGGAGAACGGCTGCTCGGCTTTCGATTTGGTGCTTCATGATGGGTCGCCTAATGTTGGTGGGGCCTGGTCTTCGGAGGCCACTGCGCAGAACGCTTTGGTTGTTGATTCCGTGAAGTTGGCTACCCAGCTTTTGGCTCCCAAAGGCACATTCATCACCAAAGTATGTGTTGAATTTTCATAATGCGAAATGGGTTTTTGTGGGTTTGTATTGGGTTTTTTGGTACTCTCTGAAAAATAGGTTGGAATTTGGATTGTCTGCGTGGTTACTTCAAATGAAAAATCTAAATTTGAGTTTGTAAGTTTTGAGTTCTATTGATTTGGCTCATTGTTGCATTCCATGTTAAACTGGTAAGCAGCATAATGCAGTGACATACATGTTATATATGCTTTATCTTTTTAGAACATGATTTCATCAAACTTCTGTTTTCAAATTTATTTGTCTGTATTTAATTTTTCTCTATTGTTTCCCTACTATGTTTTCATCACTTGTATTCTGGATGGGACGATGCAGTTATTTATACTTCAAATATGCCTGCAATAGCTACTTTCAATTTCTTTTTGGAACTTAGACTGTTTAATTTGTTAAGTATCGAATTGTGGAAGTCCTTAAACATATAATTATTTTGTTGTGGAACTGTACCGGTTAATTGGAATGTATGCATGTATGTATGACTGTGTTTGTGTGTCTATGTACATTTGGTTTTTGAATGCTGAGTGTTTATCTTTTGTTTTCTCTCAGATCTTCAGGTCGCAAGATTATAATGCTGTCTACTATTGTATGAAGGAGGTGATTTTCTAGTTCTTTTTAAAACATTATTTATTATAGCACTTTAGATTGATGTGCCTATCTGATCCTGGCATATATTTTGCAGTTATTTGAGAAAGTTGAACAGGATAAACCAGCAGCTAGTCGTAGTTCATCTGCTGAGACATATCTTTTGGGTTTTAAGTACAAGGCTCCTGCAAAGATTGATCCCCGTCTACTTGATGTGAAGCATCTATTTAAATCTGTAGAACCTCAGAAGAAGGTAACTCATATTAGATGAAACAGAATACCAGCTTCTTTCACGTATGGACTAATATCTTGCTCTTTTATTATAATTGTTCTATTATATATTTTTTTCTCCTAATAACTCCTTGATATAGGTGGTGGATGTACTAAGAGGAACAAAGCAAAAAAGACACCGTGATGGGTACACCTTCTTTCTAATTTCGCTATTGTTTTTCAAAATTTAAAATTTTATATCTTCACATACACATAATCACTGTTATGTGAGGTTCAGCATTTTAATTACCAAACTAGGAGATTGCATGTCGTTTTCTGTAAGATTGTATAATGCTTTTAGTATTTTAATTGTTTATGCGTATACAGTTTGAATGTAGATAGGTGGTTTGTAAATGCAGAGTAACATGAATGGGTCAATGATTTTGCTCTGTTCACCATGATTGACCTTGTGTGTTCAAATATTTTTGGTTCTTATGATTGATATCCCTACTTGGTTCTTTTATATACGGAAGCTGAACTGTTGACTGATTGGGTTGACAGGTATGAAGATGGCGACACAATTTTGAGAAAAGCGTCTTCGGCTGCTGACTTCATTTGGTCTGAGGCCCCTCTTGATATCCTTGGTTCCGTTACTTCCATAAACTTTGAGGGTGAGGCATCTTTGCCCATCAAGGAGCACGCTTTAACAACGGAAGAGGTAGCCTTTTTATGTTTTTCCTTTGTATTATATTTTCTCTTTATTTAGATTTTTTTTTCCTAGTTGCTGAAAAAATAGATTTTCTTTTCCCCTTAAATACTTTGGAACCCCTTTAGTGTTCCGACCAATCTAACCATTATGGTTTGACAGGTTCAAACTCTCTGTGATGATTTGCGTGTTTTGGGGAAGCAAGATTTCAAGCATCTTTTGAAGTAAGAAACTCTATTTCTTTCATTATCTCTTAGATCTAAAGATTGCATTTCCAGACTACAAGTTTTTCTTTTTCTTCCCTTATAAATCTGTTAAGCACATATCTCTGCTGTACTTGCATTTTTCTTGCTATTTTAGCTATTGAAGTTATCGTTGTAACATCAATTGATTCTTTTGAGCAAAAGGTGGAAGTAGAGGCAATTAATTAGGTGATTTACCACCTTTAACTATAATAGTTGGGATCACCATATCTTTTAGGAACTATGACTCCCAGTATAATTCAGGTTTAGGTTGGGCTACTATATGAATCAATTTAGATATAACCTTTATCATTTCAGCTGTGAGGCATGTATTGTCCCTCTCCTGATAGCAGGGTATGATGTATGTCATTTATGATCGTTATTGCATCAGTTTTGGGCTTGTATCTCTGAGACTGCATGAGGCTGAGTAGGGCAATTATTATTCCACATGGCTTCGGCAATTTTATAATTATATTCAACGTGGCTCATGTTATTTGGTCTTATGTTCCAGTTGATGGGTTGTTGAAATTTCTTCTGAAGTAAATATCAGAGGGTTTACAGTTCTGTTTTACATGACCTCTTGGATTGTTGGAAGAATAATTGAAATCAGAATTATTTTTAGTAATGACAATACAGATTGCAGAGAAAAAAAGAAAAAATAGTTCAATTGCAATGCAGCTGCTAGACATGCAGTTGCTGCGGTCTAGCTTTCTTACTTTTTAATGCGTGCTGAGTTGTCATGTTTGTATTGTTATTTAGGTGGCGGGTGCAGATTAGAAAGGCCTTATCTCCTGAGAAGGCTAATGCTTCTACTTCTAAGGAAGTTGAAAATGAGGAGAATAAGGAGGATGACGAAGACAAAATACTCAATGAAATGGAGGAGCTGACGTATGCTATGGAGCGCAAGAAGAAACGTACAAAGAAGCTTCTATCCAAAAGACGAGCTCAGGTTTGTAGCGTATTGTTCTCTCTTTTCCCGTGTTCATGCATGATTACTCATTGTTTTTGTTGAGTCATGAAACTGGTACATGGTTATTGTTCTTGGAGATTGTACACCATAGTTTCGAGATGAAGCCTGATATTGTAAAGTTAGGTTTTGTAAGATCTATTAATCAGTGTGGTGGGTGCCTTGTATGAGCATTTTAGTTGGATTCAGTACCAAGATAACTTGTGCAGGGCTTTGCCAAGTTTGACCTTACAGGATTCATGAAATTCTTTGTTGGATTGATCCTTAGGATCCAGCTTTGATTATATACAAATTTATAAATAAACCCAATCCTAGACATGTATTTATAAAAAAACCCAAGCACTATTTAAACATAGAAACACACCCAAAATCAACCCCAAAATCAACAATTGTATATTTTTTGGGTGTGTTTATAAATGGGTTTTGAGTGTGTGTAATGATGGGTTTTGGGTGTGTTTATAAAGTGTTTTGGGTGTTGGGTTTTTTTTATAATTTCAGCCCCCATTTTGGGTGTTTTAGTGAAACTCCCTTGATTATATACAGCTTAAAAGATAGTTTAAACTTATCAATCAAACATGAAGCCTGAAAGTTTAGCAGCTTCTTGCGTGCTGTCAATAGTTTCATGTTTGGTCTCCTATATAGATATGCAATTATCTTACTGATTTGTTCCCTTTCATTAAATCTCAAATTTTCAGGACAAGGTACGGAAGGCAACAGGGATGCAAATAGATGCGCTGCAAGATGGTTATACTGACAATGAGTTATTTTCTCTCGCTTCCATCAAGGTATGATTTCATTTCACAATACCCACCTTGGCAAGTAGTTCTGGGAATCACATTTTTTATTCATCCAATAATCTTGTATCCATTTCGGAGCTTCTCTTTTATTCCCTTGGAGGACCATTGGTTCTTTAGGCCTTAGTGGAGGTTAGATTTCAAGCTCACGCCCTTGGTACAATACTGAAGGAATTTACCAACTAAGATAGCTTGGCTTTCACATATGGTGCCTTCTATTTCACATATTCTTTTCTTCTTTTCTTGAGCCGTTGGGACCCCTTATTGATGTACAGGGTTTATTTATTTAATTGGAAACAGAAGAGCAGGACATTATTTTCTACATATCTAAACTAGTTTGACTGTAGTCGGTGGAATTTGGAAATGCCCAATATTATTGGTTTTATGTGCCTGTCATAGCAATCATACATTAGTGTTCCAAGCATTTTTCATGCTCTAGCCTACTATTTCAGCAGTTGGCTTTTCTCCCTTGGTCTTTAGACACTTCAAAGGCTTTTATTTTTTTTCTCCTCAACAGTCAAAATCATTGTTTTGGTTTTTATCATATTTCTAATCTTTAATTTTTCCTGATGAAGATCGTAGGTTCCGACTCAATGAACTTTATATGGATATGACTGAATATTTTTCAATATCATTATTGTGTTTGTATGGTTGTTTTTCAGGGTAAGAAAGATCTGGTAGCCGTGGATTCCACTGAATATGATGGTGAGAATGGTGACCTGGGAGATAGTGAAAATGAGGAAAGCCATGAGCAAACCCAAGAAGCATCATCTAGTGATATAGACTCTGATGAGGAACGCCGAAGGTTATTCATCTTGTCCCTTGTATTAGCAGTAAATATATAAAACAAGCATTGCTATTAGCAGTAAATATATAAAACATCTTGTCTCTTGTATTGTCTGTCTATGAAATTAAATCAAGTATTGCTATTTATGATGCTAGATATGACGCACAAATGGAAGATCTTCTCGATCAGGCTTATGAACAGTATGTGTCGAAAAAGGAGGGAAGTGCAAAGCAGAGGAAGCGTATAAAACAAGCAAATTCTGAAGACGCTCAACTTTTGGAGGTATGAAGCTATTATTATGTATAGATAAAAATTTCACTGAGATGTGGTCTCTCTGTAGAACTTTTTTATCTGTTAGGGCATGGGTGCATGGATGATGAAAAGTATGCTAATGTTTTAATCTCTCTGTGCAAATACACACACACGCACACGCACACACACACATATATAGCATAAACAGATTGGCAACGTATGTGCACGGGAGATCTGTCGGCACAATATTTTTCTTTCTGCTAGGTGTTGCACAACAGACTAGTGTTTGTGCTCATAGATTTTGTTTTTGTTTTTGTTTTTTTCACTATGCAGGATGTTGATGGCAGTGATATAGTTCAGTCTGACTATGAGTCAGACAAGGAGCAGGGTGGTCAGGAAAAGAATCCTCTTTTGGAAGCACTTGATGACGGGGAAGGGCCTACTCAGGAAGAGATTACAAATAACTGGTTTAGTCAGGATATCTTTGCCGAAGCTGTAGAGCAGGGGGATTTGGATAAGTCTGATAGTGAGGATGAAATGCAGGTTGAAAGGCAGGAGAAACCTTCCTTGGTAGGAAAGGCCAAGGAGAATAATGCAATTCAAAATGTTAAGAAAAAGATTGAAAATGATGCTGCAGGGTCCAATCACCATCAAGTCCAAGCTTCAAAGGCAGAGGACGATTTTGAGATAGTACCGGCTCCTGGTACAGATTCAAGTGATGACTCATCATCAGATGAATCGGAGGATATGGATATTGATAAGAAAGCCGAGATACTGGCATGTGCAAAGAAAATGCTGAGGAAAAAGCCAAGGGAACATATGCTTGATGATGCGTATAATAAGTACATGTTTGATGATGAGGGCTTGCCCAGGTGGTTTTTGGATGAGGAAAAGAGGCACCGCCAACCAATCAAACCTGTGACCAAAGAAGAGATCAATGCAATGAAAGCGCAATTTAAAGAAATTGATGCCCGGCCTGTAAAGAAGTTGGCAGAGGCTAAAGCTCGAAAGAAGCGGGTAGCCTTTAGGAAGCTTGAGAAGATTCGTAAGAAGGCAAACACGATATCAGACCAGGCAGACATCTCTGATCGTTCAAAGAGGAAGCAAATTGAACAAATGTATAAGAAGGCCGAGCCTAAGAGGCCTCAGAAGGAGTATGTGGTTGCAAAGAAAGGAGTTCAGGTCAGGGTTGGCAAGGGTAAGGTCCGTGTCGATCGACGGATGAAAAAGGATGCAAGGGGTAGCGGTGCGGGTAAAAGGCCAGGTAAAGGCAATTCAAAGAAAAGTAAAAGTAGTGGCAAGGCTCAGAAAGGCAAGGGGCCTGGAAAGGCTTCAACAAAGCCAGGAAAGGCTTCAGCAAAGCCAGGAAGGAAGGGTGGCAGATGAAAAAAATATGAGCATGCATGACTGAGCTTCCTTTTAATCGATAGGTGTTCGCAAATTTCCAACATGGTTTTTGTTTTTCCTTTTTTGATATTTTGTCATTCCATTTTTGTTGATTGGAATAAGCTATAATTGTGAGTTATTTGTTGTAATCATGTTTCAAAACATTAATCCCTCAGTAAACCAAACATTTTTTTTGAAAAAATCTTGCGGTGCTCAACATATGTTCTCTGGTCGGCTTGCACCTTAACAAAATCCATGGTTCAATGTTTAAAAGCTAAGAGGTATTTACACTAACAACTCATGAGGTTTTCGGTGTTTTTATAAAATCATTGAGGTTTCAAAAATTACACGAACACCTTTTAAGGTTCCAATTTATTTTTACAAAACTGATTTTTATTAATTTTTCATCCAAAATTTGAAAATTTCATACATAATTTTTTTAGCAAATAACAAAATTAACCTCAGTGAATGTATGTGCAATCTAATCTTCAAGGCCAACTTTGTCATTTGAAGAAATTTTTTTATATATAAAATCATCAATTTTTAGGGGAAAGATCAATGGAAAGGGGTTTTGTGAAAACAATTTAAGACTTAAGAGAGTGTTTGTATAATTTTTAAAACCTCAGGGGGGTTTTGTGAAAACACAAAAAACCTTAGAGCGTGTTAGTGTAAGTAACTCAAAACCTAATGACTAATTCAGTATTGTCTAGTTAATTTCTTGAGCCAGATGGGATATAATATGATTATCAAAATAGCACCATGTTATGCCTGGTTAATGCTGAACTTGTTAATAATGGGGCCTGTTGCATAAACAAGAAACTGTGCTCATAACATCCCACAATTTTCTGTTTCAATTTCTTGCCATGGTATTATATTAATCCTTGCAAGTGATGTTTATTGTTTTATATTGTAATTCATTATATAGAGTACGAAAGAAGGATTAGTTGAGCTCAGAATTAGAAAATAATAATCATTTTAAACATACATATCGGCTTAAGATCAACAAGAGTATTCTTTTCACGAATTGTGGTTAAGAGACAATCGAAGTATCAATAGTACTTGTCTGTGGTTCATTATTTTATTATATTAAGAGAATATTCGGGCACAAGTTAGCGAGGATTATCATTCCATTTGTATGATTGTTACTGAAAGGTGAAACATTTCAACCAAATGGAGGACAATCCCATTGAAGCTATTAGTTCGTTTTTGTTTCTAGTACAAATACCTATGCCGACAGGGCTCTGGCAATCAACCAACTAAGCATACCCCACCGACTGCTATTTGTTTGTTTCAACCAGGTCCAAAGAACTCAACCAACTGAGCATACCCCACTGGCTGCTATTTGTTTGTTTCAACCAAATGGGGGAGAATTCCATTGAAGATGTTAGGGCTCGAGGTCAAAGAGCTCAACCAACTGACCTATATCCCACCGGCTATTATTTGTTTGTTTCAACTAAATGGTGGAGAATTCCCATTGAGGCTGTTAGTCTATGCCAAGGGCTCAAGATCAAAGAGCTCAATCAATTGACCTATACTCCTCAATCAAATGGGGGAGAATCCCATTGAGGCTGTTAGTTTCTTCACATGCATCCCCAACTTACCAATATTCATCCAAAATTGCATCTTCAAAAAGTAACGGCCATAATGATGACCAATTCAACTGAAGCCGAAAACCAGGACCACCGGAGAAGAAACAGAAAAGGAATTGCAAAAGAAATAAAAATAAATACACAGGCGTTCATTTCCATCATTCAACCCAAGGTAGCACAGTACAACAAAGATGACACATAGGGGGAAGCCCCCATATGCTATTTTTGCACACCAACTAGCTCATTATTTGCAAAGACAGTGCTAGTGTTACTCAAACAAAACCCAACAAGATGGCTTTCAGGCTCAAACAAACTGGTTAAGGTACTCGTCCACGGTAGTGTATTTGACATCAGGGTAAAGGGCCGAAGCTTCAACTCCAAATGAGGGCTCAACCTCAAAGTTAGTATGGTCTCCCTTCACAAAAACTGAGTGACCAATCGATAGAATCACATTGATTGGCACAGCAGCCTCTGCAGAAAAAAGAAAGAAGAAGGTGAGAAAAATGAATCAGTCCATTGACAATGTAAATACCAGTTGTTGCTAAGTTTTAGTATTTCCTATTACTGACCTTCAATGTTCTTGAGCAGTTGCTCCTCTGGAACATAGATCCTCTCAAGGGTTTTGCCAATCTTCTTCTCCCAAAGAGACACAAGATCATTGAATGAGATGGTGTTGGCTGGGGGCCTGATGTAGAGGATCTTGTTCAAGGTTCTTGGGTCATCCACGGCCTTAATGGTGTAGGCCCCAATGTCCTCTTCCTTGTTGAAAATTGCTACAAAATCGAAGAAATGAAAACCCCATCACATCCATTTCATTGGCCTTTCATCATTTTGTCAAGAAAAAAAAATCAATCAAAGTGGTTTTATGTAACAAGTCAAAGAAATGAAACCCCATCCCATTATTTCATTGGTAGTTGTATATTCAGTCAAATTCCAAAGTGGGTTTTGTGCATCAAATTCAAAGTAATGAAACAACCATCACATAGATTCATTTATCTCAAAAGCCAAGGTGGGTTCTGTTTACCTTTGGGGTTTCCATCACCCAAAATGACAACTTTCTCCCTGGGAGGGGCAGTGGCTCCGGGCTGATTCAGAGTGGGCAAGAAGTAGCCAGCAAAGAAGTTGGAGGCCACATAGGTGTGAGGGATCCCCTCAGCCTCAATAGCTCTGCGAATCTTGGCCTTGGTTGCAAATGCAGTTTTTGCTGGCTCAACAGCATGAACTCGATCCACGTCGTTTCCAAACTCAGATGGGAAAAACCTCTGAAACCCAACGACACATTCACAATCGTAACACAGAAAACACGAACACAAGAAGCAAAAACAGAGAAAACCAAGATAAAGATCGAAACTTTTACCTTAACATTGCCAGCTTCCTTGATAGCAGCGATGATCTTACCTTGATCAGCCAACTGACCGTGACCCACTGTTGAAATCACCACATCGACTTGCTTTATCGCCTTCACGAGGCTCCCATGGTCGTAGAGATCACCCTGAAAACGATCACCAAAAACAACAGAACCAAAATTAAGCAAAACCAAAATGTCCGATCAAGCTGAAAAATCTGAAAAAGCTAGGAAATTTTACATACCAAGACGAAATTAACACCCAAAGATTTGAAGTTCTCGATGACTTTGGCCTTGGCTGGGTTAGAGAGAGTGGGCTCTCGCACCAGAGCGTAGGTTGGGTGGCCTGCCTTGGCGCTGGCTTCGACTATGAACTTTCCGATGTAGCCAGTGCCTCCGATGAAGAGGATTTTGGATTTGGTTGCTGCCATTGGATTGGGAAATGGGAATGGGAGGAGTTGGAGAGTGAGAGCGAGACCGAGCGTTACGAGTGAGAGGAGTACAAGACGGGTAGCTGAAAATGCCATTGACATGAGGAAAGTGGCTTCACTATATAGACCGACTGGGGGGATGAGTGGAATGACGAAAATGCCCTTGGAGCTTCCGTTCATTAGTGAACAAGGACGGGGTAGGCTTGTCCAAAGAAAACGGACGAGGTAGGCGAAAGCATGGCGTTTGTGCTTGCGTTTGCATGATGCTACTACGTTTGTAGCTAGGTGGGTACCCGTCCAGGTTCATTCCTTCGAATCAATGTGTCCTCAGACTGGCCTTGGAGAAATTATACAAAAGTATGGTACTGTCAGGTGGCAGTACACATCATTTGCATAACGAAATGTGTCATGGCATATTTAATTGCAACGTTGTTTTAGTTACCAATTCCCTCCCTTTCTTTTCCGTTTTTTTTTGACCAAATAGAAAAGAAACACTGAAGATTTACTTACTTTCATTGAAATCTGCACCACCGTTCTGAATAAAAATACAAACAACTTAGAGATATTTAGTTATATACCTATTCTTAACACTAAGGTTTTGTTTGGTTCACGGAACGGATTTGAGGGGAAATCACTTCCTACGTCATTTTCCACGTTCGGTAACGTTGGGAAAGCAACCGAGAGATTTCACTTTGTTTCATTTCCCATGTTTGTTTTGAGCAGGAATGGAAAACAAAGTTTGTAAAATTTTCAATTATACCCATATTAAATCAAATAAAAAATAATAATGCATTCAATGATACATTGTAATTCTAAATTGTTCATGTAGACAAAATAGTCATGAAAAATGTGCTTTGAATGTTGGCTAATTTTCCCAAACTTTCCCATGAGGAGGGAAAACAAAACCCAAGTTGAGAGGAGGGCTTCACTTTTCCCCCTACTTTATCATGTGTCAGACAACCATTTTCCATGTCTGGACTTACCAAACATGGGAAAGCAATTGATTTTCCATCCCCAAGCCTCTTTTCCCATGAACCAAATGGGGCCTAATAGTAATGATATAGACAAACCTTACACACCATTTTATTTAAAAAACTCAAAAATGACAGTTTGCCCTATTGAATTTAATATTAATTATTAAATTACTTTGATGCCCTATTGAGTGTTTTGGGGGTTTTTTTTTTTATGAGGTTTTGAGGTTGAGCTTATTTTAAGAAATTATTGGCAGTTTTGTAATTTATAAGAAGTTAAAAACCTCTTTATTATGTTGTAAATGAGTTTTGGTGTGTTTTTAAACTCCATTTCTTTTTCTTTTTTTAATTTTATAAATTGAGCCCTTATATTGGGTATAATAGTAAATCTCTCAAAAACTTATGCACTACCGTTATGAGAATATGGAAGACTGGTGCAACCATAAAGCTATGTTGTTATTTTTCAATTTCTGCACCATCGTTTGATTGCTGCAAGTTATTTATTTCCTATTTCTGAATGTTATTTTTATTGCAGCAGTTTTCTCTTCTTTTTCTTTTTTTGCTGATTGCTGCATGTTTTTTCTTTTTCGACTTCTGAAGTTGTTTTTTGTTCTATTTGTTTTTCATGATTTGCTTCACTTTTGTGGTTCTAGTTGTGTTTTAAGTTGTGAGATGGAAGGGGTTTGATTTATGTTTTTTTTTTAATAGCATTCCATGCAGGTTATAAAATGATCTGGTACTATTAGGGTTATATTTTCTTGCATTTTCTTGTTGCAATTAATACATGTTGATTTTATTTCTTCATTCATGGGGTGTAGAAGTTCATTTGATTTGGGTATATTATTAATGGATAATAATTATTGCTTTGTTCTGTTTTACCTTACAATTTGAGTATATTATTGCTGGGGGTGAGAACTTTCGATTTTATTTTGTTGGCATATGTCCTCCATGAAGTATATCAAGTTTGAATCAAAATAAGTAACGACAATAACAAACAATGACCATGAAGTACATCAAGTTTGAATTGAAATAAGTAACGATTTCCCAGTGTAAACAACTCTTGCATCTGCATCCAAAATTATACATCAAGTTTAGTCAAATAATTAGATAAGTTAAAAGTAATTGAAAATAATTATAATTATTTTAATCTTAGACAATACCTTAAGGAGACATTACTTCTGTGGATTATGTTATTGCTCATAACCATTTTGAATGTGAATCCTGCATTACATATGGCTTCATGTCAAGCAAATATTTCTAAATAGGCATAAGCTATAAACAACCCTATAGAATTGGAATCCTTTAAAAAAGAAAAAAAAAAGTGTTACACCATTAATTTTTCTAGGTTTATAAATGAAAACACAAACTTGATTTTTAAACTAACAAATTGCATTACTTTGTGAGATTAAGGAAAATTCCCATGACCTTTGGTAGGTAACAATCTCATAGTTGGGTAGACCTATATAACAGTGGTAAGATTATACAATTGGTTGAATTTATAGAAAATAATAAGAGAATTAAAAGGTCTTAAAAACATACATGATTACTAATATTTGTACTCATTGGTACACCAACTGGATTAAGAAAATTTGAACTGAGTAGTGTATGAGGTGAGTTATATGGAGGGCTTATCTTGCTTGATTGCTTGGTTTCCCCTAAAAAATAATTTGTAATAATAAGCATTATTGATGAGTAGAAATTAATAATAAGATATCGTAAACAATAAAACAAAACATGGAACTTTCATACTTGATGAACCAATATCTTTTGAGTCCTTTTCTTCATTTCTCCATAACACTTTTTAATATGGCATTGCTTATACCTGTTGGTCTTATACACAGGGGATTCAGTACTGGTTACTAATACTACTACCTACGTATCTTAGTTAGTTCCCAAAAAAAAAAAAAAAAAAAAAAAAAAAAAAAAAAAAAAAAAAAGTCAAAAAAAAAAAAAAAAAAAAAAAAAGAACCAATTCAATTTACAATTAGATTTGGGTTTGTTTGAATTAATATTCGATAAGCATCAACAGTGGCGGATCCAAGAATTTTTCAAGGAATAGGCAATGTTTAAAAAGGTTAAAAGGTCCACACAAAAATAAAAATAAAAAAGACAACAACCAAATAGCCTTACAATTTAAACAATACTAATGTAATTTTTTTATTATATATATGGAAAAAAGAAATTACAAAACAAAGCCCCTCGGGCAAGAGTGCCCAAAGAGGTCGAAATAAAAGGGGAAACAAAAAGATAATGGAAGACCAAACTCCCAAAAAACTTGAGTTCATAACCCATGGCCTAGCTTAGCAACCGCATTTGTTGTGAAGTTAGCCTCCCTAAACACATGTTGGAAACAGATAGAGGTGACAGAGAAAGAAAGGGACCAAATATCTTGAATAATATGTTGGATACTCCAGGGGGACTAGCTTTTTTTAAGAATATATCAATGACGAGCTTAGAGTCACTTTCAATCACAATTTGATCCCAACCTCTCTCAATAGCAGCAACAAGACCATCCCAAAGAGCAACACTTTTAGCCACATTTATGGAATTCTCACCAATGTTGTTGGAGCCAGCTAGAAGGACATGCCCATTGCAATCCCAGCTGACAAAACTTGTGGAAGCTTGAGAGTTCATGAAAGACCCATCAAAGTTAACTTTAATCCAGCCAGTGGGAGGGGGATGCCATTTAATCATCATGGAAGTGTCTTTAACCTTTTTTAGCGACGAATTCAGCTACCAATAATCCAGGCCCATAGTGGCAACAACATGGATACAACTAGCCGTGAGGGGTTTAGAGTCTTGAAACAACAAGTTATTCCTAGCCTCCCAAATTTGCCACCAGATAAGGAGAGCTTTGGAAAGGAGGTTTAGCTCAGACTTGGGGGAAGATCGTCCTAGCGATAAAAGCCAACTTGTACAGATCACTAGTCTACGTAGGAAGGGGCCAGAAATCAGGAGAACATGCCCAAAGATCCTTAGCAAAGCAGCAATCCATAGAGAGGTGATGAATGGTCTCAGGCTGGTTATGGCAGATGTGGCATTAAAGATTGATATGAGGCGTCAATTTGTGTAGTTTGGCTCTCAGTTGAAGTCTTTTTCGAATGAGCATCTAGGCAAAAATCTTCACTTTCTGAGGTATATCTAGTTTCCACATTTTCTTAAGCAGATCAGCATGAGGGTGGGAAAGCCGATCCTGAATCTGAATATTGCATGCACTTTTGATGGTGAAAGATCCATAGGGTTGGGACCCCATATTATTTTATCCTGCATATTAGATCTAGGCAAAGGAATAGTTAAAATTTTATCAATCGAATCCTTATCTAACACTTGAGATAGTTTGATTCTGTCCCAATTGTTGTTTGTGATAAAGTATGCTACTTTTTTTTTAATCAAGATTCAAAGAGCCTTTTTGGTGCTCAGGAATGAGGTCCAGGAGGGGGAAAGGCAAAACCCAATGAGAGGTCCAGAAAGGAATAGAACCATCATTTCCCACCACCCACCTCAGACCTTTGTAGAGTTTTACGTCTAAGACTAATTGGCTATAGTATATTTTGTATATCAATTAATATATGCACAAAATTTATATTACACAATTATTTACCAAAATTCATATGAAATCATTCATTAATCTAACTAAGAGCATCCATAATGGACTCTCTAAACCACATTCCTAGATAAAATTTAGGGAGGAAGTAAGAAAACCCACCTCCAACCATGCTCCTTATTCAGCTCATAAATAGGGAGACCTATAGGAGCTCCTAAATATGAGGGGAGAGAATGAACTCCTAGTGGCTCCATATAATTTAATACTACCCTATTTAATGAATATTTTAAAACCTTTAATCAATATTGTCTATTTTTATATTAATTTTTCATAGAGATGGACCATTTATGTTAAATTAAAATATAATTATAGCATTTATAATTCCCTAAACTAGAAAGTATGATCGAAGTTGAAATTTTATAGAGAGCTCTTAAAATAACTTTTGTGTGTTTTTAACTAAATTTTAACTAAAAAATAGAGAACATGATTGTAGATGCTCTAACAAGTGGACCATATTAAAGATGAATTAAAGTTGAGAAGCACGGGATTCTAACTACAAACACGCCGGGTCATCTTCATCTTTGATTCATGTATGATCGTGAGATCGAGCTGAACAATCTAAGGGAAATATTCAGGGTCTCACACAGCAGCAACAAAACAGCCGATTTGTGGCTTTTAATCGAACACTTGGTAGGCAAAAGCAAAGGGGCGAATTCTGGGATCTCCAACGCATTTTCCTTCGAGGGGAGGTGCAACTGCACCTCCTTGTGCCTTTGTGAGTCCGCCACTGATCGATATTCATTTGTTGTGATATTAAAATTTTTATTTATTTTAAACTTTTGACTTTCGATACGAATTTGTCGTTTATAACGTTATGCAAAAAGTAAATAAAGAAATGTTCGGGAATGGAAATGACTCCCATTCCTTTCATTCCATTTCTAGGAAAGTAAACATGCCCTAAAACTATTGCAAGGAGACAGAAAATATGTAGAATGAAATTTAGTGGATCATTTGTATTTACGACTGAAACCTTAACTATTCAAATCCAAAATACTCCTTGCATTATTCTAAACGAGTGCATATAACAATCTGTCGTAATGACGTTGTAATTTGCACTTTTTCCAAATAGGACGAGAAGAAGGTTGTGGAAAATTGCGACTAATATTGATTTTTGTCAAAACATATGTGTTGTAAATTCACTATTCAGAGAATATTAATAACACAAATATATATATTTTTTAATATAAAATATAGTTTAAACTATAAAGAGTGTGGAGTTTCTCGCATACACACTGTCAATGTGACATAGGATTTCAAACTTGCGACTATTAAATGCAAATTAAGACCCTTTACAACTGGGCAAGATCATCGTTTCATCTTCGTTATCTTTGTTCATCTCATTTTGGTAACCCAAATGGAGTAATTTTTTTGGTGTGCCACAAACACTGTCGGATCCACGTTGGGGCGCAGGTGGTCAGTTGACCCCTGCAACGTCAGAAAACACGTGGCCACTGCGGATCTTGACCCCTGGAAATTGGGGTGGTTGGCAGGAATTCTCACCATGTGTTTGTTAAAATGCCACAGTGGAGTGAAGGCGTGACGCGTAAGGCAACCGGAAATACCGCGCGCCAGCTGCTTTTGTTTCTTTAATCATTAAGACCTGGCAAAAACGACAACATTTTGGTCCAAGTCACTTAAAAAAATAATAACCTAGTCAAAACTACATCGTTTATAGACTTAAGAAAAAAAAGAAAAAAAAAGAGGAGCCGCGACTTCAACTCTCTCTCCCTTTACATCTTCAATCAATTTTTCTTGCAGCTTCAACTCTCTCTCTCTGAACAGGGATGTCATTTCAGTTTCACGGGGTCTTTTTTGTCTAAAAAAGATTTGTGAGTTTTTATAAGTTAACTTCCGAAAGAAAAATTTCTAGATCTGACAACAAATAAATATAAACAATTTGAATATAATTAATTAATCAAGTCTGGTAAACATTTTGAAATAATGCCATAAAAGTCAAACATGTCTGTACCACAACACAATAACCCGTCTAGATTCCACAAGTCAGGAGAACTTCGTATGATTGGACTCAAGGGCTGCAGCAAAATGGCATGCAACTACCTACAAAATGGGATTATCTTTTTGATGAAGCGCTGCTATTTCCATTTCTTTATCCTATTTTCTTACCCACCATGTAAATTTGAAAAAACATAATCCTAACGTTATTTTAGACTCAAAAAGAAGGCATTTGATAGAACAATCACAAAACTCGAGTAAAAACTTGTTTTGTTTTCGGTTTGGAGACTTATCCACCTTATCTTAACACACAGAATTCAAATTTCACAGATTGAGTTGTATAATAATCTTGTGCACCTAACATACAGAAATGCAAGTATCATAAGTAGGACTAACTAGGTAACCCCGCACAATGACTGTTGTACCTACTAAGGCATACCAAGTTCTAGAAGAATAACGTGGTGAAGACTGAAGATGGGTCTTTAAGCAAAGCACATGCCTTTTTTGGGCACAATGGATGGATGCCCTGCCCAACTACGAGTCAAGCAACCTACCAATCCCATAGGAAACAATGCCACAAGTAGCAAAATCTTATGACCAAGGAAACATAGTTCCAAAAATAAACTATACTTATATTTCAGTAAATCAAAATTTTATTTGTCAATCTCTTTTGAATCAAACAGATAACCATCAACTAGCTATTGATCAAGTGATATTTCTCTCTACTTTATTGTAAGACTAAGATGTCCCAACTACAAACCTCCATTCCCTAATAAAATACAAACAAAAACAACTTTAGTTGGTCATAAAATATGAATCCCACTTTCTTTATGCATTTGAATAATGAATTATCAGTTTCTGAGCACTACGAGCTCTGAAAGACTTAAAAAAAAGGGGGGGAAATTTGGTTTTCAAGTCAACACTAAAGAGGTCATGAGAATAGATGGTGCTACTCACATATATTTGTAAGGAAATCCAAGTACACTATTGAGCTTGTTAAATTGAATCCTCTAGGCATCAAAAAAGTAGCTCAGCCTAAAAAAGTGAAAAATGTAAGATAGGATCAATAATGTTATGAAGATTCAAGAATTGAGTAAAAAAAGCTGTTACAATAAGGTGTCTAAATATTCACTGATTGTAGTAAAATTCTGCTCTGGATACAATTTTGTACCGTCTAGACCCCCGGATGACTCGATATCGAAGTAAGTTTGATCTCCCTTTACGAATGCAGAATATATAAAAATCATCTCCATGTTGTCAGGATATGGAGTCTCTGCAATGCAACAAGCCACATTTTATTGGTATCAAATCGGGAAAGAAAATGAAGAACTAGTGTTAACTGCAAAATTATTCATGGTACAAATAGTAATCAGAAAAAGCTCGTCAAAGCTCCAGTTATACAAATTAAGCTCTGCTGATAATGAAAAAGGGCAGCAGAGCCATATATTAAGATTTCAATCACAACAAGAGAGACGACCTAAAAATCAAAGAGAACAAAATGACTGCCACATCAGCAGACAGGATGGCGGCCATGTCAGCAGGCCATCGAGCTGTACATCAAACAGTCAAACAGATCATGGTTGAAGATTGTTGGTGCAAAATCATTATAACTAATTTGTAATAAATTCTAACCCGTTTCAGCCATATATTGTGTTGTTCTTGTAAATGCTGTTTAACGAAACCAATGCGAAAACTTCTTCTCTGAAACATAAATTTTTTTCTTGTACTTTTAAAACTTCAATATTTTTGTTTTTCCTCTGGATTCTTCTATTTTTCATGGTATCAAAGCTTCAACCTAAGGGAATTTCTCTGATCCAAATCCAAGTTATATCCAAACAACAATTTCAATTGTAAAGACTCTACCAAGATTAATCACGGCTGATTGTGAATTGGAAATGGTTCACAAACATTACTGCCATTAACACAAACCTATTAAAAATATAGCTAAGCTCATGACCCATCAATCCTACAAGTAGCTCTCTGTGTCTTGTACACGTTATATTTCTCATAGTGAAGAACATAGATCTCTCTTTGACGTACGAAAGAATTTGTTGGACCACATCAATCTGCATACATGTTTCTTTCATTTCCATCTATTCTTTCCCCTGTAAATTCTTGTGTAGGGTAATTTCTTTTGAATCTCACTTTGCACCTATAAATCCCAAAGCAAACTAATAATAAAAAAAGAATAAAGTGACCGGCACATTAGCAGACAACTTTGCTGGCCATGTAAGCCAGCAGTGTTGCTAAGCTTAGGACCTTGTGCTGCTAGGGTTTCTAGAGCCTTGAGCTCCCAAACGATGACTCAAAATATAGTTGTTACACCGAATCTGGGAGCAAAGAACTGATTAGCTTTCAATTTGCCTCTAACCATCAAATGAGATGTGAGTAACCTGTCCTTTGTTTGAAACAATGGGTTCTTCTAGTTCTTTAGGTGTTTAAAACAATTCTATTTTCTCCATATTATTATATGTCTAGAGTCAATAATTTTATATGAAGGCTTCCCAAAGGTAATGAATACGAGCAAAGGTTCCCTACATAAAACTTGATGTGTATCACATTGAGATCTTGACCAACGCCAACCACTTACAAGATTAATTGGTGACAATATGATTTGATTTCTGTAGGTTTTGGCCATGAAATGCACTTTAATCTCAACTATTTTCTTTCCTCTATTTTTCTTTTTTGTCCCTACCCTCAACAGAAATGTCATATGTGCCTCGTGAAGGCAACCTAGCAAACATTTTGAATACCCAAATAGTATAAACTAGAAAAATACCTTTAATTTTCTTAAGAAGCTCTTGTTCTGATACAAATACCTTCTCCAGCTTCTTCCCAATCTTACTCTCCCAAAGCTCAACAAGTTCATTAATTGAGTACACATTTCCGGGTGGCCTCAAATACAACACCTTATTCAACGTTTGCGGATCATCCAATGTCCTGATAGTGAACTCAGCAACATCACTTTCCTTCAAAAAAACACCTGCGGACAAACCACACCACTAAACAGCAGTAGCAAATCAAAAAATACATCAATGAGCACAAATTCTTAATATTTCAACAGACCTTTAGTATTCCCGTCGCCAAAAATTGTAACCTTGTCCCTTGGAGGGACCTTCAAGCCTGGCTGAACAAGATGAGGAAGCAAATAACTCATGTAGAAATTGCAGGAAATGTAAGTGTAGGGAATACCATAAGCTTCCACAAAACGCCTAATCTCAGCTTTCTGCTTATAAAAGTTGTAGTCCATGTCTGATATTCTAGTCTTATCTGGGTCCAACCCAAATTCCGAAGGAATAAACCTCTGCAACCCACCACCATCCACAAAGACATAAATTTCTCTAAAAATATAAAGTGGGAAATTTAAAAAGAAAAAGAAAAAAAAGGAAATTATACAATAGAAGCCAAATTCTCAGGAAATGAACCTCTGCAACCCAGCACCAGTTCATAAATTTCACTAAAACGCAGAAACTGGGTAGTTTAAAGAAAATGAAATTGTTTCCAAATTCCAAACCTTGATGCAGCCAGATTTTTTGATCACTTGGACAAGGAGCTTCTGAAGGAGGACTTGTTTGGACGAAACAGCACAAATCACCACATCCACATGCTTCACTGCTGCCATAAGGCTTTCTTCGTCTTCAAGTGAACCCTGAAACAGAAAGAAGGAATTAGTTGAAAAAGTTTCAGTACATTTTAGCAGAGAAATGATGAGAGCCAGAGAGAGAGAGAGAGAGAGAGAGAGAGAGAGACTTGGAGGAGTGTGACGCCTGCATTGGAGAGAGAGTGAAGCTTGTGGGACTTGTGAGGGTCGGAGAAGGAAGAAGGCCTGACGAGAGCAAATGCGGGATGAGAAAATTGGAGGGTGGCTTTGGCCAAATGGTGACCAAGATTTCCTGTCACTCCGATTATCAATACCCTGCTCTTCTCCATTTCTCAAACACTCTCAAATCCCAAAAAGAAAGAGTAAAAATATCTCTCAAAATCAGTTTTTTTTGGCTAACTTCTTACGTTTCTTGGATCAATCATCAACGTGTTTTTACGAACCCCCTTGATTATACCGAGGAAGAATTTACAGCACATTTTTTGTGCCTTTGGATTAGACCACAATGGATGGATGAGATTATTTCTGACATATACATTTGTTTTCTTTTTCTAAAACACCGAATGCTTCTTCGTAATATAATTATACAACAATGTCATACCCATATGCAATTAAATTGTACTTTAAGTCGAAAAGTTAAGTAGTTAAGAGTAATTATCTCTGTATCTGAAATATCGCCTGTATCGTAAAAATAAATTTGTGCTTTAACCTTTTTCCTCTGATAATACAAGAAACTACAAAAATTTAGGGGTGAATGCTAGTTTTTCTTAGAAACTACAAGAATTTAATTAGAATGTTGATGAAGGAAATACAAACGCTCAATCCAACTAACCCTAAACTTTTTTTTATTGGATAGCATATAAAATTTCTTCCAAATTCTGTAACATTTCAATAAAATTTCTAGGGCCCACATTCACCACCTGGCCCTCCATATGCAAATCTATAACCCCAAAACTCAACCTTAGTATCCTTGCCATTTTCTAAGCCATAACAGCCAGATTGCCCTGTATACTCATATACAGGATCAGTCTCTGAAGGAACCACTTCTTTAAGCCAAACCCTAATGAAATGCGGGTTTCTGAAATAGGCTGCACGGTCATAATTGTCATCTGGGTATTGGCCACTCCCTATTGGGGGGCTACGTTTTGTTGCAGCCATGGCAGTTCCTCCCCACCCTACTTCTCCAGCCCCATTTCTTAAATGAGGTAACATTTTCTTTGGCCAATACCCTACTGTAATGTTCCTGTCTGTTACTGCAAGCCACCAATTTGATGTTTGGGTATCCTGCAAAATAAAAACTACAAATAAACAAATTAATTAATGCAATGATGTTATCAATGGCGGACCCATAAATTTTAATAGGATTAGGCTAATTTTTTACAGGAGATATATTATAAGCCTTAATTAATATAACTTCCTTTCCTTTTCTTTTTTTAAAAATGGAAAATCCATAAGTAAAATCATAAGTTTTCTTTACAATGATGATCTCTTCACCATTATTATTAGAAGAAAATTATATTTTGGCGTATAGCCGCCCGGCTATACTGTTAAGATTTTAGACCGTTTAAATATTATATTTAATAGTATAGCCGAGCGGCTAAACCGTGAAGATATTCTATTTGTGGAGTATAGCCGCACGGCTATACTCCAGAGATATTGTAATTTTAGGATATATCCGAGCGGCTATACTGTTACGATATTCTATTTTGGAGTATAGCCGCTCGGCTGTACGTTTCAGATAGTACATTTACCTAGTATAGCCGGGCGGCTATACAGTTAAAAAAATTAATCAGAGTTATAAAAAAAATATGGTTCTGACCTCGACAACAATGGATGCCTTAAGAAACTCACTGTGCAAGCCTCTCTCTCTCACTGCAAAACTCGATGTGCTCTGGCGATCGGCGCAGCGAACCCTAACAATAACCGTAGCTCCTCATCGTCCTCCATGAAGACCAAGTGCGTCGACCGCGAGACCACTCCTTCACCAAGCCGCCGGAACTTCTCTCGTGAAAAAACCTCAGACGAGCGTGAGACGGAGCCAACAAACTCTTCGTTCGTATCGCGCTGAGACTCGAGAGATTTGGATAAAAATAAATTAATAAATAAAAGGGTAGAAACGTAATTCTAAATACAAATTAAACATACTCTAAAGCCTTTGTGGAAGCCCAATGACCTCAAGCAAACAAAAATTTAAAAACATATGACTAAGCCCAAAACAAGCTTATTGACTATATACTCATTATTTTCCATTTTTTTTAGTGTAACCAACTATTTCTTTATATTTGTCGAGTATAGCAGCACGGCTATACTGTTTAAATATTCTATTTTTGGCGTATAGCCTTGCTGCTATACTTTTAAATATATTCCCACATTACACCAACAATAAAAATATGGAAAATCCACACTTCTGTAACAATGTGTTTGGATGAGGGAAATAAACTTGGGATTTTGATAAAAGTCATAATTTCTAAATTGACATGAACCAATTTCCGTGTTTAAATAAAAAACCATAGAAATTTAGAAATTCCGTGTGGGAAAAAAAATAGAATTTGGAGGTCATAAATCCCAACTTTAAAAATTCTATCTAAAAGTCATCATTTCTCAAACTCCAAGAGAAATTGTGTTTAAAAAAAAATAACTTTACAAATAAAGCTTAAATTCCGTATTTTAAATCCATCACTCAAACAAAAAACTTTACAAATTCTAGAACATTAATTTCCGTCATTTTAAATAACAAACTCACTTAAGCTCTAAATTAATAACAAACTCACTTAACTAATTGACAGCTGGCACACCAACTTAAGACTACTTGGCTAAACTTAATATAACTCTAACAAGATGTACCATCCAGCCAGCCATAATAACAGCAGCATCTCAATATTATGAAGATCTGAGGAGTGTTGGTCTTCAGGACGTGCTGAAGCTGGACCATAATACACATGTTCAAACTACAACTACTTTTACTTTTCACAAAATTAAATTTCGTTGGGGAAAATCAATGAAAAGGCAATAAAAAAAAATTACCAAGGCACATCATGTGGCGAAAGAGAAAAAGAACAAGAGTTCAGTTTTAAGTTTCTTTCACAACAGGCTAGTAGCCTAAGCGATTAAGAGTATATTCAACTAAAAAAAATCCAACTTAAACTTTTGATTGGATAACATAGGGGAATTTTATTCTTTTAACCTTTATTTCAAAATCCTCTTTATACATTCCAATAGAGTATACTCGAACACAGGATCAGCGTAACATGGTACTTCTGCATACTCGAACACAGGATCAGCGTCTGTTGGAACTTTTGGGTGAAGCCCATCCTTCATGAAATGTATGTCTCTGAAATAGCCAACATGTTGATACGTGCCATCTGGGTATTGGCCACTGCCTACTGGGGGAGCATTTTCGTTCTCTTGAGCCATGGCAATTCCTCCCCACCCCACATCTCCAGCCCCAATTTCCAAACTAGGTACTAGCTCCTTTGGCCAATACCCTATCGCAACATCCTTCTCTGATACCACAAGCCACCAATTTTTTTGGTATGGAGTCCTATAAATGGAAACAACAATGTATGAAACCATTTTGGTTGACTTCGATGTTTTTAAAATTTTGTTTTTGTTTTCCGATATTTAAGAATGGAAGATTCGAACTTGTGACATCTTCCAACTTTCTGAAAGAGAATTACGAATAGACTGGGAGTTTGAAGAGAGAAACACAAAATGATTATTTGGGATTGATGTTTTACCTGGTAGATAGCAAATTTGGAATCGTATGTTGTTCCACCAAAACTAGACACCGGATCGAAACGAGTTTTGGGGCCTATGTCTCGGTCAACTTGTACAAACCTTTGGCAGAATGAGTTAAAGCACCCCGTCTTATCCGCATTTAACTATACATGATTCATAAGCACAATGTTGAGTATGTACATTATAAAAAGGAAAAGTTCTCTCTTGCTAGACCTGATAATTTACTAGTTGTTAAAGCGAATTCATATTTGAATAAGGGGAAACATGACATTAAACAACAAACGAGAAGAGAAAGTTAAACTACTTACAGTCCAATATATAAACAATCGAGGCTCGCTATCGCCATTGATTGATGGTGAGACCTGTGACATTTCGACATGTCAATGTGAGCTAATTGTGATCTTGGAGCTCATATGAAGAAGAATCTTGGAAAGAAATTGAGGATCAAAGCATGTTTAAGCATTACCAAGCATCCAGCAATAAGACTTATTAAAGACGAGTAATGTTCTTTTGCTATACTTATGTTGTCAACAAATGTTTATATTGCTATACTGTGAATCTAAGTCACAGTCTGGCAATATAAGATATCTTGGCCGGAACATTTTCCCGTACGAGGTACTTGAGACGTTATTGTACAAGAAAGGGAGATCATGACGTAAATTATGATCAATACTTACATGAACATTTGGGGCAATATCATTAATTTGGCTGATATTACTAAACATCTGATGTGAAAGACTTTTTGCCCTTGTTAAATATTCCTTTGTGGTTCTATAGATAGGAACTGTTCCATTAGGGCATCCTGCCTGCATAAACCCTGCCTGTAATGGTTTATTCACAAGGACTGATTTTTTCGTCTGAGTAGCTGGAATTGAAGTTGGTCTTAGCTGCACAAATGTGATAAACACTATCAATCATGGTGAAAATAAGAACAACAGCAAAAGATGAAAATAATCAACAGGTACTGATTATTTAGTGTACCTGGATTTTGTGATTCTTGAGTAAAGGGTGATCGAGGGCAGGCTGATGATTGATGTCTGCGCAATCTATGATATCACCGTCGAGCTTAATTCGACACAAAAGGGAAAAAAAAATCAAAATCAAAATCACATTGATAATTTTGACTACGAAAAAAATAACAGAGCGACAATATAAAAGTGTGACTCAGGCAAATCCATATGGCTGGATGACTCATATCAAAAGTATAAAAATTGTATCAAATACAAGATTAAGTGGGTGTATAATCAAGAATAGTACCTGAATGGTTTTGACAGGAGGATTGTTAAGACTCTGAAGTTCTCTTTCTAATTCCAAGGCCTCTTCTGTTGGAGCAGACATGGCCTTGACTTTGCTGCAGCCATAATTTCTTAAACAAAAACATAGCATCACCAAAAGTGTCACCAGCTGAAGTCATCCTGTTAACAAAAGGTCCACGATTTGTAACAGCACAATCTACCAGTGATTTTGAACAAAAGCCTTGCCTAGCTTTTTTAAGTTTATATATTGCTTGATGGGAGCAGAGAGAGAGAGAGCCAGCAGGATGTCCGCTGCATGTATGCTTCTTCAGCCAAGTTTAAGCTCTGCACACCCTTATAAAAGTCAAGCTGTCTTTCAATTGCATTATGCCAAAGGTAATAATGAATGTGGATAAGAAAAGGTTGTTACCTTATTAATTTTCCTTCATAGTTTAATTCATAGTCAAATGAATTAAAGTGGAAGAAGGAATGTGCCAAGTGATAGGTCGAAAATGGTTGTAGTGGTTCCCGGGATCGCAAGACCTCATCATCGACTACAGAACAGGCTCAATTTCAGAGAAACCTAATTGAAACTTACAAGTATGTGGTGGATATTCATCTAAATGTAAATATCTGTTCTTGCTCGAGTTGAAAGAGAGAGAGAGAGAGAGACTAGGTACTTTTAGTCCCACATTGACAATTTAGAGAACAATAAAGCGCTTTATATAGCTTGCGGGCAGCTGAGAGGTTACGACCTTACTTGGACAGGATCTGTTCTATAGTAATCGTACCTCTGTATCCTTGATTTCTAAGGAGACAGGAATCCCAACCTGGTGGATGAATCATGACCGTGTGATCAGAGCGTGATTAACAATCTGATGGTCCTTGTGATCATCATGACCGTAGAGGATCGTTCTCAGTCAGTCTTCTCTGTCTGGGGTGGTCACACGGTTGTCTGACAGGTTCCCCTCTGTTTTCTTAATTCCTTCCATTTTTGTTTATTTGATACTAACTAAAAATAATGGTAATTTTCCTTCATTTTTTAATATGCTATTTGCCGAAAAGAGTTTGATAATATTCCGTATACACTTGTCTTACTTGCCTCAATCTTGACCACATATTCAAACACAATATATTTTTATGTTGCATTACTCAATCTAATACTTATGTTTGTCGTACAGTTTGACAAGTGAACGTCGCGTGTATATCTCAATTAGTTTTATTTCATATTTGAGCTATAGCCTTTTAAATTCAGGGTATTTATTGTTAACTTCTTGCTATTTCTTTGTATATACAGGTATTGGAGGAGAATTGGAGGCCAAAAAACAAGGCATGTGTCAAACTTGGAGTAGAGGATCGCATTGATTCATCGAAACAAGTATCACGCTGGTTACATTTTTGCCAATAAAAAGGATCCAAATGATGACAACCTTACAATATAAATTGTACAAATCAATAAAGTTTTTATAACAAATTTTTTTATTGTTCATAGATAAATCTTTTCTTGCTCACCTTCTCAAATAAAGGTCACGTTGCAATCTCCGAGTCCAAACTACTAAAAAATTGAACTGAAGACCAGAGAGACCAAAGCGACAAGAGTCCATTATTAGTCCCACATCGACGTTTTACGAAACAACGAAGCGCTTCATATGCCTAGTTGAGGGCTGAGAGGTTACGACCTTACTTGGACAGGATCTGTTCTATAGTAATCGTACCTCTGTATCCTTGATTTCTAAGGAGACAGGAATCCCAACCTGGTGGATGAATCATGACCGTGTGATCAGAGCGTGATTAACATTCTGATGGTCCTTGTGATCATCATGACCGTAGAGGATCGTTCTCAGTCAGTCTTCTCTGTCTGGGGTGGTCACACGGTTGTCTGACAGGTTCCCCTCTTTTTTAATTCCTTCCTTTTTTTTTATTTGATACATTAATACTAAAAATAATGAATAATTTGAAGCAATTGCCCCTCAAGGAAAGGTTTTGGGTTGAAGTCCTAACATCAATATAGTGTGTGAGTTTAGTATATTATCGTACCTCTATCCAAAAAAAAAATTTGCACAAATTCAATCAAAGAAGTTTTTTTTTTAACATTGTGTGTGAGTTTAATATGCTATATGAATATAAAAGATTTGTCATATGCAGAATGTGATGTGTGTCGACGAAAATTGACGGAGGTGGTACATTCGCATTAAAAGATACTTTGCATGGTAAGTTGCCAAAAACTTTAGTTTGGATGGTATATATGCACACCCGTCAATGTGATGTTTGTGTAATTTTTCCACAAACCTATCTTAAACAAATGGGCTAAGTTTTGCTTGAAGTACATGTACTTCTTTTCTTGTTTCTAAGGAATTTTCAATTTTTTTTTTTAACATTTAAAAATGAATTTTATTTTGCAACGGTCTTGTAACTCAGTTTTAGTTTCATTTTCCTCTCACCAATATATCGCTTTGAGAAAAATGAAACATTTTCTGGAAAAAAAAAGATTTTGTTTTGGAGAAAACAACATTTTCTTGATAGAACAATGATTATATATTATGAATAATGCTATTTTTACCACATTCTCATACCATCTTATGTGGCAGATGATGATGGACATCTATATCAATTAAAATTAATTTAATATATTTTTTTCTTTTATGATTTATGGACATTTTTTAATTGATGTGGCTGCTTATTTCATCTGTCATATAAGATGGTATAAAAATGTGGTAAAAATAACATTACTGGTAGTGAAAACACACATTTTTGGCGCAAAAAAAAAAAGGATAGAAAGAAAGAAAAACACGCACATTAACATAACTGATGGAGGTATAGGGATTAACGCCCTACTTAACGACGTCAATTCATGAATGGGCATCATGGACCTCAACAGTTTATAAACATAACGGCTATTATATAAACCTTTCTGAATTTTGAAAATTCAAAATTGAAAGTGAGAAAAAGAACAGAAACCAAACCCATTCTAAAAGGTGTGAGCGCATTCGTCGATCCTGAATCTTCAGTCGCCAAAATTCTTCTCCAGAGAAAGGGTTCTAGCAGTTGACTTTCCTTCTTTGCACTTTTGTCGTTTTATTCGAGGTTTGATTCTTACCCTTTCTCAGTTTTTTTCTTTTTTCAGTGTTTTCAAATTCGTTTTTCTCTGTGTTTTTGTTGTTTCATAGCTCATATGAAACATCATAAATTATATAATGTTGTGCTAGATCTTTGTATTAAGAATGTAATAAAAATTCTGAGTTTAAGTGCTTTGATTTTCAGTAATTCATATTTAAAACTGTAGAGTCCTTGGGAAGTTCAACTACTAAATTTTCAGAGCAGTTAAATAGAAATTTCAGACTTGCTTTGTTTTTTACTCAAGATATTTTCTCAGCAACCAAACAGTTGTAAAGTGTAATCTCTTATTTCAACAGAGTTTTTAAGCAACTGAAGGTTTCTTTCAGGTGGGTATTTGGTTATTGCTTCAAAGATGAATGATCTAATGACTAAGTCATTCCTCAGTTACGTGGACCTCAAGAAACAGGCCATGAAAGACCTTGAATCGGAACCCGACCTCGAAATGGGCAAACTTGACCCTGCTGATGAACAGAACCTCACCCAATTTTTCGAACAAGTGACCACAATCAAGGCTGATATGGAAGAGATCACAAACCTTCTTCTTGATCTTCAGGACCTGAATGAAGAAACCAAGTCTACTCACAGTGCTAAAGTTCTTAGAGGGCTAAGAGATAGAATTAATGCTGACATGGTAGCTATTCTGAGGAAAGCAAAAGGCATCAAAGCAAGATTGGAGTCGCTTGACCGTTCTAATGTGGCTAATCGAAATGTATCAGTGGAGTACAAGGAAGGTAGCCCTGTTGATCGAATGAGGATTTCGGTGACTAATGGTTTGAGAGCTAAGCTAAGAGATATGACGAATGATTTTCAGTCCTTGAGAGAACAGATTGTTAAAGAGCACAAAGAAGGTCTCAAGAGGAGGTATTATAATGCCACAGGAGAGGAAGCAAGTGAGGAAGTGATTGATAAGATGATTTTGGAAAGTGGGCAGGTCAAAGTTTTTGAGGGGAAGGCAGAGCTGGCAATGGAGAATCAGCAGAGGCATGAGGCCTTGAAGGACTTGCAGAGAAGCTTGACAGAACTCCATCAAGTTTTCCTGGACATGGCAATGATGGTTGAAAAGCAAGGGGAACAAATGGATGATATTGAACAGAATGTGGCTGATGCTGGAGCTTACATTCACGGTGGAACCAATGCTCTTTTTTCTGCTAAGCAGATGAAGCAGAGAAGAGGAAGATGGATTTGTTGGATTGGGGCTTTGGTGTTGCTTGTGTTGCTGGTATGCCTGATTTCCATATTAGCTTCTTGAAATCGTAGAGATCAAAGTTCATCCTGGATGTGGCTGTTATTGTTGTGCTTTAGTGGAGTTTTGGTCTGTGAATAATATACTGGAGTTGACTATACTGGCTGGCGGATTCAATGGTTTCTTTCATTGCATTTGTCATTTAGAATGCACGGTTTGATGACTTTCTTGTTTTAGGCATAGTAATATGTTTGATGTATCTCATCTTTTTCTTCTTGTAATTTGGATTTTTTTGGAACAGAGATTCTCTTCTTGAATGTTTTGAAGCTTGATATGCATGATTTTGGCCCTACTTGTGATCTGAAACATATTGCTCTGTTGTTATTGGTGCTTCTGCTCGGTAGATTTATGCATGTTGGTGACTCATCGACTGAAGCTGATAGTTTATTTCTATTTTTCATGTTGCATCTACATATATGCTAGGAAGGGATCTTTGGTCTAGGTCCAGGGTTTAGAGAGCTTAAGGGAGCCTTATATATCGCAATATGGAGGGTTGGACACGAGGGATTCTAACGCTGTATTAGGATAGGAGACTAAGTGTAGTTACTACCATGATTTTCTGATTTTAAGCTTCGGAAGAAATTCCTCAAATACATTTGATGCATGCGTTTTTATCTCTGGTAGATTAAAGTTAACAGCTTGGGAGAAATTTGTTGCACAAAACAAGGTTTAAAGTAGCATTTAGAAGAATCGGAACCACATTACACCTTTTTATTGGTCATAAAACAAGAATTTCGCTTGCAGAGTTCCTGCATTTCGCAGGAATGTTTGCGAGAAAGTGTCAGCCAAAAGGCTTAAAACAAACAAGAGTTTATTTTCCCCAAGAAACTCTAATGTGAGTTCTCCAGTACAAGCAACTAACAAGGTGGAAGGTCCGTAGGTGGAGGCAAGACAGAGTGATCCGAGTCTTTCCCATTTTCTTTCACTAACGCAGTCTTCAAACCCAAGCTAGTATGTAGCTCGAAATGACAGTGCATGAACCACACACCTAAAGAACATAAAAAACCGTTCAAAGTATTAGTAAATTCTTTGAATAAACAAATAGTCAGTCATTTAAATCTGGTTAAAAATTTGTTTAGCTTAGGGCCGTTTGATAACCATTTCAATTTTAGGTTTTAGTTTTCATTTTTTGTGCTGAAGTATAGAGGAACAAGAGGGAGAATGGAAGTGAGAATGAGAGTGGAGATGGGATTTAGAGGGAAGATGAGAGGGGAGGATGGGAGGGGGGAGTAACAAAAGTGAAAACTAAAAACTGAAATCTATTTGAAATTGTTTTCACTTTCAAGTTTTTGTTACTTTTGTTACTCCTCCCTCTCATCCTCTCTCTCAATCTCACACTCACTCCCATTCTCACTCTCATTTTCCTCTATACTCTAGCACGAAAAATGAAAACTAAAAACTAAAAACTAAAAACTAAAATTGAAATGGTTATCAAACGTGTCCTTAGTTAGCCACTTTGAATTAAAATGCGGTCTGCTGTTTGGTTATGTTGTTGTGTTTACCTGGATTATCAGCCCTGAACCTTATGGCATCCCAACCACCGGTGGAAACTCCAACTGTGTTTCTCTCAGGAGGATCCACTAAGTTATACTTTGCCGGGTCCTTTTTCAGGTTGAAGTTCCCAGTTCCACTACCGACAACAAAGAAATTATAACCGTGAAGGTGGAAGGGATGAGACTCCAGTGTGAGAAGATTGGTGTCTTGTAGCACCAACTCAACTGATGAATTGAAGGCAATTTTGCTAAGCCGGGTGCCTAGTTTAGTGCCAAGGTTGGCAGTGAGTGGTGCACCAGTATAATTGAAGGGTGTTAGAGGGCGGTCTGGAAAATCTGTTGTAAATACTCCCTTGGTGTTGAAATAATGAGCTTGAAGCAGCCCAATTTGGGGCATCACGAAAGTGATATTGTTTAAAGAAGCAGTGAGCTGTCTTCCATTGAGGCTAGTCGTGCAATGGTTAATTCCCAACCTGATCGTGTAAAAGAGATGTCGATCAACTTTAAGAGGTACACTGGCGGGGAACTGTGCTGTGTTTAAATTTCTTAGCTTGGCATTGAAGCTCAATGCAAAAGCTGTGTTATTGAGTGCCGGGAATTGGGGAAGAACTGGCTGCACAGTATTTGGGATGCCTTTGTACTGCAGTATTCTAGTGGCAGTTTTGTTGTCAATGGAAACCAGTGCGTCCATGAATGGCCTAGCTGCCATGAAATATCTGCTGGGCGCTTGGTTGGCTTGAACGAGAACGTTCGTGGTCTGGCCTGGTGCAATTAGTATTGCTTGCGATGTGAATGGTTTGGTGTAGACTGCATCAATTTCTACCACTATCAAGTTGTGTCCAGCAATGACAAAGAATAGCTCATCATTGAGTGCTGATGATTCGTAGCAGGTACTTCTCTCCCTGTTCAACCTCCAATGCACAGGTATCTGAGAGCCAAAACAAGAAATGCGAAAGAAAAATCCCATTTTTCGGTTTTAAATATCGGTGTCTTTAAAAAAATGTGATCTTAAGTATCTTGATTCTTGTTTCATGAATGGAAAAAACTCTTGCATACAACGTTACTTTCACAATAACTAGTCTAATGACCAGCATGTGAGAGTTGCATTGTATACACCAACTCACCTAAGACAATATTAGCCTCCTTGTATGGCTGAGGAAATGGAAAACCTGTCCCTTGTTTAGGTAAGATGACAATTGCTCCATACACAGTGGCTCTTAGCAAAAAAAATATGTGCATGCCACCATAGAGTTCCTCTTTGCCCTGTTATAGTAATATTGTAGGTGTAACCATGCCCTGTCTTGATAGGACATTGTGTGATATAGGCAGGCCCATCCGCCCACCCGTTTCGATATCGCTTTAATCCATGCCTGCAAAATTCAACCAAAATGTCACATTAATAAACCCAAGTGTTCATATTAGTTTATGGTGTCATATTATTTTCAATTCACATATAAATTTCCTACCAATGAATTGGCATATTGTATTGTGCATGGTTGGTAACATTGACAAGAAGTGTATCTCCTTCTGTAGCATAAACTGTAGGTCCAGGGATCATCCCATTTACTTTAACAATGGGTTTAGAATGGCACAACCTGGTCACATTCTTCACTTGGACCTGAAAATAGATATAGAGATAAATAAATAAAGCAACCTATACTATAGTATGCTTTTAAAGTGTGACAATATTATGAAGTGCTCACATCAAATTGGTATGGTTTCAAAGCAGCTTTGGCTGGAGTTGAAATGAACCCAGCTAAACATAAGAAGAGAACTGCAGAACCCCAGCAGAAACCATTGGTTTTTGCCATTTTTCGTGATGTCAATGTTCGAATACAATAGCTGTGGGGGAAATTTAAAACAAATTAAGCATCAGTTTGGAAGAGGGGAGGCGTTGTTGTCAACATTACGTAGAAACTGAAGAGGTTTCAATTGAAAACTGGAAGAGGGAAACAGAGGAGCTGAAGATCTTTGATCTGTATTTTTTTTATTGTTTAGAGAAATGAGGGTCTAAGCAAGCAAGAGAGGTACGTGAAGCTAAGCATATGGCTCTCTAAGCTTTAGAGTCAAGGAAAATGGTTGGCATCCACCGTGTGTTTCTTGTTGACATATCCACTTTTCCCCTTTCTTGAGCTCTATGCAGAATGTATGCCTTTATAAAACAAGATTCAGTGTCTAGTGTTTTAGAGTTTATTAGATATATAATCTAACAAACAGTTGTTGTGTTGCTACCCTTCTTTGAATTTGAACATGTCATTGCATGCTCCCGTTGATTTTTAGAGAAAAAAAAGTAATTGGTCAAAATTTGAAAGCTTTAATTTTTTATTTATTTATTTTTTTTGTGACTTGGAAGCTTTTAACTCAAACGCGAACTAGTTTGTCACTGTTCTATTCTATACCCTCATTTGAACATAGACAATAAGCTATTTTGGGAGTGCTCGGATACACAATTGAAAGCTCCTATAAAAGATGGCTACCACACACCAACACCCCCCCCCTTTTTTTTTTTTTTTTTTTTTTTTTTTTGGTGGAATATAGTGGGGTTCGAACTCCTCTCCACTCCGAAATTTTGTAGCCACTTAACCACCACGCTGCTCATAACTCTGTGATTATAAATTATGGAATCTAGTATATATATTACTTGCGAGACTTTCAAAAATTAAACAATTTAAACTCACTCACTCGCACACCCCTCTCCACTCCGAAATTTGCAGGCACTTAACCACCACGTTGCTCATAACTTTGTGAATATAAACTATGGAATCTAGTATATATAATACTTGCGAGCTGCTTTTAAAGTTTCAACTTTTCAACTATTCACCACGTTTCAACTTACTCATTTACCCCACCATTCAACCACTCACCTAACTAATTAGTTGTAGTCATATTTCTATACATATAGTTAGGTAATCCTATTTCTATATATACAAATGAAATCAAATGGTCTCATGCCGTCCCTTATTTCTCAACATCTCTCCAAAACAAAACATAATGCTCATATTTTTCTCAACATCTATCATCTTCAATTTCCCCGCAAGTTTATAGTAAGTTATTCTCATTCATTATTGTTATTTAATTTGCATGTTTATTATTATCTATTCCAAATTTTTGGTGGTATTATATTTTAAATTGTGTCAATTAATTACTTAGTCAATGGCATGTGGTTTTTAATTTTTCTATTCTTTATTTGGTCACTTACATGTGTATTCATTGTCTCTAAATTCATTATTAAAGACTTTATATGCTTCCATCACATTTTGTTACACGTGTTTCATTATTGTTTTCTTGTTGGTCCATGCAGATTCTATTTGGCCTTTACACAAAGGGTTCCATATTTAAGGTAAGTTTACAAACTTATATATATGTTATTGTAATTTATACAACAACAAAAAATTTGTGTGAACTGGTGCATGGGAGAAGATGATTCGTTATCTATAAGATGATTATACTCGTAGAGAAAGACTATACTCGTAGAGAAAGAGGCAAGGCGATTTTGTCAAGTCAAGAAGATGATTCGTTATCTATAATTTCAGATTATGTTGGAGTGGGAAGTAATAACTATGATTATATTCATAACCAACCATTTCCCTACCATTCATATCCCATTCCTTTTGGGAAAGAATCGAGTAGCTCATGGAAAGAATCTGAGACTCAATCTTCAAATGATTTTGCTCATGGACAACGTCAACCAATCTCGGATCTATATGGTTGGCATGTTAACAATTACATGCAAAACTATTTTGGGGATTTATCATTTGATGACTATTCTTCACAATACACTTACTCTACACATAGAGATGATGAAGATAGTGAACAATTTGAACATCATAGGAACTCTATGTGGTACTAAGTCACTTATGTATCTTACCATGCAATGTATAAAATGTAAAATATTGTAGTAAATCATTATATATAAATGATTGTGGTGTTTAATCTTCTTTCATTAATTACTACATATTTTCTACACTCACAGTGTTTGTCAGCTCGCTATATAATCAACTTAAATTAGTTAAATCCATCATGCAATGCATTTCCTTCCAATTTTTTGTGATAAACTAATAGATAATTGACTAAATAAGCATCCTCCAAAGTTTCAATAAAAATTTCCAAGTTTTTCTTACAATTTCCGTGGTTTTTATTCAATTTTTATCGATATCGATAATATCCCGATATTTCCATCGAAATTTCTGTATTTTTGGACTACCGATATTTTCAATATCACCGATATTTTAGACCTTGGTCCCTAGTTTGAATCCTCCCTCATTGATTGATAAAATAGATAAATAAACGATGGCTCTCACATAATCTAGTGAAAGATGGACCAAACAAGCAAAAGAGTTTCTCCTAGAAAGGTACCACTCAACGGATGTAAAACTTTCATTTCTCTGTTACTCCCAATTCCGTTAAGTTTTGACCACGTGCCCCTCACGTAGAAGAGGTATTTTGGTTCATGAGAGCCAAATTCATCCTAGTTTACCCAAATTTTAACCCAGAGATGTAAATTTTTCCGAGACCCAGAATCCTAAAATTGAGCCTAAAGTGAATTGGAAAAGCTTCAACTTGTATTTTACTGTTACATCATTACATGGGCTCAAGTGGATTGAAATACCCCTCCATGTGAGGAGCACATGGTCAAAACTTAAAGGAATTTGGAGGAATTTGAGAGAAATTGAAATGTGTCCTTGAATTGCTCAAAATTGAAACTACAAGGATAAATTTGACAAAGTTGAAACTACATATACCAAAGTGGTAAAACAGGCAAACTACATGGACTAAAAAATAAACTTTTGCTTTCTTTTATTTGATGAAATGGTGTTTTAAGTCACTCAGTGGGCCATTACAAACAAACACCTGGCTATTTGAAGCTCAACTTTGATGTGGTAAACTATCGAATTACCCCTTGAACCTGTACATAACTATCAATTTACCTCCTGACTTTTTTTAAAAGTAAATTAAGGGCTTAAATTAAATTTTATTATCAATGTTCTCCCCACCGTCAAAATTCCCACATTTCATCCATTAATCCGTCTATTTGACTCACATTGACTATCTTTTGAGGGTTATTATGGTCAATCTATGTGGATTGAATTACCCAGGTGAACCTTACTTCTCATTTTGTACCAGTTTTAAAACGTTGTCTTTGCAGAATCGTTGTCAAATGTGGGAGTGGGGTGACCCCGTTATGTGCAATAGATCTAAGCAAATAATTCCAAGATTGTTGAGAAGAATTAACAAGTTGGAAGCATAAAAAAAGAAAGGGAATTCAAAGCTGAAAAACCCATGGTTTTGGGTGTCGTTGTGCATGTTTGGGGTTATTATGTGGTTGATTTTGAATGAAGATAAAGGCACCAATGGGCAGCTGTAGAAAGGGATGGGTAGTTGGCATTTTGTAAGGGTTATAAAAGGATGGGTGCTTGCCATTTTGTAAGGGTTAGAAAGAGCCAAAAGACCCGTTCAGAGGGGTGGATTGAAATTCATCTGCAAATTCATGTGCCTCATCATCTTCAAATTTATCTGCCTCATTATCTGCCTCATCATCACCATCATCATCTAAATCAACATCCACTTCTACAAATTGGTTCCCCAACTCACCAACATCAGTTTCAGTTTGAACTTCTACTTTGATGAACTGTGGAGTAGATGCATATGCTGGCTCTTTGGGAAATGTGGTTAAGACTTATAGGATAGATATAAAGGTTAAACTCTAGAGGTAGGTGTGTACTCCACAAACTCAACTATATAGGCATCTACTTCAATTGGAACAACCCTTTTTTTTTGTTCCAGTAACGGTATTGTATTTTTTGATGGTCGTATTATAAAAACATAGCAACATCACACAAGTCAAGCATTGACAGGCAGTCAGCGTTACAGTTGTCTGTCTATGTAACCTTACCCCGAACATACTTCCCCTCTAAAATATAACATTCATAGTGAATTTCTAGGGAGAAAAAAATTAGAATCACCTATAAAAAAATAAAAAAAAATAAAAAAACTATTTTATCACACCAACTTATCTTTACTGCCCATCTACCATTCTAAACTTGAAATTGACTAAGATCCACCGACAATTATGCAGACAAAACAACACAAATGCTTTGGGACCACATGTATTTCATATTCAAAAAAAGCATATTAAACAACACCACAAAATGTCAAAAGAATCGACAAACGAAGGACCACATAAGCTTAAACAATTTCAAATTGGGAAAAGCGATTATTTACTATACTTGAGAGGAGGCCCTCTGTTCCGCACTTGCAGAGGCAACACATCCAGACTCATGTTGTGTCAAATCAACGGAGCCAAAAGATGCTTTATGAAAAAGATTGCAGATTCCCTCGATTTCATCCCTTTCCATCCCTCAATTCCGTCCCTTTCCAACCCTACCAAATTGAGCGCGATGTGAGAAGTGTGTGAAGTGTGAGAACTGACCTATTTAACCCTGGGTAATTAAAACCACTTGGGAATGACCAAAATAACCCTCAAATGGACGGATTAATGGATGAAATGTGAGAATTTTGATGGTGGGGGAAACATTTATAATAAAATTTAATTCAAGTCTTTAATTTACTAAAAAAAAGATTATGGGGTAAATTGATAGTTATGCACAAGTTCAAGGGACAATTCAGCAGTTCACTCTTTTATTTTTTATTTCCTGTTTTACAAAAGAATTCATAATAAACCCTAGCTAGGACCAGGAAAAAAACATAAAAATTCAGAGTGCGCGCTTCCACCATCGGCGGAAGAAATGTCAGTTTCTGAGGAAAATGCGAATATCCGAGACCACCATCGGCGGTTGCTGGCGGCGAAATACGAGCTGAGACGAAATCTGTACAAAGCCCTCTGCAAGGACCCGAGCCTTCCCAGCGATCTGCGCGAGGAGAACCGCTTCAAGCTCTCTAAGCTGCCCAGAAACAGCTCCTTCACGCGCGTCAGGAACCGCTGCATCTTCTCCGGTCGCGCACGCGCCGTCTACGAGACCTTCCGTATGTCCCGTATTGTCTTCCGTACTCTGGCATCTAAAGGCATGCTCAATGGCATCAAGAAAGCATCTTGGTAGCCACCGAACCGGTGCGTTTCGAAGTTCTTCATGTTATTGTTTGTAATTTTTCTGCTTCCGGAAATGGGTTTTTTTTAATAAATCGAAATGGTGTTTTGCTTGTAGCATATAGATAAGGGTATAAGCATGTAGCATCCAAAATAAATGTATCTCCTTCTCTGTGTTTCGTTTTTTGGCCAGTTGTTTGAATTTAAGTATTCTACTACTTTGCTCTAAATAAGTATGACAACTTTGACTGATGTCCATTGTACCATTTTTAATGGATTACTATGACACCCTATGACTTGCATGTTGAACCTATTTTTCTTTTTCTTTTTGGTCTCATGGGGCTGAGTTGCATCTTACAGTTTTCATCTTTTGTTTTTCTACAAAGTGGAATGGATGAACTTAGTGAAGATGGGGATTTTGGCGAATTTGTTTATGCGTCTTTCTATGGTTTTAAGAACCCCGCTTGACATAAGAATAGAAATGCAGAACCCCAGCAGAAATTGTTGGTTTTTGCCATTTTTCGTGACTTTAATGTTCATACACAATGGCAAGTTTTTGTAGGGATAAGACATGATAGCAGGTCAAGGTCTAATGGTTTTATGGGGCTGTGGGTAAAATATAAAACAAATTTGGCATCAGTTTGTGAGATGGAGATGTTGTTGTCAACATTGGGTAGAAACTGTAGAGGTTTCATTTGAAAGTTTGGAAGCAACATACTGAAATTTTGTTTTGTTTAAAGAAATGAGGGAAGCAGAGTAGCGGAAGATCGTCATCTTGTATTTTTATTGTTTAGAGAAATGAGGGTTTAAGCAAGCAAGAGAGAGGTACGTGAAACATATGGCTCTCTCAGCTTCAGAGTCGAGGAAAATGGTTGGCATCCAGTGTGTGTTTCTTGTTGACATATCCACTTTGCCCTTTTTTTGAGCTTCTATGCAGTACGTATAAATGCCTTTATAAAACAAGATTTAGCGTTCAGTGTTTTAGAGCTTATTAGATGTATAATCAAATGGAAAATTTAATGTCAGTTTGAATGATTTAAATCTATTTTGCCAGACAATCTAACAAACATTTGTTGTGTTGCTAGACTCTCAGTCTAGATCATTGGTTAGATGAAATCTTTAACCTAATAGGCAACATAAATGTAAAATATATGTGAAATTGGATTGTTGCCCTTGTTGAATTTCAACATATTAAGTCAAGTGGTATTTCTCTTCCATATGTCAGAATAGTTCCCAAGATCGCACTCTCCCGTTGATTTTTAGAAAATTAAAGTACTTGGTCAAAATTTGAAAGCTTTTAATTTTTTTTATAGTATTTGAAAGCTTTTAATTTAAATGTGAACTAGTTTGACACTGTTCTTTACCTTCGTTTGAACGTAGGCAATAAGATATTTTGGGAGCACTTAGAACACAAGTGAAATCCACTATAAAAGATGGCTACCACATACCAACTAGCTCTTGATATAGTGGTACTTTTCTTCCCAATGTGGGCTGATGTCTCAAATTCAAATCCTCCCTCCCCAATTAATAAAATAAATAAATAAACGATGGCTCCCACATAACCTGGTGTAAGACGGACATAACAAGCAAAAGGGTTTTTCCTAGAGAGGTATGTACCATTTTTACACGATGGATGTAAAAGTTTCATTTGTCTATTTAAAAATCTAAAATCCTTAATAATATAGTAAGCAAAACTAGAAGAACCTTGCTTCTAAGCTTTGGGACCAATTGCTTATTCAATATCTGGTTGTTATACTGCTTACTGAGGACAAAAGCTTGCAATGCCATCTAAAAATGGTATTCATCGCCATATAGCCACCCTTGCCATATAGTTAGGTCTCTAAGTGTTTGAAAGGAACATTTTGAATATTTGAACTTATTTTTCTTGGGCCAGATTAGTGAGTGCATGAGTCTGGTTAAGAATGCAAAGACATATTTCTGAGCTCAGTTCTGTTGATTTTTAATGCTTCATATATATTGTCAGTATATATTATACAGTATATAAGGTCTTATAACGTTGAATTATTACCGTTTTCAGGGAACTCAAGCAAATTTCTTCTCTGCTATCAAAACAGGCCACGATAGACCTTGAATCCAAACTGGACCTCAAAAGAACCTCACACATTTTTCTAAGAAGTGACTGCAATCAAGCCTGATTTCCACCTTAGCTTGTTGAAATTTTTGAGATCAAAGTTCATCTTGAATTTGGCTGTGATTGTTGACTATAATGGCAGATGGATTGGACCGTTACTTTCATTACATTTGTCATGTAGGATGCATTTTGGTGATTTTTGTTTCCTTTATAGGTTTAATATGTTTGATTATATCTCTTCATCTTTCCCCATCTTTTTCTTCCTAAGTTTGGATTTTTGTGAACAGTGATTCTCTTTTTTGAATGCATTGAATTTTGAAGCCTGATATGTATGGCTTAGGCCCTACGTGTGATCTGAACTATTTTACTTTTGTGTTATCAGATCTTCGGCTTGTTAGAATTATTCATATGGGTTACTCTTCCATAAAGACTGATATCTCTCACTCACAACTTTCCGAGTTTGAATTTCGAAAGAAATTCCTCAGATATGTTTAATGCAGGTCTTTTTAATCTCTGGTAGATTAAACCTAAAAACTTGGGGCCAATGTCATCCCAGAAATTTGTTGCAAGAAACGGTGTTTAAATTAGCATTTAAAAGAATTCAATACACATTCCACCCTTTTTATTGGGTCTTAAACAAGAATTTTGCTTGCACTACTCCTGCATTTTGTAGGAGTGTTTGCAAGAAATTGTCAGCCAAAAGGCTCAAAACAAACAATGGTTTGTGTTCCTCAAGAAGTACTCCACTGTGGTTCGAGGGACTAACAAGGTGGAAGGTCTATAGGCGGAAGCAAGATAGAGTGATCTGAGTCTTTCCCACTTTCCCCACCAATGCGTATCTTTTCAAAATACTAGTGGTGAAAAAAAAAAAAAAAAAAAAAAAAAAAAAAAAAAAAAAAAAAAAAGATTATTCTTGCTTAATAGTAACTTTGAAGTATAATATAGCATGCTATTTGGTTAGTTTGATGTGTTTACCTGGATTATCAGCCCTGAACTTTATGGCAGCCCAACCACCAGTAGGAACTCCGATTGTGTTTCTTTCGGGAGGATCCACCAGGTTATACTTTGCCGTGTCCTTTTAGGGTTGAAGTTCCCAACTCCGGTCCTAACAACAAAGAAATTGTAACCATGAAGGTGGAAGGGATGGGACTCCACTGTGAGAAGATTGGTGTCTTGTAGCACCAACTCAACTGTTGAATTGAAGGCAAGTTTGCTAAGCCGGGTGCCTAGTTTAGTGCCAAGGTTGGCAGTGAGTGGTGCACCAGTGTAATTGAAAGGTGTTGGAGGGCAGTCTGGGAAATCTATGGTAAATAATCCCTTGGTGTTGAAATAATGAGCTTGAAGCAGCCCAATTTGGGGCATCACGAATGTGATATTGTTTAAAGAAGCAGTGAGCTGTGTTCCATTGAGGCAAGTGGTGCATTGGTTAATTCCCAACGCGATTGTGTAAAAGAGATGTCGATCAACTTTAAGAGGTACACTGGCCCGGAACTGTGCTGTGTTTAGACTTCTTAGCTTCACATTGAAGCTCAATGCAAAAGCTGTGTTATTGAGTGCCGGAAGTTGGGGAAGAACTTGCTGCACGGTATTTGATGCCTTTGTACTGCAGTATTCCAGTGGCAGTTTTGTAACGGAAACAGGTGCATCCATGAATGGCCTAGCTGCCATGAAATATCTGCCAGGAGCTTGGTTGGCTTCAACAAGAACATTCGTGGTCTGGCCTGGCGCTATTGTATTGCTTGAGATGTGAATGGTTTGGTGTACACTGCATCAATTTCTACCACTGTCAAGCTGTGACTAGCAATGGCAAAGAATAGCTCATCATTGAGTGCAGCATTGATGATTTGTAGCAGGTACGTCTTTCCCTGTTCAACCTCCAATGCATAGGTATCTGAGATAGCAAAAACAAGGATGAGAATGCAAAGTCTCATTTTTCATGTCCAAATGGCAGTGCCATAAAACAAAAGTGGTCTCAGAACATCTAGTGTCATAGATGGGAAAAGTTCTCGCATACAATGAGTATATACAACGTAGCTCTCACAATAACTAGTTGCACGTCCACCATGTGCATTGTATAAACTCATTGTAGGCAAGAACTTTTCTACAGAAGGCAGTGGCTTACGTTTTTCAGAACATGGAAAGAGAGGCCCTGGCTTCCCATTGATGGTGTGTGCATCTGACATATTTGGTGGCAATCCCAGTTTGTTTCCTTGTTTAACAACCTCTTCGACGTCGTTATTCCACCATTCTCCTACACCATTCACAAGAAACAATACAATCATTTTGTGCATAAACTCTAAAAAATTTCTGTATATTGTTACAAATCTTATAGTTGCACCAACTCACCTAAGACAATATTAGCCTCCTTGTATGGCTGAAGAAATGGAAAACCAGTCCCTTGTTTAGGCAAGATGACAATTGCTCCATACACAGTGGCTCTTAGCCAGAAAATATGTGCATGCCACCATAGAGTTCCTCTTTGCCCTGTTATAGTGATATTGTAGGTGTAACTATGTCCTGTCTTGATAGGACATTGTGTGATATAGGCAGGCCCATCTGCCCACCCATTTCTATATTGCTTTAATCCATGCCTTCAAGGAAAATGGTTGGCATCAAGTGTATATGTGATGTATGTTCTCTGTTCACATATACACTTCGGGCCTTTTTTTATTTTGTTCTGGCTTCTACCGGTCAACCTTAAGTGCAATTTACTTTTCGTAAGTAAATGAGGTTGGTTGGTTTAATATGTTGAGTTGAAACTTGAAAATGTTTTCCTTTGTCAGATTTTTTCTTTTTCTGTTGTCACTTGAAATCATTGTTATGGAGAATAATATTAGCCATACCTAGAAATTTTATTCAGTTTGGGATGGTGAATCAATCATATCTGTTGTGCCTCTTCAGGTCTGATGCAAGATGGATGCAAAATGGATGCTTCATCTGTACTTTATAACAGTGTTAAATCAGCACATGCTTCTGTTGCAACATTACACCAAAAAGAGATTGAAGGCGGAATTGTTTGGGCACGCCAGCTGGGTGGGGAGGTAAATCAATTGTGTACAGCTTACTACAAATTCGGAAGTTGTTGAATTGCTCTAGCTTATACATTCCTTATTTGAACCAATTTAAGGAGTTCCATTGTTTCTAAGTAATTTTGGCTTTGGGATTTTTGTTACCATTTCAAGTTGAGCTCTATTTGTTCTTGGATATAGTTCAGATAGATAAAAACAATTACGAGGCACAGATATTATAGGTTTTAGCAGTATCTGTTGGGCAGTACAGGGACCATAAACAAAAAATGTATGCAGAATACTGATGTTGACATGCTCTTACTTTGCATGCAAGGAAAAAAACCAGCATTGAGATTTTGAAAGAGATAAAGTCAGGAATTTGTTTTTGTTTATCTTTTTTCCCATATAGGTAAAAATTCCTGGCACCTGCCTACTTATAATTAAAAAGAACCAGCATGGATGTTTAGCATTATCGGTTGTTAGTCATGTTATTGTTGTCATTGATGTTATTTGCAGTGATGGAGTTAATATATTTGCTTATTGTTGCCATTTATGTTATTGGTGGTGGTGGTGGTGGTGTTATTATATTTGCTTCTAAACAGCTCGGTTGTTTTTCTGGGCCAGGGCGCCAAGACTTGGAAGTGGAAGCTCATGTTAGAGATATTCCTTTCAAGGTTTTTTTCTCATTGTATTGTCATATGACGTTCTTTTCCTTGGGGGAGAGCTTAAATTAAACTAGTTTGCTTACGTAAATGCAGGCCAAAGATAATGAAATAAAAGAGATATTTTCATCAGCAGGGTTTGTCTTGGATGCAATTATACCACACAATTCTGATACAGGGTATATTGTCATTGTCCATTGTTGTTTTTCTCTCTTAATGGAAATATATTTTCTGTTCTTCATTCTTATTTTAATTTTTTATTCCTCGTTCGCAGGTTACCTAAAGGTTTTGCATTTGTCCAATTCACACACAAACAGGATGCAGAAAATGTACATTTGTGATTTGTGCTTTACTTTTGGAGTACATAATGAAGCCCTGCGTTCATTAACATTTTTCTTTTTCTTTCTCAGGCAATAAAAAAGTTCAATGGACAAATGCTTCATAAAAGACCCATAGCTGTTGACTGGGCTCTTTCAAGTAGTGTCACTGTTAAAAAATGCTCTTCTTGCTTCAGAAGATGGTACTTGTGGCATTATTGTAACTCTATTCTCATTTAGCAAACTTTTGTCTTACTTTAATGGATTATCTTGAATGGTTGTTATTTTCTTTCCTCAAAACATTAAGAGGAAGGTCTTATTCTGAGGGAAACTCCAGCTGCAGAAGGGGTTTCGGCTAGCGATATGTTGAAACGCCAAATGTAAGTTTATGATTTCTTTGTTTCCTTAGATATTGCACATGCATACCCTCTCCATGGGATACCGTAGCAAGATACAATTCGTACATGATTTTATTTGGGCAAAATCTCTTTTCAATTAATACAATCATTTGTAATTTAATCCTTCAATTTTTGGTCCCTGTAACGTGTTTTTGCATTTTAGTTCAACTACTTCTCTTAGAAATTTTTAAAAAAAAATATGCTTGTAGACTTTTGTCCTTTTTTATGGTTCTCATCTTTGTTTTACCACAAGCTTTAGGCAAATATTTTAAAATTTTACAAGAAAAAGCAATATCAGACTTTGTAGGTTTTAACATATGTCAGCTAAACATTGGTGCTGCTTCGGTATTCAAATGCTGATTATTTTGCTGCTACTTCATGTTTCACATTCTTTTGCAACATATTTTCTTGAATTTCTAAAACCATGCAGGGAGGAGAGGAACATGATGATGAAGCTTCAATCTCCAAATTTTCATGTCTCGAAGACAAGAATATTTATAAAAAATTTGTTGAAGTCCATGACTGCAAAAGAACTAAAAATACTTTGTATTGATGTTGCAACCTCATGAGCTACAAAAAAAAAACCTGTGATCCAACAGGTTAGTCAGTCTCTTATTTGTAATTGATATTGTTCATGCAGAGGATGTGAAGAAAGGAAAGCTTGTTGCAAAAAATTTCTCTTGTGGAGCTGCTTTCGTTGAGTTTACAGAGCATCAGCATGCACTTGTGGCCCTGAGAGTTTGGAACAACAATCCTGGTAACTTAATTCCTCAAAAGTGTAATATCCATATTGACATATGACGCTGATTATTGGTAATCTCTAAACTGCAGTCTCAATTTCAGTCTTATTATGTTGGAAATATATATGCATAAACTTTTGGTCCTGAGCATCGCCCAATTGTGGAGTTTGCACTTGAGAATGTTAAAAAATTGAATATACGAAATGCTAAGATAAAAACACAGCAGCATGCAGCTCATCGTAATCGGGAAAACGTGCATCAAAATGAAGGCTCAAATAGACCAGATACTCATCCAAGCAAGAAGTCCAAAAACTTGAAATTGGATGACTCGGTACCAAATAAAGAAGATGAAGTCGAAAATAAGTTTAATGATGGAGCTGCCACCGAAAGACAGAGAGGTCTAAGAGGCAGAAAAGTGGTCCATTTGGAAAGGAAAAAAAGATCTCATCAAAGGTATCAGGACACTCAACAACAGAGAAGGCGGAAGGCTCAAAACGTGAACCAAGGAATTATCAAGATGGCAGGAAGGCTGGTGGTGGAAGATCATCCGAAGGTGAAACCTGTGGCCATTGATTAGCAAAAGTCAAAACCTTGAGAAAGACAAATGTGAATGTGCAACCTAATAAGAGGAAGCTGCAGGAGCAGAAAGAGGTAGAGGGAGGGAGGGGGGGAATTGACGTGACGAGGAGAAAGAAGTCAAAGAAGAATAAGGGCCCATTAGGGCGGGATGTTACAGATAAACTCGGCATGCTGATTGAACAATATAGATCCAAGTACTCGCAACAGAGCACCGTCCGACCTGATGGTGTAAAGCAAGGTTCCAGAAAGCTTAGAAAATGGTTCCAAACATAATTTTATGTTGATTTTGTAAAATTGCATGATAAGTCTCACAAGAGAGGAGTAAAAGCAGTTGCTGGATATATTTGTAAGCATGAAATTTACTCTGGCATTTTGGTTGAAAAACTATTTATTTGTTCAATTCCACCTGACCTCAAACTTAGGCTTTTATACTCGTAGAGATTTCTCCTAGTAATGTTTAAGCAATATTTCGAAACAAAACTCAGTTTCAAGATATAGGTCGTTTATAAAATAAAATAAAAAAAGAAAAGAAAAAAGTATTAAGATAGATTTGGACAGACTTGGTTTGGCATGTTCAGTTTGGTTTCTTGCTTTTAAGTTTAGATTTTCTGGGTTAAGCCTTGGCCCTTCATAACTTCAAAATGATGCTTATTGTATATCGCATTTCAGTACTTTTATCTAAACAAAAACAAAGACAAATATAGAAACTTTGTATATACTAAGAAGAGAAACTAAAGCCGATCAAAATCGTGGTACAACTATATTCATCTACAGCTATCACTTGTAGAGTTAATATCTTAGATACAAGCCATGAGCTCTTCCATATATGATTCAGTCCATTTAGAGTAGCTGCTGTCGATATTCTCAGAGTTACTTGGGCTGCAAGCATCCTCCACTTTGGTTTCACAAAGTATTTGTTCAATGTTGAAGATAGGATTGTTCTCGAAGAATGTCAGATCAATCGAATCAACATCATCACAAGAGACCACTAGTTCACCACCAGTCATACTAGAAGAGTAGCCTTCTTGTACATGTGATGATGATTCTTCCGTTGATCCCATTTGATGATCTTTTTCATCTTTTTGTTCGTGCTCCTCTTCTTTTGTACTTGATCTCGTGATGAATGCTTTAAATTTATTTCCTTACTCGAGGCCCTGTCGTTCTTCCTCATTCGACAAATCACGAAATCGAAATCGTAACTACGATCATTGTAGTCATTCTTGGGACCAACAAAAAGACTATATTCATCCAGTAACCACCATGTGTGCTCCTCGGACCCTTTATTCTCATAGCGGAATTTTCGTTTTCGGCCAATGGGGTTCGGGTTTCCATTGTCGTACTCAATAAGTTTGAAGGATTCAGTTTCACTCCAGGTACCGCCGTGGCCAATGCTACGATCCATGCGCTTTGGGCTTAACTTCTTGAGCCCGGAAAGGAAATACAAGTCTTGATCAACAAGTTGAGGCCCCCCGTACCTTTTCCAAATCTCCGAAGGCTCTAACTTGTTGCCGAAGAGATTGCAGGCACGGATGAAGTTGCTGTACGGCGGCATCAAAGGATTTCTGTCGACCAACAAGGTGTGGAGAAAGGAACCCACAATCTCTTTATCAGTGGGGTGGAAACGGAAACCTAACGGCACATTCTGATAATGTGCCATTGCTTGCTTGCTTGGTGCTGCTAATTAAGAAGAGAAGAGAAAGAGAAATCAAGTGACGTTGTTTGAGCGTAATCTGAATTGTATTTATAGGGAGTGTCCGGTTTAGGGTTTCTTTAGTTTCCTTCCTGCGTAGGGAAATAGAATTCCAGATGAAACATGGAAACTCTTTTTGTCTTTTTCTTTTTTGTTTTAATTTGAAAGAAAATTTGATTGGCCTGAGCAGTTTTGGTACTTCATTATTTTAATTTTTAATTTTTAATTTTTGTAAAGAAACCAAATTGAATTGAATAAAAGGAGATTGGTTTTGGTTATGTTCAATTGTACGTCAAGTTCATTGCTTTTCCTATTATTGTTATTTCGTCGATCCTGAATCTTCAGTCGCCAAATTCTCAGAGTCAGGGTTTTCTTTTTTCATTTTCGTTTTTCGTTTTTTCCTTCTTCTCCTTTTCTGTTTTTGTTTTTCCATACTCAAGTAAATTACTGAATTGCTTCGTTTTTTTATGGAAGATATTTTCTTAGCAACCAAACAGTTGTAAAGCTGAACGCTTTTAAGCAACTGAAGGTTTCTTTCAGGTGGGTATTTGGTTATTGCCTCAAAGATGAATGATCTAATGACTAAGTCATTCCTCAGTTACGTGGACCTCAAGAAACAGGCCATGAAAGACCTTGAATCGGAACCCGACCTCGAAATGGGCAAACTTGGCCCTGCTGATGAACAGAACCTCACCCAATTTTTCAAACAAATGACCGCAATCAAGGCCGATATGGAACAGAACCTCACAAACCTTCTTCTTGATCTTCAGGACCCGAATGAAGAAACCAAGTTTACTCACACTGCTAAAGTTCTTGAGGGCTGACATGGTAGCTATTCTGAGGAAAGCAAAAGGCATCAAAGCAAGATTGGAGTCGCTTGACCGCATGTGGCTAATCGAAAGGTATATCAGTTACAAGGAAGGCAGCCCTGTTGATCGAATGAGGATTTGGGTGACTACTGGTTTGAGAATTAAGCTGAGAGATATGATGAATGATTTTCAGTCCTTGAGAGAACAGATCGTTCAAGTGCACAAAGAAGGTCTCGAGAGGAGGTATTATAATGCCACAGGAGAGGAAGCAAGTGAGGAAGTGATTGATAGATGATTTTGGAAAGTAAATGGGAAAGTCAAAGTTTTTGAGGGGAAGGCTGAGCTGGCAATGGAGAATCAGGAAAGGCAGGAGGCCTTGAAGGACTTGCAGAGAAGCTTGACAGAACTCCATCAAGTTTTCCTGGACATGGCAGTGATGGTTGTAAAGCAAGGGGAACAATGGATGATATTGAACAGAATGTGGCTGATGCTGGAGCTTACATTCATGGTGGAACCAATGCTCTTTATTCTGCTCAGCTGATGAAGCAGAGAAGAGGAAGATGGGCTTGTTGGATTGGGGCTTTGGTGTTGATTGTGTTGCTGGTATGCCTGATTTCCATCTTAGCTTCTTGAAATCGTAGAGATCAAAGTTCATCCTGGATGTGGCTGTTATTGTTGTGCTGCAGTGGAGTTTTGGTCTGTGAATAATATACTGGAGTTGACTATACTGGCTGGCGGAATCAATGGTTGCTTTCATTACATTTGTCATCTAAAATGCAGAACTATTTTGCTCTTTTGTTATCAGAGCTTCAGCTTGTTAGAATTATTCCTCAGATATGTTTAATGCAGGTCTTTTTGAGCTCTGGTAAATTAAACCTAAAAATTTGGGGCCAATGTCATCCCAGAAATTTGTTGCATGAAAAAGGGATTAAATTAGCATTTAGAAGAATCCGATACACATTGAACCTTTTTATTGGGTCTTAAACAAGAATTTTGCTTTCACAACTCCTGCATTTTGCAGGATTGTTTGCAAGCAATTATCAGCCAATAAGGCTCAAACAAACAATGGTTTGTGTTCCTCAAGAAGTACTCCACTGCGGTTCAAGGAACTAACAGGGTGGAAGGTCTGTAGGTGGAGGCAAGATAGAGTGATCTGAGTCTTTCCCATTTTCCACCACGAACGCAGTCTTCAAACCCCAGCTGGTATGGAGCTCCAAATGACAGTGCATGAACCAGACACCTAAAGATGATCAAATACCGTTCAAAATATTAGTGAAATATCTAAAAATACAAGAGACATATTCTTCTTAATTAGTAACTTTGAAGTTTAATGTAGCATGCTATTTGGTTAGTTTGATGTGTTTACCTGGATTATCAGCCCTGAACCTTACGGCAACCCAACCACCGGTAGGAACTCCAATTGTGTTTCTTTCGGGAGGATCCACTAAGTTATACTTTGCTGGGTCGTTTTTGGGGTCGAAGTTCCCAACTCCGGTCCCAATAACAAAGAAATTGTAACCATGAAGGTGGAAAGGATGGGACTCCACTGTGAGAAGATTGGTGTCTTGTAGCACCAACTCAACTGTTGAATTGAAGTCAAGTTTGCTAAGCCGGGTGCCTATTTTAGTGCCAAGGTTGGCATTGAGTGGTGCACCAGTGTAATTGAAAGGTGTGGGAGGGCGGTCTGGGAAATCTGTGGTAAATACTCCCTTGGTGTTGAAATAATGAGCTTGAAGCAGCCCAATTTGGGGCATCACAAATGTGATATTGTTTAAAGAAGCAGTGAGCTGTGTTCCATTGAGGCAAGTGGTGCATTGGTTAATTCCCAACCCGATCGTGTAAAAGAGATGTCGATCAACTTTAAGAGGTACACTGGCCGGGAACTGTGCTGTGTTTAAACTTCTTAGTTTCGCATTGAAGCTCAATGCAAAAGCTGTGTCATTGAGTGCCGGAAGTTGGGGGAAGAACTGGCTGCACACTATTTGGGATGCCTTTGTACTGCAGTATTCCAGTGGCAGTCTTGTTGTCAATGGAAACCGGTGCGTCCATGAATGGCCTAGCCGCCATGAAATATCTTCCGGGCGCTTGGGTGGCTTGAACGAGAACATTCGTGGTCTGGCCTGGTGCTATTAGTATTGCTTGAGATGTGAATGGTTTGGTGTAGACTGCATCAATTTCTACCACTGTCAAGTTGTGACCAGCAATGGCAAAGAATAGCTCATCATTGAGTGCAGCATTGATGATTCGTAGCAGGTACGTCTTTCCCTGTTCAACCTCCAATGCATAGGTATCTGAGATAGCAAAAACAAGAAAGGATGAGAATGCAAAGTCTCAAATTTCATGTCCAAATGGCAGTGCCATAAAACAAAAGTGGTCTCAGAACATGGGAAAAGTTCTCGCATACAATGAGTATATACAACGTAGCTCTCACAATAACTAGTTGCACGTCCACCATGTGCATTGTATAAACTCATTGTAGGCAATAACTTTTCTACAGAAGGCAGTGGCTTACGTTTTTCAGAACATGGAAAGAGAGGCCCTGGCTTCCCATTGATGGTGTGTGCATCTGACATATTTGGTGGCAATCCCAGTTTGTTTCCTTGTTTAACAACCTCTTCGACGTCGTTATTCCACCATTCTCCTACACCATTCACAAGAAACCATACAATCATTTTCTGCATAAACTCTAAAAAAATTATGTATATTGTTAGAAATCTTATAGTTGCACCAACTCACCTAAGACAATATTAGCCTCCTTGTATGGCTGAAGAAATGGAAAACCAGTCCCTTGTTTAGGCAAGATGACAATTGCTCCATACACAGTGGCTCTTAGCCAGAAAATATGTGCATGCCACCATAGGGTTCCTCTTTGCCCTGTTATAGTGATATTGTAGGTGTAACTATGTCCTGTCTTGATAGGACATTGTGTGATATAGGCAGGCCCATCTGCCCACCCATTTCTATATTGCTTTAATCCATGCCTGAAAGTTCAATCAAAATGTGACTTTAGTAAACCCTAATGTTCATTTTAGTTTTATGCTTGCATAATCATATGAATTCAAATATAAATATCCTACCAATGAATTGACATATTGTATTGTGCATGGTTGGTAACATTGACAAGAAGTGTATCTCCTTCTCTAGCATAAACTGTAGGTCCAGGGAACATCCCATTTACTGTAACAATTGGCTTAGAATGGCACAACCTGCTCACATTCTTCACTTGAACCTGAAAATAATTTTTGGAACAGATAAATAATAACCAGATATATAAAATGCATGCAATTTAAGTCTGCCATTTTGAAATGCTCACATCGAATTGGTATGTCTTCAAAGCGGCTTGAGCCGGAGTGGAAAAGAACCCACTAAGCATAAGAAGAGAAGTGCAGAAGAACCCCAGCAGAAACTGTTGGTTTTTGCCATTTTTCGTGACCAAATCGTTTCTATACAATGGCAAGTTTGTAGGGATGAGACATGGTAGCAAGTCAGGTTCTAATGGTTTTATATGGCTGTGCCCAAAATCTAAAATAAACCATCAGTTTGTTTATGTTAGATGGAGTTGGTGTTGTCAACATTAGGTAGAGGCTGTAGAGGTTGTACATGAAAGCTTTGAAGCAAAATACAGATGGGGACTTTTAGTGTAAAGCCAACTTGAAAAGGCAAACAGAGTAGCTGAAGAACTTAATCTTGTATTTTGTATTGTTTAGGAAAATACAGGTATAATCAAGAGAGCTACTTGAAACCTAAATGTGGATCTCTTAACTTTACCTTCAAGGAAAATGGTTGGCATCAAGCGTTTTTTTTTTGGTTCACATATACACGTTGGGCCTTTTTTTTTCTTTTTTGGCGTACTATTGTTGACATCGTATCTGGATTTGTTTGTTTAAAACAGGATTTAGCATTTAGTGTTTAGAGTTTTGTTAGAAAGATTATGAAATGAAGGTTCCATTTCATTTCAAATAGTATAATCTCTATTTGAATAGCTTATTTTCTGTCGTGAAGCAGCCTAGCACATTATGTTGCTAAATTGTCAATCTCAGTCATTAGAAAAATAAAATCTTATGAGCAAAAACTTTCATTTATCTATTTAAAATTTAAAATTCTTTAATGATATGGTAAGGGAAAACAAGAAAACTTTGTTTCTAAGCTTTGGGTCCAATTGTTTAGTCAATATCTGGTAGTCACTGCTTATTGAGGACAAAAGCTTTGCAATTCCATCTGAAAATGGTATTGATCACCAAAAGCTAGAGTAACTTTATTTGTTCAATTTGATTAGGTGCCTGTAGGGGTAAATCGAAAAACATATTGGTTTGGTCAATTGATTTTCACTATCTTATTCTTGGATGATCTTGAGGCTATACTATTTTCCTTTTTTTATTTTTTATTACCCGTTATTTTTCTATTAGACTAAATTCCGTTGCAAGAATTCTATAGTGAATGCCTTATATATGACCCTTAGATGTGGCCTTAAGGCTACAATCTTACTTTGCTTTCTATTTGATGAGATATAGGTTTTTAAGTCACTTAGGCCAGTGGGCCCAATAAACAGATGCCACGTGGCTTTTTTTTCTTTTTTTTTCCGAAACGAGACTTAACTATTTTTTGTTTTTTGTTTTTGTTTTTATAGGAAAATAACTTTAAAATTGGGCCCTAACACTAAAGTAAGTATACATGTGGTGCGACATAAATTAAGCCACGCTAACACTTTTCATGCATTTAGTATTTTTGGATTTTTGCATTGCCATGCATTGTCTTGCTTGTTTCACTAAGATATCAAAAGAGAAATGTAATCGTGTATCCAAAAAAAAATAAAATTGTAATCGATGTATATTCGAAACCTATCTCACCGTCCCACTGGCGGGAACCATTAACTATCCAATGGATACACTATATTCACTCACATTTTCCTTAAGGTGGGTAAGCAAGGACGGATTCAGGATTTTAAAATAAAGTGGGCTAGATTTACTTTATTGAACTGTTAGATTTTAGGCTTATGGAATTGACTATATGTGCAGGAACGGACCCAGGATTTCAAAATGACGTGGGCTAAATTTACCTTACATACAAACCTATTGAAAACTTAACGGTATGAGTAAATTTCATTGATAACAAAAAAATACACGGGAGACAAAATGAGTCTTATCCCCCAAATAACACTTATATAAGTTGCTCCATTCAAGTCTTCACAGCATTAAAATCACTAATTATTGATTCATTATCTATATTATCAGCAAATTCTCTTTCAATATGAAGTAGCATACAATTAGCAAGAAACACATCACCTATCTTATTCCAAAGTCGATTTTTAATAAGTCTCATACATGAAAATGCTCATTCTATTGTTGTTGTAGACACAGGAAGAGTTAGCACCAAACGAATCAATCTATCAATCAAGTAGTATGTTTTTGCTAATTTTGTTCTTTTTATTTATTTGTTGGCCAGCCTAGTCCTAATAGGATTAGTTAATAATATTTTATTTAAGTGGTTAGCTTAGTCCTAATGGGATTAATTAATAATATTTTATTTAGGTGACCTAGGCTAGAATATTAATTTAGTCTATAAAAAAACAAGTTGCCTGGGCTTTAGCCCAGGTTAGCAAGTTAGTAGGTACATGCCTGCATATGTGTATGTGTGTGTGTATATATATATATGTTTAAAAGGCCTATTTTATTCCAACAATGCCAACTAAGGTCTACCATGATGAGCAAAAATGAATTAAGAGAAAAGAAAATTCATAAGAAAATTCAAAAATGAACTAGAGGTAATATCCAATTAGTTCAAATTAATATTTTTGCTATAAATGGGATTAACACTAACACTAACTATAAGAAATAAATAAAAAAAACTCACCTTGGCTATAGCTCAGGTTGTACAAGTCATAGGACCGTCCCTATGGGTAACATGCTCGATAAAATGCCTCAAAGAAATTAAAGAATGCAACTGGCATGGTTGTTTTTTTCAGCCGGTAAATATTAGAGAAATCATATTATTGTATTACATTGTGTTAACTCTTTATTAAAGGTAGGGTCCACAAACACAAGTAAATCTCACCTCTATTAAAGAGACGATACACAATGTGCCATAATAATATAATCTTTGTAGCATTTTCATTTCCAAGGCCTCTTGTTTCTGTAGAAGTATCAGCAGTCAGGACTGGGAGCAAAGACATGTCAAGAGGAGACTCGTAAAGGTGAGAAGGCTGCTGGTCCTCTTTGTTCCATTACAATTCATTTGTTTATGCACTCAGTCATTCATCATATGCGTAGAGACAGTGCACATTAACAATTGGGTATTTTTTATGATACAAGGTTTTTCAATATTAGTTTATTGCAGAAGTCTGCATTTATCTTTGTTATAACTCATTTCTGGGTGCAGGTTGAGAGAGAGGGGCAGTGTTAGATTTGCTAGCTTGTGTGTAGCTGTTTGGGAACTTGGCAAGCCATGGAAGCAAAGAAATGGGGTTTTGCTATAACCTTGATATTCATCTTTGCTGTAGTGCCTTTGACTCTTCTAATCCTGCAGAATCCTAATAAACCATGGTATGGTATGCATTTGCAATCTGTTTTTACTATTTGGATTCTAGCCCTTTGATAATCACCATTAGTTGTTCATTTATAACTACCGAAATGGAGCCTAGACAATAAAAACATAGGAATTCAGGAAACCTCTGTGTGTAGCCTGTTTTGAGGGATTTTGTTTCTTTGATTCTTTCTGTAGTAGCTGTTTGCAGCTGTACAACCTAGTTTGGTCAAATAGAACAAATGGTAGCTTTATTTGTAACATCAATGACAAAGTCCATGGTTAATTTAACTGAAGATCATCAAACAGTCAAACTAAGTACTAACGAAGGGTGTAAATTGGTCGAATTTTAAACATTAGGGTGCAAATTGATTAAATTAAAACCTCGTGGCCCATGTTAATAATGCCCTCAAACCTGAAGGGAGTAAAATGTCATTAATCCTTAATCTAATTTAATCTATGTTCCATCATGTAATTAAACAAAGCACTGTTCTGATCATCAGTCTCTGGCATTGGCAATACCACTTATGGCCTCTAATGTTTGCAGGGAATTTGTGGACAAAATCTTAGGCATATTAGAAGGAGATGACTCAATATATCCTTCTGGAAACTACAAGGTCAATGGAGATCACATTCAGGACCTGTCTGTGAGTCCCAACTTATCTAGTTGCCACTCATCTTATGGTAGGCCTGATCTTCTTGTCCATTGCTGCCCTCCAGAAAGTGAAGGAGAAGAGGCCATCATTGATTTTCAATTTCCGGATCCTTTGACTCCTTTACGAGTTTGAAGGCCTGCCCATCATGTTGATGATGATTATATTGCTAAGTACAAAAGGGCCTTAACCATCATGAATGCCAGACAGTGACCCTCGGAGTTTTAGTCGTCAAGCCAATATACACTGTCTCTATTGCACCGGTGCTTATGACCAACCACATTCCAATCTTTCTATTGATATCCATAGGACATGGTTTTTCTTCCCTTGGCACCGCATGATGCTCCATTTCCACGAAGGAATAGTTGGAAGCCTCATTGGGGATGACGAATTTGCTCTGCCATTTTGGAATTGGGACTCCCCTGATGCAATGACACTTCCTGGGTGGTACATGAATGAGCCTTGTTTCGATGATCAGAGTGATTTTTCACACTTTCCACCAAAAGTTTGCGATTTGAACTTCCTTGAAGACAATGATATTGAACCTGAGGAGCAGATTCATTTGAACCTGGCATTGATGTATAAGCAGGTTGTATCCGGTGCAAAGAAGCCAGAGCTGTTCATGGGATGCCCCTATAAGGCAGGTGAGGGAAGTGTTTGTGATGGACCAGGCACGGTAGAGCGTGCCCCTCACAACACAATGCATAAATGGGTTGGCAGCAATTTCCAGCCTAAAAGGGAAGACATGGGAGCATTCTACTCAGCAGCTCGGGACCCTGCGTTCTACACACACCACGCAAATATAGACCGTCTTTGGGAGGTTTGGAGGGGGTTCACAAATTTGACTTGCACAATATGGATCCTGATTGACTCAAATCTTCTTTCTACTTCCATGATGAGAATTCTCAGCTTGTGAGAATTTATGTTCGTGATGTTCTCAATACCACGAAGCTTCGGTCTGTTTATGAGGAGGCTGAATATGCGTCCAAAGCCTTATATTCCATCCAAAATGGACAAGCAAGCTCTGAAACTAAGAGAAAACAAAACCATATAGCAATCACCGCGTGAGTGCATATTATCAGCAGAGTTTGGATCGAGTGGTCGAAATCTTGACAGCTCCATAACAGTGAAGGTGCACAGGTCGAAATACAATAGAAGAAAGCAAGAGAAAGAAGAGGAGGAAGCGTTCTTGGTTGTTCATGGAATTGATGTCCAAAGTGATGAGTATGTTAAATTTGATGAGTATAGTTAGCCCAGGTTTCAGTGAATTTGCAGGAACCTTTGTGTACCTCACGGCAAGAGGGATGCCAATCGAAAAACCAATCTCAAGTTGGGGATCTCAGAAGTAATAGAAGATTTGGAGGCAGATAGCGATGAGAGCATTTGGGTGACATTGATATCAAGGACTAAATCTTGCACTTACACAATAATTGATGGACTGCAGATTGAATATATGAGATAAATACTGATTCTTTGTTTGTGGATTTCAACTTCAAAAATGAGATGGCTGAGTGCATGAACAAATAAATTGTAATGGAACAAAGATCTCCATAAAAAAATAAAATAAAAAACCTACTACATAGCTATGGAGTATGGAGACAGTCAGAGCATCCTTATTGAAAAAACTAGATGTTGAGAACATAATGAAACTAAAACTTATATTTGCTTTTCTAGCATACTTCAACTATAAATCATTGTTTTATTCACGTATGTTGGTCGAGCTTCGAATTTCAGATGAATATAAGAACCCCCCCCATTGTAACCCCTCGTTACAGTCTCATTGGGCCATAACGAGAAATGACACTTGAACATCATCAGCCTTTGTTGGTAAAAGAAGTCCAGCTGAAGTAGGCCCAAAAGAAATCAAGAATTGAAAGAATGGTCCCCTTTGGATTCAGAAAATCCTAGTTGGGCTCCGATGGAAGGGCATTGTTCCCTCTTTCTCTTGGCTATAAATATGGAAAACCTAATCCTGGAGCCTACCCCTCTTCTTCTTCCCCTCCTCCCTCTCCTGCTCTGTCCAAGTGACCACAAACCCTAGTCTCTCTGTTTGCGTGCGTCTGTCTGTAATTGTATAGTTTTGTTTTAATGTTGGGGAAGGCAGGTGCGATGATGATGAGAAATATATAATCTCGTTAATCTGATATTGATATGAGGAGAAACTATCTCATCCATTCATAATCTTTCTGAGCACCCTTTCCTTCATTTTATACTTTCTGTTCATTTTCGTTTTATTTGGATGAGTTTTTTTCAAGTTTCAGTTTTGCCTGTGAGCTCAAACTTCTCTACTTTCTTTTGATTTTTTTCCCCCCTTTTTTTTATGTGTGTTTATTTTTTCTGGGTGATAACCCAATTGGGGCAAGCAGAAATCATAAGGGCATTTCGATGATGGAACTTGGAAATGTTTGATGAATTATGAATATGATGAGGTTGGTGTTCAAATCAAATTGTGAACAGAATTTAATCAATTGTCAATGCTAAACTAAGTTCTAATGGAAGTCTTCTATGAGAAAGATGTGATTGGGTTTCACTTCTTTCACCGATACAAGCTTCTAATCGCTACAATACGGGCTAACCATGAAAAACATGTGCAACGTGCATCCTTGCAATTCTAGCAACGCCGACAGGCTTAGTGGACCAAAGCCTCAAAATATTCATGGCTTATTCTGTGGGTTGGATGGAGGTTTTGGGTTGCTCATTGGCACCAAACCTAAACCCAATTTTTGGAGATCAACCGTATGTGCGAGGGTGATAGAAAGCTAACATTCTATTTTACAAGCAAACATTTACCTAAACTCAAACCAAAATAAATTAAAAGCCATCTGAATCTCAACAATTTTTTCGGAATTGGAATATAATTTTCATTCATAAATTTTTGTATTGGAATTGAAATCCCCTTATTCTGATATATATATGTTTGAAAATCAGTCCTAATAGAGAGTTATTAATTTTTTTTTTTTAATATAATCGATAATATCTAAACTACACTATATTAATCTAATTTTCTACTAAACGGAATTTAAACTTGAATGTAAGGAAACTAATTCACTCACGTTTGCAAGTGGGAAGTTGGTCAAAATGTATATAAAAAAAACAGAAAAAAGGCGGGCCAAGAAATTGGACCCAAAAGAGAAAAAGGAGCAAAGAAATTAAGTGCACGTACACAATCCAACTACGCAAGCAAAGAAATGGAACCCACACATATGCCTATCAGCTGGCACCAAAACCGCGGCTCATCGACCACCAACTCCTCAAAGGCCCCCAAAACAATCAAACTTACACCAATCTGAAAATCCTCAGAAACCCAGATCACTGAAAATTAGTCTTCCTCGTGTTTGAAATTTGAATTTGAAATACAGTTTGTGATGTCATTGGAGGTGGTGAAGGAAGACGAAGAAGTTTACAGCTGGAGAGAAGTGAAGCTGGCGTCCATCCCAGAGCTTGAGAGGGAGACGGTGGAGAGAAGGCGTGGCCGTGACATAGTCATCGCTGTGGATCATGGGCCCAACAGCAAGCACGCTTTCGATTGGGCCCTTATTCACTTTTGCAGGCTTGCTGATACCATCCATCTTATTCATGCTGTTTCCAGTTAATTCATTCATTCACTTACATGTTTTTTGATCTTGCTCTGTGTTTTCTGTTTTCTTTTTTAGCATCCTTATGAATTTTAATCTTAGAATTTTGTGGGTTTTTTTTGTTATCATCTTTGTGACATATGCTATGACATAGGAGAAGTTCCTTCGGTGGGGCAAGTCCCATGGGACCTCGTGAAGTGGGACCCGCTTTTCGGGGTCACACTCAACCATGAGGTGAGGTCCCCGTAAGACGTGCCCCAGTTTATGGTTTTTTTTTTAAAGGTAGATGCATGTGAGTCTCACAGTGGGGCTCATGTTTGATTTTCTCATGTAGCATGTAAGCGATTAGCCTAAGCAAATCTCTTCTTATTTTGGTACTTAGGTGTGAACAACGAGATTGTTTACGATGCAAGCCAGCTCCTGATGCAGAAGCTTGCAATTGAGGCATTTGAAGTTGCCATGGTGAGTATAATTAATGTTTGCACTTGAAGCATTAACTTGTGTTTGGAACATTATTAGCCATGTCTAATTTTATATCAGTTGTGGATGATGTAATTTAGCGCCTAACCTGCACACGAAATCACATTTATACAACTTTTGATCATCAAGTAAACTTGGCACCTTGTGCAGTCATTTGCAGCATTGAATTAGTTCCATGGTTTGCCTGCACTTGGTATATAATATGTCATTCTGATGCGTTAGCTTATTTTACTGCAATTATTTTGGATAACCCCAACATAGTCAATGACCATTTGGTTTAGTAGAATTTAGTCTCCACCTTTGTTTGAGGAATTCTTGAGTTCAAATCTCGTGAATGAGAGTTGTGTGTTAGAATATATCACACACAAATTCATGATAACCAACTTCAGATTATTTACTTTCCTTGGATCGTTTTATGTTTAAATTTTGAACAATCTCTATGGGAATAGGTGAGGACGATTGCACGAATTGTGGAAGGAGATCCAGGTAAGGTAATTTGCAAGGAAGCAGAGCGTGTAAAGCCTGCAGCTGTTATCCTGGGTACCAGAGGCAGGGGCTTCATTCAAAGGTCTCTCTCTCTCTCTCTCGGCCTTTCCATTTCCTCCCATTTATTTCAACTATTTCATTCAAAGGTCCCTCTTTCTCTCTCTCAAACACAGATCACTTACTCAAATTTATTCTGGGATTTCTGCAGTGTACTACAGGGAAGTGTCAGCGAGTATTGCATGCACAACTGTAAATCAGCTCCTGTTGTAATCGTTCCAGGGAAAGGTATAACTTCCCATCTTATATATGATTGGAACCTTGAGCTTCATTGGATTTAGAGAATTGAAACATATAATATCTGTTTCTTGAATTGACAGAAGCTGGAGACGAGTCATTGATCTAGCTAGTGGAACTCATGGTATGTATAGAACAGTTCTGTCCTGATTAATGTTGTGCAATTTCTATTAGTACTTTAGTAGCTTGCGTATGTAGTAATTCGAACTTGGAGGGGTTGTAAGAATCAATTGGCCAAAGTTTATGTGGATGAAATGTTCAAAATTCATAGTATATGTTAAGCTGCAGGTATTGATTAAGATCTCTGATTATTTGAGTTTTGCCCAAGTTTTGCCTCATTGCTGATTGACTTGTTAATCTCAATTGATGGAACAATGTGAGTAAGGTTATGTGGATGAATTGGTCAGAATGCATGGCTCCTTTATCAGTCTATAGACTCTATATTCTGAACTTTCACTTGGACCTTTCAACTCTCAACAAGAGTTCTTAACCAAATTAAAAAAAACTTTCAAAGATGGCCTCTTATATTCTTGTAATTTTGAGTTTGCTATGTGTGTATGTGCTAAGAGTATTGAATGATTTATTTAGGTAAGAAATAGGCTTACCCCTGTGTCGATACCTAGAAATATCGATATTGGCCGATATAGCGTAACGGCTGATATTTTCATCCTTGAGCAAGATATTTCTTTCACCAGCTTGTTCAGGGTTCACAGTTTGTAATCCTTAGCCACCCGTCAAAACCTAGCCATAAATTGTTAGGGTCATCTGGTAACCATTTTGGATTCTTTTAGCAAGAAAAAGACACAAACTTAGGAGCTCTGGCTACCTCCAAACAAATTTTTAGAGTTGCACCAATTTTTGCAATATGCAGAAAGAATCTTTGTAGGTTTTAGCTTTTATTCCTTGGAAGGGAAAATTTTCACAGAAAGTTGAGGTGGACCCAAGAAAAGTAAGAGGCAAAATCGATCATCTCTCACCATCAAGTGGAGCAAAGAAAATGAAAGAGATTATTTCTCTGGATGTGGCCAGGTCCACTGACCCACCCCTTCTCGCTATTATTTTTCATTGGTCGATTCTTGAATTTCTTGTCATGCATCATTTTCGGCAATGACCGTTTCAACTTTCATGTTTCTGTGAATTCATTATCGCGTTCAGATTGAATACCAAATAAATTCAATGTCTAAATTATCACCAATCATCATCGTGCGAATATTTTACATTGCCCAACTGAATTGGGTACATAGACAAATTAGGGCCTTTAAGACATAACTTTAGACCATGTATGTATGGGCCTCATTTTACAATGTGTTTCTATAATACCATATGAAATCAATACTCGTTTAACCATTTAATTATCATAATAATTCGCCGTGTTTATCAGTAAAATTATGTTCATGATTTATTTTGGTCGCAATTGGATATATACATGATTCTCGATTTAGATGAGAATATAATAAATAAACGATTTAGATCATGAAACCAGATCACCGAATAAACCCTATATGTTAAGTTCTTGATACGTGTAGCTAGTTTAGACCCGTTATTGCAATGTTGCACATGGTAGCTAGGTTTTCCTTCTCGTGTTCTGATAACCATCTATTGAGGGAGGATGAACCAAGTAGGCTAGCTGGTGTAATTGAGGAAGATGTTTTATCATCTCTTTGAGTTGGATCAGCCACATGAGAAGGGATAATGCTTTCCCTCACTTTAAACAAATTACAATTCTTGAAAACCCATCAACACGTTTTTCTTTTAATTAAAATAACATCTCACCCTTAGATTTTTGACAATGATAATTCAAAATAATTGATGTAAGGGCTCTGTGGAAGCTACCTTATTATTTACAGTAGGCACATGAAAACAACTCTAACCAATTGAATATAGTAGGAATGGATAAGCAATTTTGTCCTGTTTCTTTGCCAAATTGCTTTCCTTGATCTTTAAATTTTGGTCACACCTATTCATCATCACTCTTTCTCTGCATAATTATCAGGGTCTCTATCAACAAATATTATTATTCTTCTTCTTCTCAAAAGGGAGCTGGGTTGGTCCACAGGTAGGCTCATGGCCACTGTCCCTCATGTAGTGCTTGCTTGAACTTGTCTCTGAACCTTCATCCATCATAGGGTCAACTTGCATTCTCCCATCAATTACAAGTATGATACGGCAATTTCTGCATTCCCATGACAGCTAGATTTGTCTTTCACTTCAAATTGGGATGGGGACATTTTATCTTGTAAAAGGTTCTTGAATACGGTTACACACCCTCGTCTTTAAAAGGGTACAATAGTCCTTGGTAGCATAGACGACGATAAAAATCCGTCGTCTATGACCTTTTTTGTAGTAGTGTGGAAATTGCAGGGAACCCTAATTACCCCTTATTGGCTTAAAGTTGGTTTCAACCATAATGCTTGGTTCCATTTTCCATTTTCCATCAACCTTAGTTTAGGGCTTCCAATTTGGTTCCCTATTAACAAGTTGGTGCTATAGTGATGATGGCATGATTTGTAGACAATGGAAGGTCTTTGTATTTTATTCATACTATGTTGCAGGTATACATACAAACATATATATATATATGTTATGTACTTAGATAAGAAAAAATAATCTGGATCAGAGAGTAAACTCTTCCAGTAATCAAATGAATGATGTTTGATTCACATCTCCATCTTTAAATTGCTAGCTTCAATAGACCCTGCAAAAAAAAATTGATAGGAGGAATCTTAGAGTCAACTTTAGCAGTAACTTTTTTTTTCTTTCCTTTTTTACCTTCTCCAAATACAACAGAAAATATAATTGAACAATCAAAAGCATCATCATTATTGGATTGAGTGAATTGCAGCCTAAACTTTCTAAAATGGGGACCACTTCATCTTGAGTAAGACTTCACATAATGGATATACACCATTACCATTACTGACAGAAGATAGCTATTATATGGTTTACAGACTCAAAATTGCACCACACCTTTAACTGCTCCCCCTTTCTATCCAAAATGCTGAGGCAAGATCATAATCATATAAAGAAAACAAGGAAATCTCTACTTTTAATTTATTTAGGTGGAAAAAGGAGATAACCATTCATTTAGAAAACTTTAATTTAGTCCAATTAGAAAGGACATACTAAATTCCTGAGCAAAATCATTAGACATTTTGTGGGGTCTGTGTGGTCTCCATCAGATTCAGAGGTTGCCTAAACCTAATGATTCTTTATCATACAAACATGGAGTCATGGGCAATGGTATGGGAATGTAGGAAGAAAGATTAGTTCTATCTACCTGTAAATGGTTGCGATTGAAAGGGTGTTGTTCTTCTTGTTGGAATTCCACATTGAAAAGGTTTTGTAAATCAGCATCCCAAATTGCAGTAGGAGGGGCTTGCTGCAGGGGGCATATAAGATCTACCGTCAAAACATTGCTAAATTTATAGTGTCTAAAATAGATGTATACATGAGTGTGGAGACATTACAGTGAAGCAGGATGTGTCGAGAAATGTTTCGGGGATCGATACAGGAGCACTGATGGTTCTTCGAAGCGCCAAATCGGAGGAATTTATCCCCATATCCAAGCCAGAAGATGAAACCATTTGCTGTACTGGATTAAACTGCACATATGCAGAATTGGTCATTTCTGATGTCATCCCAATAGTCTGAAAATTGGCCGCGCACGCAGGAAACATCTGTTGATTTTGAGGCAAAATGAAGAGTTATAAGTAACAGAAGTTTTGAACAAACAAAGTCTTTCTTTAATTCTCAAGCAAAGGAACATAAATTTTGCTAGAAACACTTTTGTGATAAGCCATTCAAGCAATCTTGTTCCCTTTGCCAGTACTTTTTGACAACTAAATCAATAACAAACTCAAAGTCTTTGAAAACTTATTGATCTTATAGTAGTTAAAGTTTCCTGACCTCTTTCGCAAACAAATCGTCAATGTTGAAGTCAAGCCGCGGATTAACAGCAGCTAGTTTCATAGACAGGAAACTGTTAATTATGAAGAGGATCCGTTTAATAATACAGAACAGCAAAAAGATTTCAAAGTATTTGAACCCAATCATGGGAAAAGATCAAATGTTATGTCACCTCTACTTGTCGTTGAAGAGATTGAACATAATTGATGATTTCGTCGAGCATGCCCGCCTTGCCAGTGATCTTGTTGCACCCTGGTACTAAATCTTGCAGATACTTCATTCTTTCACTGATTTTTTCCCTCCTCACCTGAATGATCACAATCAAACATTGGCATAAACAATTGAACAAGATGATCTGCAAAAGAAGAGACAAAGATTTATAAAAATCTGAAACCCCACTAGTCCTACTCACCCTCTCAGCCAAGCTGTGGCTATCAGTGGCCTGACCTCGCCGTGCCCGGACATGAATGTAATCAGGCTTTTGAACCTCGGAAGCTTTTGAATTGTCTTTTGAAGTATCACCAGAAGATTCTCTGTCGTTGTTTGTGTTGTTCTTGTTGCTGGTTTGCTCTGTGATCTTGGAGTCTCCCTCCTCTGCACACCCTTTCATTCTTTTCTCCGTGCTATCATCTTCTGCAGCTACAGCCTAGAAATCCCAAAAACAGAATATATGCATCAGCCAATTTCTCAAAACTGCCAAAAAGTTCAACCCCAAAAGCTTTTCAATTTAAACAAAAACAGAGAAACAGAGTAGTCAAGAAACAAATTAAAGCAGACAAACAGAGAAGTCAATAAACAAATTTTTTATATTCTTCATGTTGAATAGAAAAGTAAATCATAACACCAAAAATGAAACATAGTCAAAACTACAGAGAACAATATAATTTTTCCTTTTTTCAAAAAATAAACAGCAAAATTCAGAAAAATGAGCATAGAGGCACACCTTATTGCTCTGCACCTTATCAGCCTTCCTCTTCTTAAAGCTTTCCTTCCCGGCAGGCGAGCTAATCTTCTGAGACAAAACGGCGTCGTTGGACTTTTTCTCAGCGGCCACAGTAGGTGGGCAGCTAAAAGTCCTGGAAATATTACCATTATTATTGTGACCATTAATCATCTCCTCAAACCCTGCTGCGCCATTATTGTTCACGACCAACCCACAAGACTCATAACCCAATTCAGCCCATCTGTTTTCCGAACACGGGTCGGGTTTCACCTCCGAGTCACCGCACACCAAACCCATGAAGCCCTGAGCCTGACCCGCCGGAATCGGAACAGGGAATACTCCGCTAAGCTCGTTCCCGCTAAAATTGTACCCTTGCTGCTGCTGATGCAGCTGAATTGGATCATTATGCTCGTGCTGGTGCCACTTCATCCGAGCCCTCTGCCGCTCGAGCACAGTCATGTCCGTACTGTTCCCGGCGAGGAAGGTGCCCGGGGCGTTCATACAGTTCAGCATCTCCGGCAACGCTCTGTTCATCACACAGACAAAAACACACAAGCAGATTTTGGCCACCCACCGTCGAAAAATTGGAAACTATAGAGATACGAACACAGAAATTGGAAGGGGAAATGAATTTTGCCGGGTGTGAAGAATAGTGGGTAGTGATTAGTTTTTGAAAATGTGGTGAGATTGGTTAGGGATTAGGGCTCATGCCCAACACGTTGAGGGGTTTTTGTAAGCAAAGTACGTACTGCGATTTGATCATAAAGTACTTTGAATTATGCAAATTAGGTAAAAGGGTATAATGGGAGCTGGTAGATGATGGTATTGGAGCCGTTCGAGTGTGTGTACGAGACTCAGAGAGAGAGAGAGAGAGAGGGTTCTAAAAATGAAGGGCAGGGGGGTTAGGTATATATAAAGAGAAAGAAAGGGTTTGGCCGGAATCTGACAAAGAAATAAGAAATAGCCGGAATTATTAGAGAGAGAAAGAGAGACTTAAGATGATGATGATAGAGAGAGAGAGAGAGAGAGAGAGAGAGAGAGAGAGAGATGGAGGCGGAGAGGGATGAAGCAAATGGGGCAGAGAGCCATCGAATGTATCCACATGAGCAGAGGCCGTGGGTTGTGGGCCATGTTTGACATGACCGCCACGTGGTCATGTCCTGACCAAAACGGAGAATGGTGGCTCAGACGGAACGGGGTTTTGCTGCTTTTGCTAATTCTGCATGATGACGACGACTGCATGCAAATTATTATATTTATTATTATTTTTTAATAAAAACAAGAGTTAACTACAAACAGCATGGAATTTCTTACTTACACATACTATTAAGATGTTATGAGTCTTTTGATCAAAAACAATTTCGAAGCTAAAATTACCGGTTTGCAAATCATAAGCCATTTATCCACTAGTCGGCATGCAAATTGTAATATAATCTCACTATTAATAAAGTTGCCCACTATTTGTTTGTGAGCGTCACGGCAAAATAGATGACTTGAAATATGATTATGATATTCTTATATTTTGAGACTATTAGTTTTAATCATGTATTAATAATAATGTTCCACTTAAGATATGATATGATGTCAATCAACTTTCTTTTTTTGTAGTAAACACCAAATTAAGATTGAGACGTTAAATTATTCTCTTTGCATGCAAAATCAATTACGATTGAGTGTATAAAAGTACTTGTCCTCAAGATTATAAAACATATCAAATCAATTACGAAATGTACAGCATGATATATTTACTATAAAGATGAATGTTACTTTTTATTTTTATCTTTATTTCTTATCAATTGAGTAGGGTGTGGGAAAACAAATTTTACATCCAATGAGATAATTACAGGTGTACGTAAGTTAAGTGCAGGCCATATCGTTTGAACGCTCCAACCAAGGAGGCCATTCATGCTGGACAAACCAGAAAGAAAGCATGTCACGCATTGGGCCTGCAAACTATGTAAAACTCAAATACAAAGAGGGAAAAAAATAGGCCCATCATGGTAATTCTCTGCAAACAATGTAAATGGTATTACCTACTTGAGGTACTTGATAAGAAGTCACATAACTTCATTTCCATCAGTGCATACATATGAACTCAAAATTTACAATAATTCCAATCTATAGATGTTCCAAGTATTATGGAATTAGGAATAGGAAAATCAAAAAATTTCAACATTTCCATAAATTTTTCAGTTCCAATATGATTTATTTGAAATTTTAAGAATCTTGAAATTTACGCCTTATATTTAATTAAATTGTGAAAAATAAAAGGTATACGGTCATTTTAATTGAAAAAAAAATGTTAATATTGTGTATAAGACGTTGACGATTTATATTATAGGACACAAATTTAAATTATGGCTTAAAATGACATAATTTTAGCAATGAACAAATCATCAATACAAAAAAGGTAAGAAAGAACTAAGTTACAATATTAATCGTATCGACTGTGTACACTCAATACAACAAAACAATCCTTGACGGATCAATACAATTATAATGACTCGCAATTAGGGCTGGAGCTACATTCAGATTCAGGCCTATAAAAATTTTGTGCAATTTAATATAAAATTTACCAAGCTCAAGAGCTTCGTCGAAGTTTATGTAAAATTTACAAATCTATGTGCAACTGTTTAGAAAAATCTTTGTTGGCCCCCAAACAAAAGTTGCTAGCTTCACAAGTGGTTACAATGTCTATCATCATCACTTGCCACAATTGAAGATGCATGCTCCCTAATATTTTCATATTCTCATATCGCATTGTTAATTTTTCTTTTATTCAACGAGAGACTGTCGTATATGAAATTTGAACTCAAAATGAAAAAAAGAAAAGAAAAGGCTGCTTGCAAGTTGTGAAGTAGATGACGTCTTACACTTCCCATTTGTAATCAAACAAGTAAATAACAGAGATGAGGTCACAGCCAATAAGTTTGCAATTCGATCGTCTATTTTAAGGAAGTTCACAGTATATCCTTCATGCTTATCCCTGCATTGCACGTATAACAAAATCGGTTAGACCAAATTTAGCATGGAGAAAATTGGTGGATTTCTGCGCACTTATATAAAAGGGATATTGAGAGATGGGGAATCAAATCTAGAACATCGAATGTAATGGTAAATATTCTTAACTGCCTTATCTACAAGCTTCTTGATATGCATGTAAAAAACTCAGTATGTTTTACTTTAGCTTTTGGATGAACTTGCATAATTCGAATATACTCTCTCTTTTTAATATCAAAGAGAGAAATATGAAGAAGTTGAGGTTTCACTCCAAAAGTAATTGGCAATGGGGTAATTTTACCTTCACATTCTTACAAATACCTCATTTACATGAATAATTGTTCTGAATCAATTAAGCTACAAGCCCCTTACTATATATATACATATATATATATATATATATACAGAGAGCTTCCATTGAGAGATCCCTCAAATAAACTTATTTGAGGGACACCCCTTGTAGGCCCCACTCCGGATTGTATTTCACTAATCCAAACTGTCTATTTTGTAGATACTCATTCAAAGATTATCTCTATAAAAAATCACTTGAATCTAATATCACTTGACCACTCAATTGAGCTATTGAAATTTTAGTACTTTCTTGAAGCACCGTGTTCATTGATTTTGTAAGACACAATTGGATGTCGAAACGGTTTTAGATTTATCTAATTTTTTGTAATGATGATCTATGAATGAAGACCTAAAAAATAGATGGTTTGAATCATTGGAAAAAAAAATTGTAAGGTACCCTAAAGGGCGTCTCTCAAATAAAATTATTTGAGGGATCCCTCAATAGAAGGATATATATATATATATATATATTATGAGAGAAGAAAAAGGTTATGTTTAGAGGTTTATATTTTATAATAAATAAATTATATGAAGAATTCTTTGAGAATATATCTAATGTAAAAGACCAATCAATCAATTTCACTCATGAATTGATTTTCGACTAATCATTGGCCCCAGAAATTTTGACGAAGAAGGTTTATTGGTAATGGAAGTTTAGCATCTCCCGTTTGTCGTCATAGGCATTGACTCTACCTCATCAAAGTTATACCTTAAACTTATTCAAGGCATCATATATATACAGAAATTCTCCTATGCGGACATCTAGATGTTATTATTGTGCAGACGTCATGTATTTTGTACTATCCCTCCTTACTTTCCTGCCTGTTTATAATAGTATCTATACAATAATAAAGTGTGGACATCCAAATAAGAGAATATATATATATTTCCATGCAAACCACATACATATATAAAGGATATTTGGATTTTTCCTTTTGATAAACGATAATATCTACAAACTTTTATAACAAACCAATACACTCAAAACAAATCTACACCGCCATAATGAGGCATTGAGGCTAACAACAAGTACATATCAAATTCATCACAAATATATATCATTCTTAATTACCATCCATTTAAGTCGAACTTGAGACCTTTCTCTAACCACATTGTGACAAATATCACTATATCAAATACCTAGTTGGTGAAGATATATAATGGCCTTAAGAACCATCTAGATTCTTAACAAGTTTATGTTATCTTAACATAACCTTAATTAATGATGCAACAGCTTGGATTGAGACTTTTGGGTTCAAATTATTCAAATCATTCTTTACTTGCAAATTCATGCAGCCATTTGAAGCTTGAAGCAACAGATCGTCCAGAGCGGATGAAGGCTACTTCCATTATCAATTCATGGGCCCAAAATCATCTCTCTGCACCGCCGTCCCACCCCCCCAAATCTCTCTCTCTCTCTCTCTCTCTCTCTCTCTCTCTCTCTCTCTCTCTCTCTCTCTCTCTCTCTCTCTCTCTGTGTAGTTGCATATAATAATGTTATAAATAAGACTTTAGGATATAGCTGAAGACAAATGGGACCTGGGCTTTCTCCATCTCATTTCCTCTATCACTTTCTCTGTGGTTTTTAATGAACAGAAAACTACTTCGGCCCCATACTTTTTTATGCCTTCCCAGTTTTTTTTTCTCTCTCTCTCTCTCTCTCTCTCTCAAGTGCTTTCAATCTTTACACTTGGTTTGACTAAACCCACACCCAAAAGTACAGTATATTTATAATCTTTAGGACCCCCCTCCCTTAAATATGTTAGATTTTTTTAGATATTGTCTAGATATTGTTAGGGTTCAAGTTCTACAAAACAAAGTTTGGGATCAAGAGAGAGAAGTCACCATGGTTGGGCCCCGGGGCACGTGCCAAGGTGGCCCCTCATTTTCTTACACTAAATTTATAATTTAATTGCTTTTTTATCCTCTCGAAATAATTTTCATTTTCTTCCCTCCCCTTTCAAAAAAAAAATTCCATTAGTTTTAAAAGTTAAATATTTCAACAACTTATCCAATATCTTTTTTCGCTTTTATTTTCTTCTTAGTTGATACATAACTAATTCATTTGTTTTATATAGTTTAAACGTATTGCTGTAGTAAGTTTTGAAAATATCATATACGACACCTCGAAATTCAAAAACTCATACGTAGAGGAATACGAGTGATTAAACACTAATCAATCA